CCTCCTCCTCCCGCTTTCGCACAGCACCCATTTATTATTTCGAAAAAATCCCATAGCATATTATCTTTTTCCTATAAATGCTTAGCGTTGTCACTGATTTATTGAGCAGGAGGGGTCAACCACTGTTATAAATCATATTCCTAAAACTATAGAGCCGGGTTATGGAACTTGTAGCTGGTTCAATTACCCAAGTTTGAGATTCAAGGCCAAGCCAACTATGAGTTTAAGAAAATTGACCGCGTTGGGTCATAGCTGCATCCCGACATGAGGTGAAGGTCGATGTTTGGTTATCTAAACCGCCTAAACCAACTCCTCTCAGTCCGTCTGAAGATAATGTACCGAAATCGAAGATCTCTATGGTCTCGCCGTAACACGTGCACTCCTTACGCATGTAACTCGGAAGACGTTCAACAACAACCAAACAAGCTCGAGGACGAGCTTTCTGAAGGCATGGAGATGTCGGAATGCAGCTATAACCCAATAGCTGCTCGCGGTGGATTGCCTAAGACAACGAACCTCTGACAGTGACCTCCGCCCGCCGGCAGGAGCCAGTGCCCTCTCCCCAGGGCCTGGCACCAGCTGGCACGGGGCAAGCTGGATATCGTTTTTGGGGCAAAAAGCAAGGTTTCGTTTTTGTGGGTGAAGACATACGCAAAATTGGCGGCGACGACCTTTTTTTTTTTTTTTTTTTTTTTTTAGTCGACGTTTCGTTTTTTGGGGGATTTTGGGGATTTTTTTAGGATTTTAGAGGGGATATCGTTGAGGATCAAAGGGGACTTCGTAAAATTTCCCAAAAGTCAAGGGGGACTTCGTAAAAATTGGCAAATTTCAAAGGGGACTTCGTTTTCAAAATTCCCTGGTGCCAGCTCGTGCCGAGCCCTGCCTCTCCCCCCTTTCCCCTTTCTGCTTTTGTATATATCTTACATAATGAATATTAGAGTAAGACTTATGTAAACCCGCTAAACATTAGGTAAAGGCATCATGAACGTTTATCCTCACAACCGTTAGGCTAATTTTCTTTTTTATTTCTACTTTTTCTTTCAATGCTTACAACCTTCCTTCACTACTGATAATTTCCGAGAAAGGCCTGTTCGTATTTTTTCCATCTAGTAGAAGGAATGAAACGGAAATAGATGTATTACTTGAAATTTTTTTTTGAAAAAGCGTCGTAGCACATGTCTTTTTCCCAAAAAGGCTTAATGTTGTCACTGACTCATTGAGCAGAGGGGGGGGGGCAAACAGAGTTGTGATTCAGATTCCTTAAGCTACAGAGCCACGAAAAATGGGGCGACGGTGATGGCGCCGTCGACGCAGGCGGCGACGTAACGAATCACATTCAGTAGCGGGAATCGTCATCGTCTGTGTGTTAATAAAGCCACACTCTCGAACACAAAACCCCGCCTGCTCGTTTGTGAATGTGTGAGAGTGGCTGGCTGGCAACCTGCTCTGCAATCGATCCACACCAACAACTAACTATTCTTTACCTGAGAGAGCAGCGCCTTTTATGCTCAGCGTCGATCTCATCAGGAAAATGGCGGTCCCGAAACTATGAGGGCGCGGAGGCGTTGTAATACTCATCGCTCTTTTTCTTTTTACTGTTCTTTCTCATTTTCGTCTCGCTGCAGTATTTGCTCAAACTTTTGCTTTAACCTGAACTAATCGCTGCTGCTCTGCATTCTATGTTTATAAAAACAGTTTCTTTCTTTCTCGCTGTATCATCGCTTTTCAGCCGGGACTAGTGATCCAATTCCATTCTAATCCGAGAATGAAGCGAAAGACTCCAAATTTTGTGAGCAAAAAAGTTTTGTTTTACTTACTAGAACTATGTGCCAATTCAAAAGCGCGCTCTAGTCAAAAATACACCAAATTTGAACCGTAGCTTCTTGCAAAAAAAAATACAGAGCAAAATGTTTCGTACTTTAGAGAACTTCTTCAGTTTTTTTTGTTAGTAGGGCTTGTTTCGCAGGAATACCCTCTCTCAATCAAAAAAATTCCAAAGGCTAAGGTTATGAGGACAGTATTTTCGAAAGTACCACTTGATTCTGTCAAATTCAATAGTTGCCTACTTTTTGCGAATCCTTTCTTAACTTCTTCTTATCTGAAGCGTAAAAATTCATTGATGCAATTTGTACTCGGTAATTTCATAGCTCAAGGTGTTAAGGTGGAACAAAGACACCAAAAATCTTTTAAAAATTATTCAAGAATGCTTGAGTAGCCTGGGCTATGGCTGCACAGTATTTTTTTGCACATTGGTATTTTTAGCAATCGCAATCGAAAAATAAATCGAAGGTGAATGGACTGCTTTTTCAAAAATGGTACTAGATTAAGCTCCAGATCGCAATTTTTTGCAAATCAGTGATTTTTGGCCATGCTGTTATAAATCGCTCCATTGATTTACCCAATCAAATTTTTATTTTGATACTCTACTAGCATTCTAGCAATTAGCTTACTGACAAGGATAAGAAAATAACGTATGATTTCCTATCAAAGCATTCGAACAACATCTTACTCTTATCGTTCACGGTGAATTTTTCGGCGCTATCTCTTTTACAAAAACTGAGGTGTCATAAAATTATCATTAAGACGTCTAGGTTCAATCTAAATGAATGACGTTTTTTGGCTCTGTTTTATCTTGCACAGCGCTATGACATCTGTCATATCATCAACAAATGATACCTTATTCAAATAGATAGTCATTTTAAAAAGCATAGATGACGTGACTAGGACAATCAAATGTATTCGTTCAAACCGAAAACAGAATGCTTTCAATGGAAGCGTCTCGTTTACAGTAGGCTGATGAAGAAAAAAAGTTTTATCATGTCTTGATAGGAGAAGCACTAGTAATTAGTAAACATAATTAGCACTAGTAGATGTTAGAAATCAACGTCAGCAAAAGAAAACATGAGAGAAATAAAAATTCAGCTGTTCAGGTCTCGTTCGCAATGGAGTCGAAAGCATCTAATTCAATTATGTAGAAAGGTTATCATTGAACTGTTTTGGAAATGTTTTTGGGCTCATTTAAATAGATTAAGGAAAAAACTTTATAGCCGAAGATGTAGAATTTGCCATTGTCCTAGTTTTCTTAATTTCGTCTACTGAAAGGCTTCAAACATAAATTTCAAGAAAATAGGACTCTTTCTAGACTAGGAAGCTTAAGGGAACACATTCTCTCAATCATAAAATGAATTCTGCTTTTTCTCGCATTCAAGATGTTTTCTAACGGATTTTGCCTTCTTTCACACATATTTATTGCGTCATACAAAAGTGTAATGCATAATATGCTTGTGTTTTGTTACATGAGCATTAAGATGCGGAGGAATAATAAAACAATTTCGATCGTTTGGAAAAAAGAACTTGACTGCATCAAGATTCAGCAATCTTTGCTTTAGTGGCTTGATTTCCACTTTACCTTTATGAACCTGTTTCCGTTTTTCATAAATGCAAGTCTAACCTAAGAGTTCACTTTTAGTAAGGCACTTCTCTGTGCGCAGCGCATTGCATACATTTATGTTTTCCGTATGGTGTTCTTTTTGCATACCATTACCGTCATTTCAGTGACGGTAATGTTTGGCTGTTTCCGAAAGATTATGAAGATCTATTCGTGTTGAACCATTTCATACCTTATGGATGGGAGTTTTTTCATCATATTTTCTTCATTGAATGCCTTTTTCTTTGTTTAACAATCGTGAAAGCAGTCTAGCTCAAATATAGGCGCAGTAATTTTTAGTCTATACAGGGTGTTCCGAAAATGTGCGCCCTGTTTGATGTTAATAACTCGCTTGCTTCGATGTCTCTCGCCGATTTTTAGGTACCATTCTGTAGAGCGAGGTTCAACTTAGATTTACAGTGTGAAGCGAAACTCCGATCGTATTTTGCTAGTGTTGGATTACGGTGTAAATTTTCAGCATACAGCACCATTTTAGGCCTTTCGATAAAAAAATTCCGAAGAACTCTGGAAATTTGGTCACAAGGTTTTTAAGCATGCTGATTTCATTATGCAACTTTCTAAAGGATCTTGGACCTTCTTTCGGCGAGATTTTACGTTTTGGATTTTGAGGATGCTGTACGCTCAAAAGTTTTCAGACTTTTCCGCTTTCCCTTGATCTCTGGAAAATTCATCAAATCACCGCTTGAAGCTTTCCTCGAACCATTAATATCTTCAGTAAAATCTAGAGAAAAGCAAAGAACTTTGAAACAGGTGTACTTTTAGATATTACTTTGATTAAGGACTACTATTATTAGATGATTTGCACGTTAATCTGTCACAAAGTACACTTATAACTAACAAACTTGTAACTCTATCCTTATTTGTTCTTCGCTTTGTCGTGCATTGCATTTCATTACTCGTAGGGGGGGGGGAGGGGGTTCTGCAAGCTAGAACTAAGTCACGGATGATCCAGCAGTTGCTTTTTTGGAATCTTTACATACAATCTATACGAGTTTGAATGCGCGTTTGTTGGCTATTTTTCATTTTTTAAATTTCTAATTCGTACACTCCCTTTTATTGAATATCGTTGTGAAGACTTCCTTTTCAAAAATGGTAATGATTGTTCTGACTCGAATTTTGTGCATTTTCTTGGAGCCCACTCGTAACCTTAATTGTTCTTTTTTGTTGCAGAACTTCTCATTTGTGAATTTCCAAACTATACTGTTGCACCACCCTCATTCCTACTGTAAAAATTCCACTTACGATTCAGATCACATCCCTTATTTGCCAGTAACATCATCCACCATTTGGTTTTCTTCAGAACCCTTCTTTTTCTAAAAATTTGTAATCCTTGCCAATTATCATGTTATTGCTGCAAACCATCACAGCTTGAGTCCAAACGCTTGTTGTCTCCTGATTTGTTTTTTTCAATTTCGTCGTTTTTTCTTTTTTGTTGCATCATTCGCAAGAATTCCGGTTACCTATCTGAAACTGCTTTTCTTCTGTTCTTTTTGCCTTCCTTATTTCCATTGCTCCTTTTGGTTGCATCGCCGTAAAAATTGACTTTGCAGAACGATTGTGCCATTTCACCATGGCCTTATTGACTGAGCTTCACTAGACGAACACAAACGACTGTCCAAATAGACGCGGGCGCGGAAACACCGAAGAGTAACAGAATGGGTGCGTTTTGCCATTTATTTCGACATTTGTCGACTTTTCATCGTCCGTCCATCGCATAGACGTACGATGAAAAGTCTGCCAGCGTGTCCGTCCGCCGTCGATGACGACGACGAACAACAATCGTGTCGCCGTGGCAACAATGTCAGCATCGGATAGTTACAGTTGTTTATGAGACTTCGAAAAAAGCGAACCATTTGCGTATGCCAATCAAGCGCGGCTAATGGAATGCCGCGTCGCGGCGTGGAAGCGGCGGCGGATGCGATGAGCTGGCAAAAGTGTGAACAGCTTTTACAAACGTCCTCCTCCTCGAATGCAATTTTTCGATGAGTCGAATTTGCAAATATTGACACAATGAGTCGTTTGGATCTGCCAAATCTACGTGTATGTCATTTCACGCGCTCACGTTTCCGGTTTCACTTCGGGCGAGTGCAGCAGTGATCTCTGCCACATTTCTGTAGAAAGTAAGCATCTACATTTTTGAGACAAGAATGTAGATACTTCATAAAGCTGACTCAATTTGGGATTAATGAATAACTTTTTTGAAGCAACCAGAAAATATTTTCACTTGCGTTTTATTTATTCCTTTCTTCGATAAGGGAAAAACTTGCAAGCTCTAAAGTTTTGTGATTTCTAAGTCATTTTAGTTAATCCAACATTTGTTAGCTTTTGAAAGATTTCGCTGAGAGGGCAGTTCATAAGCAGAGTTGAGCAAGAAGTCGGGTACAAGTCTTTCGTAAATGACCCCTCCCCCCCAATGAAGGCCCTAAAACAACCCCTTCTTCTCCTCTTGACCTCCAGAACTTCAGAGTGTGACATTCTGGAGGCCATCATCCTTTTCTAGAGAGTTGTCGGGTTTTTGAGAACTATACGCCCGTTTTTTGTGACTGCAGTTTACAATCACACGTGATTTGACGGCTGATTTTGGTCTGAATGGGCCTATTGAAGGGTCCATAGATTTTCTAGGGGTGGGCGTTCGGCTCCAAATTTCCACTGTAGCAAGAAGAAGCTATGGGCTTAATAGTCATAGAGGAGTGGAGCGATTTCTGGATTTTGAAGGCAAGTTGATCGGGTCAGGCGCAACTCCTCAAAAGCTCAGGCCGCCTGACCTTTTGAGGGGTTGCGCCTGACCCGATTAACTTTATCACCAAAGAAGCTTTTCCACCTTAGTTTTATATGATTTGCTAGCATAAACCTCGAAGATTCTACTGCAATTGTTTGAACTTACCTCGACTTCTTCTGGCTTTGTGGTGATCGGTGAAATCAAAGCACTCAAGGTAGAAAATGCGGGACTAACATTTTGGCAGCACTTCTTGATCCATTAACTGAAACGATATGAAATCCAGTTTCTAGCATAAACTGATAAAGAGTAATACTTCGTTATGAATACAAAAAGCTGGTTTCTTTCACTTTTATGACCAAGTCAATCTTTGGAAATCATGCTTTTTAGACGTTAGGAAACACTAGAAAATGTAATAGGTAATGGTTTCTAGAGCTCGTTGAGGTAACTTGACATGCTGATCAAGGAAAATCATACCATGTTTACATAGGAAGCTTTTTTTGGTGACTTTAACGGTATGTGTAAGGTATGATCAAGAATTGGAATCCGGCTGAGACTTCATTAATTGAGTTAACCAGCATGGTGTTCACAAAAGTCATTCCTCTGGTGGAGTTGTGAGATATTCACGGTTGAGTTCTTCTTTCTTCACCTTACTCGATCGTAGTATTTCCTCAATTTTTTTTCAAGAGATTCGCTTCTTGTTTACGACCCCTCCCCCCCCCCTCCCTCCTTTGCTTTTACCCCCCCCCCCCCCCCCCCCCATATGTCCCCCAGGCCGGGCGCGCCTGACCCCACGCCCAGCCCTGCTCATAAGCAATTGATATGTAAATGATTTGAGGAACAATCAATATTTATTTTGAAATATGATTGCTCGCAACGCTTCACTCATGGGAAAGATACATAAAAATTAAGATCTGCTCTGATTGACTCAGATTCTGCTTCAGTCATTTGTCTCCAACATTTAGTCACTGTAAGAGAAAAAAAGCTGAACTTTTCAACCTGAACATCCTATTGTCCTATTTGTCCTACACGCCCTATTTGTTTTCTTTAAACTTTTGAATAAAGAATGAAAGAACTTGAGGAGTGACCCAGTATTGTTAAGAACGACGTGTTTCAATTAGTCCAAATTAATCACATTCAAGGCTCGTGGTTGACACAAAATTACCCCTTTTTCTCTTTTGCAAGTGGGTTAATGTTTTTTTTGTAGGTGATTCCTCTGAGCAATCGAAATGTACGACAACTTCTTAGATCTGATCAAACGTTTTTTTTTTGAAAAACTTCGACTTAATGACTTTTCGTTTCATTATGGAGAATCACCAAGCAACGTTGTTAGTGCCTGCTCCGCCTTCTTTTCCGCAAAAAATTTCTGTCGCTCCACAACCACCCATAAAGAAAATTTCCGCGACCATCACCACTGCTCATTGTGGAAATACGCAAACCACCACATTCTGTATACACAGCTTCTGCTAAAGAATAAACGAAAAATAAACAAAACGTTGTGGAATTGGTGACGTCACCATTCCTTTTCTAGAAATTCCCTTTCGAAAATTTGATGAAGTGTCTCAAACAATCAACAATGTTGCATTCTGCTATTCTGACTGTGCCATCGAGTCATGAAAAGGCTGACCTCATTGCCTGCTTCGTTTGTTCGTTTTCTTCCTTAATGACATCTACTTCTGATAACATCTAAATTGACTTCCTTGTGCAATGTAAACTAATCAAACGCAATTTATTTGCAGAGCGATTACAAGTTTGTTCATTATATTTCCCATTCTATGAGATATCCAGGTTTCTTTTACTAAACCTCAGACCACAAAAATGGCAGGAGAAATTCTGCTCTCAAAATTACTTTAACAATTTTCCATGTTCTCGATCTCCTTTCTATAAACGTCTTTTTCTGCATATTCTTGATAGCATTTTTCCACAAGAACAGTTTACAGCAATAAATATCGAGTGTTATCCCTTTTCTAAATTGCCCACCGTTATGAAAACTGTCCGCACAGAAAAGTTCGGACATACCGTATGCCTACCGTTTCCTTGTATACGTAGATCACAGTGTGCAATTCCACCCCATTTCTTGTTGTTAGTGATAGATTGGTCCATAAGTCTTGTACAAGATATGCGACTTGGAAAATGTTTGGAAACTGTTGGTTTTTATTATATATCTTATATATAAAGCTGAATGTCTGTTTGTCTGTCTGTCTGTATGTCTGTCTGTCTGTATGTCTGTCTGTACGTATGTTCCGGATAGAAAATTCCATTTCTGAACCGATCGGGACCAAACTTGGCACACTCATAGGCTACTTTTCGTCATCGATCGATATTGATTTTATCGATTTTTTGCAAAATTTGAGCTACGGGGCTGGGAGTTGGCACAGGGGGGTAATCGAGCATGCTGATCACCCCCGTGGGGGTGATCAGCATGCTCGATTACACCCCTCTGCCAAATTCCAGCGCCCTAGCTCAAATTTTGCAAAAAATCGATAAAATCGACATCGATCGATAACGAAAAGTGGACTGTGACACCCGCCGGGGCCCGAAGTGTATGTGTGCCAAGTTTGGTCCGGATCGGTTAAGAAATGGAATTTTCTATTTGGAACATACGGCGGAACCGGGTAAGCCAGCTAGTTTACGAATATAAGAAATTTCCTATTCCATTAATATCGGAGATACAATGATCAAAGTCGACATGCTGACTAGAAAAGATTCAAAATCATTCAGAGTAAAAATTTTGTAATCCAATAAACTCGAACTACTTCCACATATAAGAGTAAGTCGTATAATTTAACGGTAAAATTTTTTGTTAAGCCTACTAGCAATTTTAGGGACCAAAATTTGCAAACACCATCTGACTCTTACTATTTATCAGTATGCATGTCCGTGTGTCAATGTGTGTGCTCAGAACACACTTTATAAAGTGTTATCTTCTCTTTTTGGGCTAGATTGACTCGAATGAATCCTTTGAAACCTGAAAGTAATTACAACTTTCAGAATAATCTCGGTACAAAGCTTATTGACTAATTCAACACAAAATTTGCAAATCGTAGCACTTTTTGCTTCATACTACTGCCAAATTTGTGGAATAAATGCAGATATCGAGGACGACTTTATTTTAGAAAGATATATATACAACGGCGTTTGGCCTATACATAAAATTTAGCCCGGTGCAATCAATACGGAAATACTACAAGAGTACAATGTATTCTCATGAGTTCACAAAGGTCATAGTGATTCTTATGGAGAGTGCCGATGTCCGAACCACTCGTTGCACGTTATACGCACGTTTTTATTATAATCCTACTCTACGATCTTCCTGCATAACTCTCTCCCAATTATGCACAGTTCGCACATAAATCGCTCTTGGCAGCGAGTGCTCTACGTTTTTCTACTTTTGCACTTCACTTATTGAGCGCAACCATGAAAGTCGAGGACAAAGGTAATAATATAAACTTTTTCAAGTCAACGACACAGTTTTCTTTACTCATCGTGTACTTTGATTTTTCTTCATTGGAAATTGGATAGAATATTAGTCGCGCTGTTATGTCCCCCATTTATTGCTTTCCAACATTTCTCGTCAAATCATCCAAACATTCTCATTGAATAACAAAATGGCAAGTGTGTTTCTCGAATGACAATGGCAACGAGGCATTTATATGGCATCTATATGGTTTCTCTCATATATCAACGAATCTTCACACTCGAATGTTATTTTCTGTACTCTTATGAATATTTGAATATGCTGCACCCCCTTCCTCTTCGAGTCATTGCGAAGGTCTTGTGCTCTTCCTACTTATCTTTACATTGAATCAAGTGGAATACTCTAATCCCGTGAAAATCATAGCTTATTTTTCTGGCTTGACGCCGAAAATCTTTCAGTTACTTACAAGTTGTTCGTCATGTTTTAGGATGCATTCTATCAAAGTCCCAAATTATCGAAGAAACTAGGGAACACGAATAATAAATATATAATTTCTCGCCTCTCTTTTAGAAGTGAAAATGTAAATAAGGAGATCTAATATTTTGCTACTACGGTAAATGTGGGAAATGGGGCGTAAGCAGTTTGCAATGACATCGGAAGTAAAAAAGAAAGAGTAACCATTTGCTCGATCAACTCCAGGAACATCTGAGGAATAGAAAAATCTAATCTTACATGTTTGAAATACTTTATTTTGTTTAAGAATGACAAATCCCGCCTCTTCGGTCCTGTCCGCCCATATATCTAGTTGTATACTACCCTTTGAGATCTTTACTACTAAATTATAGCCTTTACAATGAAAAAGGAAATAGAGCCCGCTCCGAAAATATTTTGAAGTTTTAGAGAGTGGTCCAAACTAATTATAGAGTGCATGTGACTTATTCTACTGTCTAAAGAATCTTAAGCTGCATTCAAAAATCATCAAATAGCGGGAAAACGCGGTGCGGTCCGAAGCGCGCGGATGCAACACCACCTTTAATTACTGGTTCACTAGTCTTTGATTTGAATAACAGGTTGTTAACTGAATTTTGCAACATTTTCCATAACTTTTTTAATGCATTACTTGGAACACTTAAACTTTCGCAATGTTTAGACCATCATATGAGCTACAAATACAACAATTTGCTTCAAATTCTGGCATCCTGTGACCCTACGGTAGGTGTACGGTAAAACGAAGGGAAGATTTACGGACTGCTCTAGATCGTACTGTTCCTTTTTACATGGTATAGAGGGCTCTTTGACACGCTAGTTACGAAACTCATACTCATTTTGCACGACAATGTCTATTTTGGCAAGGTCACAGAATAGTGCAAATATGACGGCAAGTGAATAGGATAGCCATATTCAGCAAGTGAAATTACCCTAAAATGCGAAATCTCGGCAAGTTCTCAGATTTTGCTCATTAGTTATTGACGAATGTTAGCATCAATTTTGCTTCAGCTGCGTTGTTCAACTCTCGAGGGCGCCAGATCTCGAACAGATTCTTCAGCTACTACTATTTCTTGCCGATAAGCTCTATGAGCTTACTTTAATAATCATTCTTCAATAGTTCCGGGTTGATATGTTCGATTTAGCCTACAAACGATTTATCTTTGTTTGTAATCCAGTAGAATTTCAAACCTTAGCAACTTTAGAAAAAAGCTTAGATTTTTTCCATTTCGTTGTCAAAAATCAAACAACTTGTGCTCGCTTGTAGTTTGCATTGCAGTCTATATAATGCCGAAGTTCGAGCGCGCCAGACTTAAGGAGAGAAATGTTGCGGTGGAAGTAGCAAAATTAGTTAACAAATCAATGAAGTTATTGTTTACAGTCAAACTAACTGAATTTCTTTTCACTTTGATTTTGAGATTTATACATTTTTATCCGAGTTATTTATCTACAACTTTCTCATTCGAGTCCTCAGCTTAGGCTGTGTCAAGTTGTTTCTTCTGAATCTCTCACACATTTCTTCGCCTGATTAGTCATCTTCAGGAGCAGCAATGAATGGGCGTTTTTACCTTGTAGTCAAAAAACACTGTGACGATTGGGGCTACGCAGGTCGCAGCCGACTCTTGACCAAAAAATGAAAAATGGTCAGAGATAAGTCGTCTGACGCATCTTCTCCACACTTCACCCCGGAATCGATTCATTCTTATCGTCTGATCACACAATCACACCCATTTCCTTGCACACATTGCTCAGTGTTTCGTGTTTACACAGCGAAACTTTTAGGGGGTTTCTTGGCAAGCAGCCAGAAAAAATAAGACTTTCTCTTCCTATGTTATATTCCTCTTTTTTGCTCTTTACTAGTTCGGTTGCTCTGCCCTCGGTCTCGTTCGATTCCGGTGCAGCTAATCCGATTCACAGACGGACGTAGTGCGAATTCCACGAAATTCTCATGCAAATCTCGCTCTAATTCACCTGTTGCGCAGCACTAATTCTCTCTGTAAAGTTCGAGTTCTTCGCTGAATGGGGACGCGCGACTCCAAATGAGACGTTTATGAGGTTGCTTTGACTTTTCTATAGTGTAAAATTAGTGTGATGTGGCGTTTCTACTCAGTTTTGAGCGCTGTGATCGTAAGGTACATTCTGGCATTATAGATTTGTCGGTTACTGTAATGCCCTTACAGATCCGCAAAATTTTTGTAAAAATAAGTTCTATGCCTTTAAAAACCAACTTACTTTCGACTTGCGCGCGAGAAATGACCAAAATCACACTTTGGTATTGTTTACGCGCAAATGTTGTCGGCAGCGTAGGAACACCACATAAGCGATAAGATGGACTATCCTATAAATCCTTGCATTCTAACCCTTTGATGGTTCAGAAAACAAGTGATAAGTGATTTTAGCAAGATAGGATATATTTTGCTGGTTTCATCATCGGAAATTACATCGAAAATGTATTGAGTTTTTCCTTAATTTCTCAGATGCGATCACCCTGCAATAACTCAGAATTTCTCTTCCGGTTTGGAAAAAAGTGGTTTCTCTCAGTTTCTTCTCTCCTTTCCCTAGCGCTCGCTTTGTATCCCGTTTTCAGAGTGGAAAGAAAAATTCATTCGAAAAATGGCGAACTCCACTTTAGCAAATCTCAGCTTCCATTGAAAATTCCACAATTTCCATAACTGCATGTAATCCCTCCCTTAAAACAAGCATTTAGCTTTAGAAACCCGGAAAATCGATATTACAGTAAAAGAAAAATCCTCATAGAAGAAAATAGAGCTTACTTTAGTATCCTAACTTCCTCTTAGCTGAAAATTTAGTTTTTTCAGTCTTTTCTGCGACTCGTAGTTGAAAAGGAGTGGGCTCATAATCGATCTAATCAATTCTGGTTTTTTAATAATAAAAGCTGAGACCTTATTACAATTTTCGTCTTTATTCTCCTTCTTTCTTCGAGATGTGACATAGCAGCATAAACCTGTTTTATTTTTTTTTGAAACTCTAGACGGAAATGACGGCCCTCCTTTTTCTGAGCCATAAATTTCTGCAGAATTTTTGCAGAATAGACTTTCATGTTGCATGACGAAATTTGCCTAATAAAATTCTTGTGTCTAAAAATGGTTTTCCAACAAAAGCTGTGCACTTCTTATTATGTTTTTATATTTTCAGCTGCCGTGGCACCTGCTGCAAGCAGCGAACCAGCCTTTGTGGGAGATCTAGAGAGAAAGCGTGAGTTTCACTCGCTCTTGACGGGGTTCCCCCGGGTAAAACACCATATTTGCCGCTTTCAGCGATCGTTTCCGACGCTGAGAAGCCGTCGATGCTGAAGCGACTGTGCGCTTGCTGTCGGCATGAGGCTTCGTCCAGCGAAGACGTGATTCAGGCTGAGCCGGAACGACGGTTACGAGCCAATGATCGTGCCTATAATTCGCAATTTAAATATGCGGTATGCAGGGGGGGGGGGGGGAGGAAAATGGAACTAACACTTCCCTATTTCAGGACAACTACATAAAAACATCCAAGTACAACTTGATTACGTTCGTGCCGCAAAACCTGTTTGAGCAGTTCCAGCGGATAGCAAATTTTTATTTTCTAGTTTTAATGATATTACAGGTGGGTGATCGATCATCTTTTTCTCTCATTGTTGAATATTTATTTTCAGTTTATCCCTCAAATATCATCCGTTTCATGGTGGTCTACAGCTGTTCCATTAGTGTTTGTTTTAGCATTTAGTGCTGTTAAGGACGGGTACGATGATGTGGTAAGCTGCACCAACTTTTCCATTTTTAAATTTTACCCATTTTTCATAAAGACGTTATTGTATGTTTGTCAGAAATTTACCAGTTTTAAAGCATTACTTTATCTTTTAAGCATTTCTCAGTTTTGATCGTTAAATTTGATAATTTGAAGCTCTATCTGTCAGCTTCAGAATTTATAGTTTAGTTGTGCCTCGTAGTTGAAACATATGTAGAATGTTCTAGGCTCTTTCTTTAAATCGAAAAACTGCCTCCACGGCTTGTGACACTAGTTCCAACACTAAAGCAAACAATTATTAGATAACACAACTTTTATTACACTTGAAGGTAAAAACCTTCATAACTTTCTAGAAAAACATTCTCTTATCTCCAATTGAATCTATCGAATGAAGGGCTGTAACTTCTCAACATATACATGTCACGCGTGAAAAAATTTGATTTTTGGTTTTCCTAAAAAAAATTTTGAATTATTTTTGGCAATTTATGGTATTTTCTAGCTGCGATATTGAAGAGCCTGGGCTTCCAAACTGCCTACTTTCAAACACTTATGTCTCCAGAAATCCATAAAAAATTTGAGAGCGCGACATAAGAACGAGAGAATTTTTAGAGGAAAAGGAAAAAATGGAGAATTGAGTGCCGTCACAACATTGCCTTTATAATTACTGTGATCCATATCTGTGTAGGCTGAAATAATGTCATTAGATATTTCTTTGTCTGTTGTCCATATATGCCAAACTTTAGGCTTTGCCAGATTTTCTAATTCTTAGAGGAAAATGAAAAAAGTGTTACAAAACTTATGTTACCATCTAATAATCATAATTTCAACCAACATTATTTCTGTGACGTTGATAATTATTGATGCACAAATAATCAAACTCAACAAGACACAAACTTCTTAAGCTATGAGTGGTTTTTTTACGTCGCTTTTTCTTGGCATCTGGCAAATTGCTGTAGTAGAGATCGAAAAATCATGTATATATTAAGATTGGAGAGATGATCCCAATGTGGTGACTTAAATTTTGAAAAGGCAGTTTAGACAGTTGATATTGATGCGCATATTTCTATTTGCCTCATTTCGCTCCCGAAGTATTTCTGCATGACTTCGCGATTTTTTTCTTTGCAATCACTTTTTATCTGATGTACAATACCGCTCACAGAATGTGCAAAATTTCCGTGAATGTCGCAGAATTCCGGGAATTCCGCAAAGGTTCGCGAAATTCCGGGAATGTCGCGAAATTCCCGGAATTTCGCGAACCTTCGCGGAATTCCCGGAATTCTGCGACATTCACGGAAATTTTGCACATTCTGTGAGCGGTATTGTATCTTTTCATTCTCTTAGTCGTAACTATAACTTAAACTTATCTTTATGCTCTTCAAATACGTGAAAATTCCATTTTAATATTTTTACTTTCTATGTTTCATATATTCTCACACTTCTGTCCTTATCGGTTAGTGATGGATTTAGCAAGCAGGCAAAGCAAACTTTGCGCTAACTTTCCCCTTTTTTGAATTCGACCAATTTTTTGTAATCGATCCGTAAAAAATTAGTCAGAGGTTTGCATGATTAAAAAGCTTTAGAAGGGCGAGGAAAAGAAACAGTTTGTGGAGCAAGGTGAACTTGCCACTGTTTAGTAGCTCCGCAATTTTTTATGGCGTTTTCTTGGTAAAAAAATCAAACATCATACTTGCCTTCGTGCCCGCTTTTCGTTTGATGAAGAAAATGAGTCACGATGATAACATGATGAATTTATCGGAATATGACTCAAATTTAGCAACGGCATATCTCCGATAGGAAAGTCAACACGCGGAAGTCTTACGTGGTACGGAATGGGCATCTGAACGAGGAAGAATGGAGCAATGTTCGGGTCGGCGATGTCATTCGAATGATGAGCAATCAGTTTGTGGCGGTCAGTTTAATCATGCTCGGGAGGAAAACGGACTGCAGTAGATTTCTCGTCTCGATGTATTCAACGTAAGAGGTCAAAATGTTACAACTTCAGTGGAATAATATTCAGAAGGAGACGAGCATTTGCTGCGCCATACACATTCAGAATATTTCCTCGGGTCGTTTGTAACCTAATATGTGTCTGCACACTATGCGCGGCAACCGACGACACCCTTATTAGTATCGACAGTAAACTATTTTCTAGCGTTACAAATTGCAGATGTGTAGATTAACTAATGCATATTTAATCAAATCAAAAGAAGTAAGGAAAGAAGGAGAAATAATTAGATGAGCAGGTTCCAATCTAACGAGTCGTCAATTAGCGCGCATAGTCTGCAATACGCATGTAGAGTTACAAATGACTCGATGATATCTCGAAATTTCTATAAATGCTTTTATTTAACTGTCGCGACGTAATCATCACGATAAAAAATTGTTGCAGTACGATATTCAGCGAAAATTCCACGGAATCACGATTATACCTTTGTATTTCTGGCAAATTTCTGACTAACGTTTCATAAACTCGGGAAGACTTTTGCAGGAATCGGGGATTCTTTGAGTGTTTTCTCAAAGCTCCAACTTACTGAGACTTTGAATTTTATGGATTCTAGAAATGAGTTTGTCTCCGCAAATTTTTTAGGACTTGTGGGTTTTCGGGATTACTGTGATTTGTGAGATCCGCGAAACTTGCGTGATTCGAGGGACATGCGGGATTTGATCATAAATGTCCCAAGAATTCCGCAAAAATTACAGATAATATCTGACAACTGTAAATCAACCAAAAGCTTGCAAATAAACTATTTCAATTAAACTTTAGGCAGATCTATTGCTGCTGTCAACTTCTGAACCTCATGGGCTTTGCTACGTCGAGACGGCGGAGCTTGACGGTGAAACCAATTTGAAGACGAGGGTCGCCTTGGCAGAAACAGCAGAGATGGGTGATAGTCTCGATGACATCAGCAAGTTCCAGGGTAAAACTCTTCACCTCGGTTGCCAAAAAAATCTCATTTTACATGTTTAGGAGAAATTGTCTGCGAAGCTCCGAATAACCATCTGAACCGATTCCAAGGAAAACTCATTTGGCAAGGAAAAGAATATCCCATCATCAATGAGAACATCCTGCTTCGTGGATGCATTCTTAAAAATACGCGATGGTAGGTTTTTTTGCTATGGGTAAGAGGAATCTAGATTTCTAGTTTGTTTTCTGCATTTTTTTGCAATGTCCACTGGTTGTTATAAAGTTAGAATTTACTGTAATACCTTGGCATTCGGTAGTGTTTCATTGTCCAAGCTATCTCAAAGCTCGAAGCTGAAAGCTGATGAAGAATGGAAGAAAAGAATCATAATACCATTCTTATGAGAGAATGGTAATATGATTTGGTACATGATATATGATAGAATAAATTTACAATTTGAATATGAACAGAAACAGGAGCAATTTTCATCAGCAGCAGGAAAAATGCATTTGTAGGACAAACTATCAAGTTATTTCTTATATATTTATTTGCCGGACTTTGCCTTTGCTTTTTTTATGCACTAGTTTACTTCTAAGCTCTAAAATTCTGACTTTCTTTGTCCAGTAGGTTACTTGCAAGAAACACCATCCATTGTTTGTTATTTAACTCAATATTCAGGTGTTACGGTTTGGTGATCTTTGCCGGCAAGGACACGAAGCTGATGATGAACTCAGGAAAGACGAAGATGAAAAGGACGAGTCTTGATCGCTTTCTCAACATCCTCATCATGGGAGTGAGTAACACATTTTCATTTGACTGTGTTAGGCCCCGGGCAGACTTCACGCGATTTGATCGTCGCGACTGAATCGCGAGGAGACAACTGTTACAACATCATTCCAGGCAGATCAACTTGCATTCGGTTGTGATACTTTTCCAGACCGAAATTTTTGAGTGTGAAATGAAAATGAATGGAAATCTTGGCGATTTGGTCGCGACGATTAAGTCGCGTGAAGTCTGACCGGGGCCTTAAATGGAAAAATTATCAAAGTTTAGATTAGTGGATCTCATAAAAGTCAGTACAAACTTTTTTCCCAGGCATACTAATCTAAACTCTGATAATTTTTCCATTTACTATTTTTTTACATAATCTCTAAACTAAGTGAATGATTTGACTATGCGGATCAGAATAATTATTATGGCCAGAGCTCGGCACAGGTGGCTCATAAGCAAGCTGGATATCGTTTTCGGGACAAAAAGCAAAGGGGGTTTCGTTTTTGTGAAATTTGCGACGTTTTTTTGGTTGACATTTCGTTTTCTGGAGATTTTTTCCGAGACTATGGTCTAGGGTCAAAGGCTAAAAATTCGCCGAAGTTAAAAAGAACTTTGTTTTTTGTGTTTTCAACTAGCCATCTAGTGCCAAGCCCTGGTTATGGGTTCAAATGGATAAATTTTGAATTATATTCTATGAACTCTTCTTTTTACTTCTTCTTCTTTAGATTCTTCCTCTTTTATTGTGTTCTTTTGATGTAAAAAATGCTTCACACTGGATATAAATAAATAAATACGATGATCCTAAAAGAGTTACACTATCACAAATACTGGCCCAAACAAAACTCCTTTTAGATTGTGCTTTTCTTGATCGCAATGTGTCTGATCTGTACCGTCCTCTGTGGAGTGTGGGAATGGACCACTGGTCGTTGGTTCACCGTCTATTTGCCTTGGGATGACATCATTCCAAATCGCCACCAACATGGTAGGTTCCTCTGCTCCTATTACCTTCCTTTTTTTGTGGCTAAACTCTCCTTTCAAGGTTCACAACAAATCGCGGTCATCTCATTTCTGATGTTCTTTTCCTATGTGATTTTGCTCAACACTGTAGTGCCTATCTCGCTTTATGTTAGGTAAGTGAGAAATTTTTTCCTTAGTTTTTTGTTGAATTACCTAATTTCACGCATACAAGGCGTGGGGGATTTTTTTCCAAAATTGACTAGCCCAGATACGCCAAAGAACTTTGCAACCAAAGGACCCTATGTCGTGCTGTATATTGCTTAAGAGAATCGTACGGCATAGGGATCGCTTTCCGAAATACTTTGGAGCGGCTGAGGGGTTTGATTGAAAAATCGAAAAAGGTGCGCCTTGTACGCGTGAAATTCGGACAGCTTATTTTTGTTTTTTTCTAATTTCAAAATCATTCAAAATCTTTTTATTTCCTTCGCTGTTCTTCTGGTACATACACCTACTTCCCATGTTCTCTTTATTAGTTTCAAGAAGTAGTTGACCGGATTTTGTATAACATCTATAACTCTTGTTACCTTTTCTTGCTATTTGGTTTGAGCAACGAATGTCACAAACAAGCAGCTAATCAATCAAAGCCTACAAAAATAACTGGCACTTGTTGTTTATGCTAAATGCGTAGCATGGAATGGTGTAGGTAATGGCTCATAAAAAACCTCAATTAGCAATTCTGTGGGATGTGTTTGAGACTTTCTACATCGTCAATAAATCAACCAGCAGAATGGGTTGTCCTACAGGAAATCGCGATATGCACGAGTCCAACTCATTCTTTACTGTAGGATATCTTGGTACAAATTTTCTTATCGGATAAATTGAGATTGATGAAAACGTCGCAGGAATAATCATCTAATCGCTTAGATTTTATAACAATCCTAAAATGCAAATTTAGACAAATTTATTCAAACATGTTTTGTGACAACGGCTGGGATACAGCTCTGCAGTTTTTTATCGAAAATATTCCTTTTTTACGTGCAGGGTTAGTAGAAATTTTTTTGATAGTTGTTTCTCGGTTCTAAATTAGAAAATTTCTCAAACTCATACCTCATACGATTCGTTCTCTCAAATTGCCAGAAATATCATCTGATCATAACGGAAAGATCAAAATAGAAAAAAAAAGCCTTTTTGAAGAATTGTTGCTGAGCAATAAGGATCTTGCCAATCAGAAGACTCTTTACATCTCCTTGCGATGGTAGATCAAAACACTAGAACATTGAGTCAACTTTGATGATTTGCATCTCAGGAAAACTCCTTGTCAGCCAATCAAATTAGGTCATCAAAAACATAGACAGTTGATACTGTTTGTCACAATTGAAAAATCACACTGAAAAAATACCCACAAGAGCTCACCAAATTTGATCCTACATTTCACCTGAGGAATAGTCAAGCCAATTTGTTGTTGTATTATCTCTATCTCTATGATTGTCAGACGAAAACAATCATATTTCGAAATACCCCACTTATACTTTTTCTGTTATTGTGTAGAATTCTTTTTCGATACCATAGTAAAATTTTCTTTGAAGAAATATGTGAATTATTGCAGTGTGGAGATAATCCGGTTCATACATTCGATGTGGATAAATTACGATCAGAAGATGTTTTACGAAGAGGGTGATAAGTGTGTGCCGGCACGAGCGCATACCACAACATTGAACGAGGAGCTTGGGCAGGTAAAAATACTACCCCTTATAGTTTTGCCGGCGTGCCGGCGCCATGACAGCGCCGTGCTAGGATGCCGGGCCGAGTGGAAGCGTTTGGTATTGATCGGACGTCCTGTCACGGCGCTGGATCGGCGATGGAACGGCGTTGGCACGGGCAACTCTGGACGCTGCTTTATGAGCCTCATTGCCCGTGTAAGAACTATCGCTCTTGCTTCAGGTGCAATACGTGTTCAGCGACAAAACGGGTACGCTTACTAGGAACATCATGACATTCAATAAATGCACTATCAATGGAGTTTTGTATGGGGATGTGACTACCTCCAGTGGGGAACCGGTAGAGATTAATGATGTAAGTTTGTATCAGCCACTTGCTCGTTTGGCTATCAAAAGCTGTATTTGTTCTAGGAAACCAAGCGCCTCGATTTCTCCTGGAATCCCCACTACGAAGAGTCCTTCAACTTTTATGATAACAAGCTGTTGGATGACACAAGAAGTGGCGTGTCGGAGGTTGCTTTTATTCGTCTCTTTACCCCTTGAGATTTTTTGCTTTGAGAAGAATTTTATGGTTTTTTACAGGTATCAGAATTCTGGCGTTTGTTGGCCTTATGTCATACGGTAATGCCCGAACGGGACAAAGGACAACTCGTCTACCAAGCTCAATCTCCCGATGAAGCTGCCCTGACCGCGGCTGCCCGCAACTTTGGTTATGTTTTTCGAGCCAGGTCACCAACGTCTATAACCATCGAAGTTATGGGTAAAGAAGAGGTATGCAAGCTCAGACGTTTGGTTGACTTATTTTACCCTTTTCCCCCATTCAATGACCACAAATCTAGCGGTATTACCAAATAGTCAGTTACTTTCAATCTCTAGACTGATCAAAGAGTATGAAAATTATTAGGTTGTCCGGAAATTAATGCAGGTTTTGATTTCCAACCGCCATAAGTCATATTTTTCTCATTTTTGAGCAGATTGCAAGGTACTATTCGATAGCAAAGCAAGCTCTACAAGATGGCTGTTTTGCTTCAAAAACAGCTCTGATTCACCACGAGTTTCGCGCCAAAAACTGAAAAGATTCAACTGCCTGAAAAATTGAAAAAAAATCGTAACTCAGTTCATAAAAATCCTACAAAAATTCTAACCTGCTCACGTAAACACAATCCACATAAAGCATCTTTGTACGCCGTTGCCGTATTTTTTTCAATGCTAGAAATCAAGAAAACGGAAACTTTCGTGAATGTGCCAAAGTGGTGCTGTGCCGTTCCCACACAAGTAGTTGTATACTACAAACCTGTAGAAGTACAAACGTAAATTTCCAGCTCTCTACAAGCTTTAGTTCGCGAAAAATTTGAATTTTAGCTTGAACCACATGGCTAGGGAAAACTGTATTCGATATTTCTCGAGAACTAAAGCTTGTAGAGAGCTGGAAATTTACGCTTGTACTTCTACAGACATGTACTATACAACTACTTATGTGGGAACGGCACAGCACCATTTTAGCAAATGCACGAAAATTTCCGTTTTCTTGATTTCTAGCATTGAAAAAAATACGGCAACGGCGTACAAAGATGCTTTATGTGGATTGTGTTTACGTGAGCAGGTTAGAATTTTTGTAGGATTTTTATGAACTGAGTCACGATTTTTTTCAATTTTTCAGGCAGTTGAATCTTTTCAGTTTTTGGCGCGAAACTCGTGGTGAATCAGAGCTGTTTTTGAAGCAGAACAGCCATCTTGTAGAGCTTGCTTTGCTATCGAATAGTACCTTGCAATCTATTCAAAAATTAGAAATATATGACTTATGGCGGTTGGAAATCAAAACCGGCATCAATTTCCGGACAACCTAATACAAGCATCGAGAGAACTCTCATTCCGATTACTTCCAAGCTAAATTACAACGCTGCATTTTTGTTGCTACCGAAGCTCACAATTCACGGAAACCTTTTGATCTTCCGCGTTTTCTGATCTTGCAAATTCTTGCAAATTTGATTATATTACTCCTTCTCACTTTGTTGCTCAATAATAACTTCAGGTATATGAACTCCTTTGCATTCTCGACTTCAACAACGAACGGAAGCGAATGTCTGTAATAACAAGAAACTCTCAAGGAAAAATTCGTCTCTACTGCAAAGGAGCAGATATGATGGTTATGCAAAGGTTCGTGATCTCATTACCATTACTCATATTTATGCGTTTTTATCTTACTTTACGAAAATTGTTTAGTTTTTCCACAAGTCCGCTTATGCTGATTTAAAAGCTCTGAGCTTTTTGTTACTATGGGAAAGTATGGCCCGTAGTAAACCCCACTTCACTTCAGATGATCTCAACTGAGGGGCTCAGTTGAGGTATTTAAGATAAACTGACTAGCGATCACTCTCACATGCTTAGGAATGCGACCTGATCTGAAGGGTTAGCGTCAGGGTGCCGCGATGAATTCACCTGAAATCCGTAAGAGCAGCCTCGATTTTGAGATGAATTGACCGAAATAGTGTGCAAGGGATGAGACGCAGAGAAAAGTCCCGTAAGTTGCTCGTGAGTAACTTATGGGACACTTACATAATATTGCAGACAAAATCGGCGCAAAACTGCACAACCGCGCCCGAATAGGAGAGGATCGAGAACAGCTGATTTTGGCGAGGAAAACAAAAAAAACAAATTCTTCTCTTTTTTTGTAAAATTCGCTGCTTTTTTTAAGTTGTCCACCATGAGAACTCATCTGTTCATTTCACTGAATTCATGCTGCAACCATTTCGTTTTTTTTATAAAATTCTCGTCACAAAGTGTGGTTTTGTTTTATCTTTGCATTTGCTAGGCGAAGTCCTCGATAGCGGTCATGATCGATTGCGATAGTGGCCGCTATCAAAGATTGCCCGGCGATGCAGCAAAAGTGGTGTCGCTAGGCGGAGTCAAACCATGGCCGCGCGCGTATAATTCCAATCACTAACCCGTTTGACCAAACCTGCTCAAATGTATATTTTTTCAAGAATGCACTTGATTATAATGTCCAGGAAGTGATCCGCATCCAGATCAATAGCTCGCCGGATGCTAGACTGAGGCGCGATGAGATCACCCCCGGTCCGCGTCAAGAGAGATGCCCTGATGGAGGGTTTACTACGGGCCTATATGTTTTGGATATAGAAAGCATTGGAGTTTTTCGATGCCATAAGAGCAATAAGCCTCGAGAGTTTTGCTAGGATAGACAGTGTTACCGTCAACCAGTGACGTACCCAAAATTTTCTTTCGGGGGGGGGGGGGGGAGGGAGGGTACCACAAAAAATTTTCTCTGATGCAGGCGTGTGGCGCTAGCCACGCACTCCAAAAAAATTTTTTTGGCATGCTTCCAAAATTTTCGAGGGCTAACAGCCCCGATATCTCAGAAATTGGTAATAAGTTCATACCATGACCATCAAGGCAAGAGTTCTACGGAAAATTTCAGCTTAGCGTTCAAGAAAAAATCAAAATGTCTAACTCTAACCTCTTCAATGCTAAACCTTACATTTTTTCAGGTTAAAAAAGTCCACATCTCCTCTCCTCATCAACTCCACCAACTCTCATCTAGCTGAATTTGCCAACATCGGTCTGCGCACTCTTTGTCTAGCCTACAAAGACATTGATCCGGCTTATTATGATGACTGGATTGTAAGCCTTAAATAGGTTCCCTCTAAGCCATTTTTGCAAAAAAAAAAATTCACAGGAGCGACAACAACAAGCAGCTGTGGATATGTACAACCGTGAGAAAAAGCTTGACGAGATCTATGAAGAAATGGAGAAAGGTGGGAGAATCTGCCGCAGATGGTGTTTTGGAGTGTTTAATAAATTTCTTCTAGAAATGACACTTATTGGAGGCACGGCTATAGAGGATAAGCTCCAAGATGGAGTTCCGGAAACGATAGCTCGATTGGCAGAGGCAAACATCAAGATCTGGGTTCTGACCGGTGACAAAACTGTTCGTTTGCTTTTGTTAAAAAGAAATCTCAAGAATCACAATTTCTGAAAAGGGCTGTGGGATAATTATCATCTTGTTTCACGACTGTTATGCAATTTTGGGCACAAACTTTGGAAAGAATATGAAGAAACATGGAAAATCTAATATTTACTCAAAAGAGTCGACTTCTGTTCTTAATTCAAAAGCTGTATAGCAACATTTCACCCTACTGGCTTGGTTTGAACGATTTTTTATGTATCAGGTTGTCCCGAAAGTTTTGTCCGTTTTCTTCATCGCTCACTAGAACTCATAGAACACCATTCCATGGAGGACTTAGCATCATTTGATTCAGTTTTTTATCCTCTTTCTTACAGCTGTATTTGCACTCTGATCTTCTCTATCTTTGCGATGTTATCGCCATGGCTTTTTGAGCAGCTCAGCAGTAACGCCAATTCTTGAATTTTAAAAATTTTATACTGATGTTTTCAAAGAGCGCTAATAGTCGTTACGTAGACCGAACCTTTGGCTACCTTTCACCCATTTTAGATTACATAGGTCACGTTTACTAAGTCCGTTATAATTATTTATTTGATAAAACCGCAGCTTTTTGATTAGTTTACCATGAAAGTACCGAAATTTCCAAAAATGCTTTTTCAAAGCAATTGAAACTTGGTTACCTTGCATAAATAATGTTAAGTAAGAATAATGTTTCAATTCGCAGAAGCTACAAAAGCTTTCGTGTATCTGCTACAGTCGCGTGTTTCATGACTTTGCCAAAAATTGAGACCTCCGAAGTAATAATTGAAGTTAAAAACAGCAGATTAGGAGAACTTAAAAATATTATCTTATAGTCCGCGAATTGCTCTATTTGATCCATACTTAATACTTTCCGAAACTTTGGAATGAAATTTTGAAAAATAGCCTAACTATGAGCAGATAAAATTGGCGGTGGAGAACTTCGGCAATTATCAAAAAAAAGCATGCAAGGTCGTGGTTCGAAAATGTATCCATAAGAAAGAGGGGGAAAAGCTGCATTGAATGCATGTTTCTCATTCAGGTCTTCATTGTGCGCGGTTTTATAGTCTTTGAAGAAACCGACTTTCTTTCAGGACAACTTAATATATAATCATGCTCTTAATTTTAAAAATCTACCATAATACCATAATGGTGAGAAAATGGGTAAAAAGCCTGTTTAAAAAACATGGGCTCCCGCGTAAGCAGTTAGAGGGACGGGAGAGAGCTTCGCCGCGTGCGCGACGCGTCGCAAATAGCCCGGACGCGTTGTACTGTAGGCGAAAAGACCGTCTCCCATAAATATCGGTACAATGTCAATTCTTGTAACTGATTTTGGTGGCTGATAACTCCAGAAAATTTCATGTTTTTTGTGAGCATCTTTCTCAAATTAGTGCAGTTAATTTAACTTTTTAAAATATTGATGAACATTTTCCAGGAGACCGCCATAAACATCGCATACTCATGTCGACTGCTGACGGACGAGATGAAGGAGATCGTGGTGATCGACGGTCAGACGCAAACGGAAGTGGAAGTGCAGCTGAAGGACACGAAGACGACGTTCGACCGAATCATGCACACCGCGGTGAGCTCGCGCCTCGACTCGGAAGGCCGGCACTTCTACCGCTTCGTTTTTCCTCTTGTTTCCTCCCTCTCGTTTCCATTGTTAAATGCGGCCTTTTTCGGTTAGCGACGACCTCGTCAGCTCGTTAAAGACAGGAGCGTAGATGAGTACATTCAGCGAATTATAGCCAGCCTAGAGGAGAGAGAAATGGTACTGACCCAATGTCTCTCGTCTTCTTCGTGTTCTCATTTCGTCTCTGTTCGCCCTAATTCGAAGCTTGCAAACAATGCGCATAACACATGACTTAGTTGCTTTTGGCAGGGTTCCTGTCTGGGTCAGAGATCTCGCAGTGTTGATCATTTTCAGACTGGACTTGACTTGTTCTTAAAAATTCATTCCAGCAATCACCTCTCATGATGAACAAGCAGCGATTCGAAATCGAAACCATACATGAAGACGGGCAAGCGCCGACAATGACTTACGGAGGTACGATGTTCAAGAAATAATTCCACATATCTTAGAAGGGAAGTTTGTTTAGTCGAAGTGGCCTTTCTAAATGAACATACCATATTATAGAACATAAAACGCTGACTCCAAATCTGCCTTCTCTATCTGCAGAGCGTTTATGCATGGGAAGTTATGAGCGTTTTTTGAAGCCAAAAATTGAACGTGCATTTTGGAAAAAATGAGTTGCTAAAATCTTATCAGCCCTCAAATAATGCAACCAAGTTTGATATAATTTTTATTTGAAAATATTTTTTAAATAAAGTGCTCTGATGATTATCAGGGCTCCACTAAAGAGCTGCAAAAAATATTATGGCTAATTTATCCTACTTGCACATTCAATTTTTTGCCTCAATAAGCGCTCATAACTCCTCGTCATAAATGCTCTGCAGATAAGGAAGGCAGATTTGGAATCAGCAATTTATGCCCTTTAATATGGTATACGTCCCATCTAGAAAGGCCACTTCGACCAAACACGCATTCCTTGTTAGAGGCGTACTTCACGGTTTGACAAGAACAAAATATGGAGGCTTTTTGCAATAACAACTGGTTTTGTGGCTTTTAGTATGAAAAAGAATTTGATAAATACTAATTAAAAATTAATTAATCAACAACTTAAGTAACGGAATTTTTTGCATACCTAGTTTCAACGACGACATGATTATGCCTATATGCGGAAGTAGATTGTAGTATAGGGACATTTTGAATGAATTTGTTGAGTATGACCGTTCTGTTAGTTAATTGCGCTATTGTGAAAGCAATGTCCACTAATCACAAAAAACACTCGGAGTAAAATGAGCTGTATCACACAACTCCTTCCAAAAAGGAGCCTTCGCCTTCTTTGTTCAATTTCTTAATTTTTTTAAGGAATACGCCCAAGAGAAAAATCAAAAATTTTGTTTTCGACTGATAACTGTAACATTCACAATCTTTTCAATAGACTTCGCACTGCCGAAAAATTACTACCTCAGACTTCCAAAAAAAAGCCACTCAAGGAGAATCGAGAGGCTCTGTTCATGGAAATCACGCTTTTCCTTGCGAAGCGTGCTCTGTGTTTAAACTGTCATGGGAATATAGCAAAAACTCAAAAATTTCCAAGCTGTCGCGCGCTATATAACAACAGCTAGATTTTTCACTCAATAAGACTTCTTATACTTTTGCACTTGTGAATCAATATTATTTTATGAAAACTCCCAACCCTGGAAAATTTTACAGAGGAACATTTCGTGGTTTTAAGAAATTACGATCCAATGATATCACCAAATAAAACTTCACTTTTTCTCTGACCAAAACCCATCAATGTCTTGTACATTCCAATAAGCTGCTTCCAAAAAAATCATACCAATTTTCAGTTTCTAACACCAAGACAGCGCAATCCCCTACCGAAGGTCGATCAGATGGCGGAGTTGCACTTGTCATCAATGGTGACTCTCTCGGATTCGCACTGGACGAACGCTTGGAACGAATGTTTCTGGAAATTGCTACGATGTGCATGGTTGGCCCACCGTGACTAGAAAAATTCAAATAGAAAAAAAAATAAATCTTTTCAGGCGGTGATTTGTTGTCGAGTAACACCTTTGCAAAAAGCGCAGGTCGTAGATTTGGTCAAGAGGAATAAGAAAGCCGTAACGTTATCTATAGGAGATGGTGCAAACGATGTGTCAATGATTAAAACTGCTCACATAGGCGTGGGAATATCGGGTTTGCTTTTCACATTTTTCCCTTTCCTTTTTTCTTAATTTTTCAGTTCTTTTGATTTTTTTTTCTTACTAATGATGGCTTATTCTAGGACAAGAAGGAATGCAAGCGGTCTTAGCGTCCGATTACTCTATTGGACAATTTCGGTTTCTGGAACGGCTGTTATTGGTTCATGGCAGGTGAAAAACCTCATTTTATTTTCCTTCTTTCCTCAGATGTACTCCCTTCTCTAGATGGTCATACATACGAATGGCGAAATTTTTGCGTTATTTTTTCTACAAAAATTTTGCCTTCACGCTCACACATTTTTGGTACTCTTTCTTTTGTGGATACTCTGCTATGGTATGTTTTTCAATATTCCATCATTTGAAAATTAAAAAAAAATATGGCATGCTATTTTTTCTTCATTCCAGACCGTGTTCGATGCTGTATTTATTGCTTGCTACAATCTTTTCTTTACCGCTCTTCCCGTATTAGCAATGGGTTCATTTGATCAAGACGTGGACGAAAACTATAGTTTACGGTAGGTCTACTTTGAGCGCTGTGCACCTTCTACTTCAGTAATATCGCTATTTTTGACATCAGATTTATCTCTTAATTTTTTTCCGTTTTTGTGGGCCCCAATCAAACTTGATTTTCTTTCTATGGCTGGCTTTGTGACTATGTCCTTGTTTCCACTGATCATTTTTGCATGTAGTGAAGATAATTCAGGTACCCTAAATTATACCTGCCTGGTCAGTTCAACCTATTTTTCAACATGAGGATATTTATCTATTCCATACTTCATGGCATGTTTAGGTGAGAATTTCTTTTAAGAGGAGCACTCATTAATTGCTCGCTACACAATAATACCAAAAATAAAATTTTTTCAGTTCGCTAGTCATATTCTTCGTTCCATATGGAACTCTATTGAATGGAGTTTCATCAAACGGCAAAAATCTAGACGATTACTCTACACTAGCTTTCACTACCTTTACGGGTCTCATCGTAGTAGTTACCGGTCAAATTGCCTTCGATACCGCCTACTGGACGGGAATCAACCATTTCGTAATTTGGGGATCGTTGATATTCTATTTTATGGTCGCATTTGTGATTTATGAAGGTCAGATTTTTTAGTTCTTTTTTTACAAAATGATGATGATAGCTTCTAACTAGAAAGATTTTTAGCCCTATCCGTGAACCTCCTTGCTAAAACTACTTCAACGCTTTCTTATGGGGTAGCGTTCAGAAGCATGGCTACTCCTCAATTTTGGTTTTCCATACTTATGGTCAGTTGAGTCCTACCATGCCTTGGTATGTGCTAAATCTCTGGATTAAGGTGACAGTCATCCTGCTGCTCCCAGTGCTGTTGAATCGCTTCTTCTGGTTCGACACACATCCATCGTTTGCCGATCGTCTCAAGGTGCGGAAGAAGTATGGCAAGAGAAAGTTTGGCATCAAAGAAAAGGAAGAGCACAAGTAAGATTCATTATTTGGACCTAAGATGTGGAAATCGAATTCTCCATTTCAGACCATCCCTCAGACGTTCGACAGTTACTCGTCGCAGTATGCGCGGATCGCTGCGTTCAGGCTATGCTTTCTCGCATTCACAAGGTTTTGGTGAACTTATCCTCAAAGGAAAGTTGTTCAAAAATGTCGAGCAGCTGCGAAAGAATGGGTACGGTATCGTTTCTATGTTTAGAAAAACTGATTGTAGCATTTATATTATAGGCGAGTCACTTCTGCTCCCAATGGTCTTTCTCCTGTAGCTGAGGTGCCCTCACCGTCACTACTAACAGCGGTACCCAATAACGAAGAGGTGAGAACGATATGGGTAATTTAACATGAACAATAAAAACAATGAACAACTAACATATACAATTTCATACTTTGACGAGAATGCCGCCCAAGGCGTGCTGTACCCAAAATTTCAGTCCTTATGTGCTCTATGGTTCTGATTTTTGTTTGTATAATCAACTTGGTCTTGGAGGTATTTCATATTCCCCCGTCCTTTTCCTTCCAGACTCCGCTCACTTTTTACCCTTTCAAAAACTCTTGTGCTCAAAGCGCATAGAAGCTTACAAGGGAATGGTAAAACTTGAAGTGGCCAATCCAAAAAAGCTGCATACCAACGACTTTAGCACTGAACGCTGACTTCTGTCTTTCATATCCGTTGAACGACTTTCTAGACCAAGTTACGAGCCATCATATTGCATAGAAATGTGTATAAAAAGTGCAAATTTGGCCATAAAACCCACCACTCAGACATTCGTGGGTAAGTCCCGCAAGACTCTGCGGAACTTAAAACTACAGGACTAAAAAGGTAGTCTTACTCGAGAACCCATTATGTCCCCCCGCGATTCGTCCCAGCTCTAACAGTCCTGACCAAATCTTGTCCTGACCAATAAGGTCAGGACAAAATCGGGTTCTCGCGCAAGACTACCTATTTCTCGATTTTCTTGTGAATGGACTCTTGCGAACTTAACCACAAATGTCTAAGCAGGGTGTGCTGAGCTGTCGACATCGGGTGGGGCTTTTTCGCCCATATTTTAAATCTATACTGCAAAAACAGACAAATGCACAGACGATGTACCCATGCATGAAGATGCACAAAAAGATCACGTCCTATGAGACAGGCGTGAAAAAAGCTCCGTACAAGCCAGAATGGAATAGCTGCAGTCTGCGCAATTATCATTTGCAGAGATTTCGACAACCCTTTTTAACGGGATTGGCGGCTTGAAGGTGGGGCTTCAAGGCCTAATCAAGGCCAGGGAATAATCAGAGAGCACGCTCGCGAGAGAGACGCAGACGGCGTCGCGCGTGTGAGCGTCGCCTTCCAACCGCCAATTCCGTTGAATCAAAGCCCAGATTGGATACTGCGGACTTTGTCACAAAGGGGCCGGACCTCTAACAATAAATAAAAAGCAATGAGGCCAATATATGATTTTTCCACCTTTAAAATGACTGTTTTGCGTGGCGTCGTCTAAATCACGACAGGGGTTGTATGCCATTAAGGATCAATTTCATCAACTTGTGGAGAAAGAAACTGCATCATTGCTACTTGATAATAAACAAACTAAACTTTCGCGAATTTAAGACGAGTCCAAGTTCCGCAGGAATGCCAATCATGACGCTGCCGTTTGAGCCCGTTGTACAACAGCCACATCGCCTGACGGTCAACGACGACGAATGGTGAGAAAATGCTCTTTCTGTGCGTAGTCTAGTAGTCATCTTTAGTAGCCGTGACAGCTCTGTGCATTTTCATTAGACAGCAATGCCTTCTCAGATTCTGCATTTTCTCTCTTAGCAATCGTAGTGTCGTGATTGTCCGTGTAGGTCTGTTGTCGACGCGGATCCAAGGGAATTTCGAGGCACGGTGATTCGCGGAGATGGAAAACCAGCTGCGCCTTCACCGACCGAAAAGTCGGACTTCTTCAAAGGAAGCTCGCTGATGTCTTCGTCCAGTAATGGCAGTGGCAGCAGCTACCCACGGAAACCTTGGCGGACGGAGACAGAGGTATAGCCGAGTGTTGGTGTCCCGGGTTGTGTGAGCATAGTCTCAAAGATAGCTTTTTGTGTGTGGTGTATTCTTTTGTTCGTTAGTTGTTCTGTGCACTTGAACTGCGTCCAGAGTTGCCCGTTCCTGGAGCTGTACCAGCTTCGTACCAACGTTGTCCCAGAGCTCACGCGCACCTATCGATCCGTCTACGTTCCAGCACGGCGCTGGCATAGCGCGGCGCCGCCAACTCTAGACGCAGTCATAGTGGTCTTGTTTGCTGTGCTTTCGCTTTGTCTCTGCAGTGTCGTTGGTCTCAATTCCTTTTCTCATGAATCTAGTAACCCAGGTCGAAGAGGACGACATAACTGTCGAACACTTCTAAACGGAATCTCAGAAGAGGAGAGAGCTGCCGAATCGTCTACGCTCACTCTCTAACATTCCTTCTTTTCTTTCATGTACATCAACAGATGAAAACGAGTCGACGCATTTGCTTTTGTTATTGTTTTCTTATCATACGATTTTTTGTGCTCAAAGCTTTACTTGATGTTACTAATTGTTGCTTCAGCTGTATATGAATCATATTTCTGTTGCCCTCATTCTGCCGACCTCATTCCGGTGTTCTACCGCTTTCTAGTTCTTGTTATTTTTTTCTAAGCTTGTAAACCTCCTGCTGTGATTCCTAGAGTTTTATGACTGAACATATATTTATATATACACATCAAGCCAAACGTTCTGACTGTGATACATCTGGGTTCAGGAGTGCCGTACTTTTACACATATGGTCACGATTGTCTTTGATTTTGATGCAAGTTTTTCATTGATAATTGTATGTATATTATAAAGATGAAATTACCTCTAGCTGGCCCTATGCAGCAAATATCAGCTGCAAGATCCAGTGTGATGACCAGAACATATCAAATCTAAAAAAAGGTGCGACATATGCATGCTCTGCAAGCAGGGCCCAGCACAGATCGTCTGCAGGCAGGCTGGCCTTCGTTTTTGGAGCAAACAGCAAAACAGATATCGTTTTTGACGAGCCGGGGCCGAGCAGCGAAAATAAGCGCCATTTAGTCGAATACAAGCTTTTCGGACAGATTATCGCACGGTTGGCATGCTCAATCGTGTATGGCGAAAAAGCGAGCGAATTGAAAGCAAGGCTAAAATAAACAAATTTCTTGTTTACAGCGCACACAGAAGCGTATGAATCCAAAATTAAACTGTATACACAGAAAATTATTTGCAAAAGAATTATGCAAAAACATTTGAAAACTTATGTGAAGTATTACCTTTTCCAAGATTAGTCGGTCTCCAGACGGTCACCAGGCGATCTGAGATCGTCTGGAGCATATATTTCTGTCAATTCACATAAGTTTCGGATTTTTTTTTATCATGGATGGATTTCCCGGTCAAAAATCTATCCCTGCGCATGAAGACATTTTCATATCATTGCCTTTCCTTTGTTTTTTGCCTTCTTCTCATAAATCGCTTTGTTAAATATCGCGCTCCAATGCGAAACTCTTGTGCATGCGTAGTATTCAGCTCCAATTTGGATATTCACTCTTATCTTATGTTTTTCTTTCAGACTAGTAAATCTTTTTGTTTTCATCTTCTCCTAAGCAGGTAGGTCAAAGGGGACCTCGTAAAACTTGCGAAAGCAGGGGAGACTTCGTTTTCAGAAACCCTCGAAACCGTCTCGTGCCGTGCTCTGTCTGCAAGAGTATAGTTGATTCGTTGACCGCACGGACTGAACATCACTGCGGAGCACGCGCCGCGAGGTAAAACGCTTGCTTCAGTACAAGTTCGCCATTGTACAACCCGTGCTCTCGCGGTAATGCAGCCGCGCTGCGTATGGTCCGCAGGTTTGAGTAGTCCGTGCGTTTAACAAATCGACTGCATAGCTGGCATTGGGTCAAGCTAGATATCGTTTTTGGGACAAAAAGCAAAGGGAATAATTGATGTCTCGTTTTTCTGAGTTGTACGTTTAGGGTTTAGGGTCAAGGGGACTTCGTACAAATTCCCCCTGGTGCCAGCCGTGCCAAGCCCTATTATCTGATGCTGGTTTCTGTGCGAGGAGTCATGAGCGTTTTTTAAACCAGAAATTTGAAGGCACATCGAGGATAAAATCAGGCGCAAAATGATTCCTACGGGTTGGAATGATTGCCGTGTCATTTTGTGCAATTTATTTGATTGAAATATCCATGCACCGCTGCTTTGTTTGCACGCAGGAAAAACTTATGATGATTTCACACTAATCATACATTTAAATATTTGACAGTTAAAACTTTCATTATACCTCCGTTACACTCTGGTATAAATACCAATTTGAACAGTTGACATAACAGGGGCTGTGGATATGTTTATTTTGGTGCACATAATGGAGCGGTTGTTTCGTAGATAACGAATTATAATACAGAGCACAGCGAGTATGTTGTATAGACTGAATGACTTACAGAATGACATGATAACAACAAATGGTGACGTCGTTGTAGAGCGCGATATGATCGCAGATTATGGTACATATGAAAAGAACCATTATCCAACATATATCTAGAGACTTCTACTCTTAGTAATTCGAAGGAGATCAATTCATAAAGGCATTGGAGTCTCCCAGCGAAAGACGGTAGAGTAAGTGAGCATTTGTATATATGAAAGTGATGGCAGTAACGGATCATGCTAAATAGAGTACCAACTGAAGAATGTGTAAGTGGTACGCGCTAAATACATGGAAAACACATTTAAGCGCAAATGCCCTCATTTATAGGATACTACACCAAGGGAACATCCAGAATTGAAACACAACTACCTGAACGCCGAGAGGATCTGTGGGTAGAGGAAGTGTCTTGGGGTCTACGAACCACGGAAGGCATTGTTTGATTTCCATTTACCAGCTTGCACCGACGCTTGCTGGCAGCCCAAACTGAGAGCGAGAAAGGCCGCGCCACCTTTGAAAAAAAGGGAGGTTAACTTCAAATGCTCTAGTTGCAGGCTATAAAAGAAGTTTGAGCTTTTGTCTAAGTGTCGCACATGTGAGAGGTTGCGCAGTTGACTCGGACTGGATTAGGAAAATTGTCTTGTGCGTGTAGAAAGATATTGCAGTAAAGTCCTCTCTATTTTGTCTAAAAGAATTGCGCACATGACCCCTCTACCGTATTGATCGGTTTTCGATTTTGCAATGTTGAGGTTGTACTGTCCACCATTCACGTGAGCTACGTCGGTTACGCGTAAAAGTTGTGCTTCACTAATTCTAAGCAAAGCTTTGAATTAACAGTGCTAATGTTGCCGCCTGAGTTCCTTAGCATCTGTCGACGAAAGGCCTTCAAAAACCCCGGGGCTATTCTGCGTTCCGCTTCTTAGATGGAACGTAGAGTCTCTAGGTCTGCTTCCGACAGGGATCCGCAAAAATACTTGAGTGAAGCGACGAGAGTCGGCAAGAACTTGCTCCTTCCTTCAAAAACGCATTTTGCCAAGTAAAAAGTCCTAGCTTTTGGGAGGGACAGTGGAGAAATTCCTCAGCTTTCTTTCCAAGCCATAAATCTTTCCAGTTGAGCTTTGTATAACTTGATTGTATCTGTAACTTTATCCGTCTGTAAAGTGTTGGAGATCACTGAGACGACAGTCTCTAAGCCTAGTCGATTGGCCACGGCCGTTAGGGCTATTCCCTCGTAGGAACGCGGTGCTGAAATAGAGAAATATCGAAATAAATTCTTATTGGGGAGGAAGGAAGGGCCGCTCCGTATGCTTCCAAATGCCTGGATGACCTGCCATACCTTCTTGATCTCGGGGCCGCTTTGCTCCGCCTCTTTGGCCCAGAGCCAATCGACTGGAGAGTCGATTGCGGAAGATAAACAGTTCAGAACAACACTTATACCTCCGTTACACTCTGGTATAAATACCATTTTGAACTGCTGACATAACAGGGGCTGTGGAGTAACAAAGACTGGGGACTAAAATGGTAAAGACCTTTGCGGATAAGGAAAACCGCGATAATCTCTGAGCAAAAACATGAACGGAGACTTAGTGTATTGTAAGCCAAAAGCCCCTGGTAAGTCGATGTCCGCAAACAAATTTGTGCTTATTAAGCACCCCATCGCGAACAAAGTTTGCCTAATGTTTTCCGCTGGATTTGAGTATAGGAAAGAAGGACTGTGAAAACCAAAGTGGACATCTTAAGATACCTACAGATTTGTAAAAATGGACCCACTTAAGCGTTTTGGCGACGAAAGTAACAGGTGGAACCGACCATAAGAGATTCTGTCCAAGCCGATGGATATTCGAATGCGTTGAACTCCAGCTGTGTTGGGGCAAGGAAAACTGGAAAAAAAATCCTTCAGAACTAGTGATCCTATCAATGGCAAACATATCAGTAGCTGGCTCGCCTCATTTGACAGACAAAGTGGCGAAAATGGAATCGCTTATTCGCCAACAGGGCCCGGCATGAGTCCGTTTCTAGGCTTTTTGAAAACGAAGCTCCCCTGTCTTTCGAAAATTCTACGAAATCCCCTCTGACCCTTGCTCTACCCCTCTCCCCGCCCTCCAATTGTTGGGTGGATCCCCGCACACTCACTTAGTCCTTGACAAAACCATTTACCTGCTGCGAGCTGAAAATCTCGCGATTTCAGGTCAAACTCTCAAAGAAAAATCACAAAATCCACAGAATTTTGTTTCATAAACCCCTACATGGTCACAGTACAGATCAAGATAGATTACGAGCAGAAGAAAGAAGAAAAAGAATAAGAAGAAGAAAGGAGAACGAAAGATCATCAAAACAATGAAAAAAGCTGAAACTGAAACTGAAAATCCAAAGGGAGAGGGCGCAGAAAAGTTGACGCTGGGGCGCGATATTTAACAAGACGATTTCGAAAAGAAAGGGTAAAAAACGGCGGACAGAGGGCAATAGAAACTGTCCCTATGCTTAGGGATAGGTTCTTGACCGGGGCATCTGTCCATGCTAGAGAATCCTGAAACATATGTGAAGTGGCGGAAATATATGCTCCAGATGATCTCAGATCGTCTAGTGGCCGTCTGAAGACGAAATAATTCTGGAAAAGGTATTACTTCACATAAGTTTTCAAATATTTTTGCATAATTCTTTTGCAAATAATTTTTCATACATACCGTTCAATGTTGGTGTCATATGATTCTGCCTGCGCTGTAAACAAGCAGTTTGTCTGTTTTGGCCTTGCTTTCAAATCGCGCGCATTTTTCGCCATACACGATAGAGATGTCAGTCGTGTGATCTGTCCAAAAAGCTTGCGTTTGACTAAATGGCACTTACTCTTGGTGCTTGGACCGACTCCGCAAAGACGAAATCCCCTTTGATTTTTGCCCCAAAAACGAAGTCCGGCTTGCTTTTAGACGATCTGTACCGAACCCTGTCCGCCAATCATCAATTCTATTTGTCTGCTCGCGCTGTCGGCTTCCACATTGAGTTCCCGCGGGACCCATTTTACTAATACGTTTATCTTTTTTGCGCGCTCCACTTCCCAAATTTTCTCTTCAACTCTAATAATCGCCGAGGGCAGGCGGCCATGCGAATTTTGAGCAAGTGGGGACCAGAAAAATAACTTGCTGATTTCTTGCGGTCCGCTTGCAGAAATGTGGAATAATTTTGGCCAATTTTTAGACGAACGCTCGAAGATTTATGGCGGTCTTTCCATTGATAGATTGCTGCCCAGAGGCCGCATTCTCGCGGACTATCCGCGAAAATATGCAACATTGTTGGGGGCCGCACTGTCCTTTGTGAAGGACCGCGCAGCCCGTAGGTACTTTCTGCTGAAAGAAAGTACCCCAGACTTGAGTAATTAAACCATCGATGGCACCTCTGCCACACAGAGTCTCACCTTTGCTCGGCATACGCCCGAAACTGCGTAAAAGGAGTCCGAGCGCTCGTCGAAAATTTGGCCAGCGCTCGCTGAAAGAAATTATTTGCCGAGCGCTTGCAGAAAATGCTGTATTGCTGCCCGCTGGCAGAATATGCGACCGTAAAGGAAGTGCCGCCTATTGAAGGTTTGGCCATGCTCCAAAATTTTGCTGACCGCTTGCAGAAGAGTGCGACTTTGCGGACCGCCTGCCTCAGATAATCGCCGGGGGCAGGCGGCCATGCGAATTTTGAGCAAGCGCGCACCGGAAAAATAGTTCGTTGATTTTTTGCAGCCCGCTTGCAGAAATTTGGAAGAAAATTGGCGAAATTACAGACGAATGCTTGAAGAACAATCGCGGTTTCTTTATGGATTAGCTGCGGTGCAGTGGCCGCATTCTCGCGGACTTTCCGCGAGAATATGCAAAAATTTCGAGGGCCGCACGTTCCTTTGTGGAGGACCGCGCAACCCCCAGGTACTTTCCGCTGAGAGAAAGTACCTCAAACTTGAGTAATTAAACCAACGGTGACACCTCTGCCACACAGAGTCTTACCTGCGCTCGACGTACGCCCGAAAATGCCTAAAAAGAGTCCGAGCGCTTGCTGAAAGTTTGGCCAGCGCTCGCTGAAAGAAATTATTTGCCGAGCGCTTGCAAAAAATGCTGTATTGCTGCCCGCTGGCAGAATATGCGACCGTAAAGGAAGTGCCGCCCGCTGAAGGTTTGGCCACGCCCCAAAATTCTGCTGAGCGCCTGCAGAAAAACGCGAGTTTGCGGACCGCCTGCCCCCGGCGATTATCTGAGTGCTCCCGGCGAGTATCTGAGTAATAGCCGCAGCTTGGCTATCAGTGTGAATGATTGCCCCTGACTGAACTCGGCTATGAAAGGTATCTAGGCCAAACCCCATAGCAAAGAGTTCTCTTGCTGTACTAGATTGCGCTGGCAGGTGCATAGGAAGTTCCCTATAAGTCTTGCCTAAATGCAACCCATCCGCATCTACCAGTATAGCTCCCACCGAATGAGCATACGCATCTAATTGTAGGATTTTGAAGTCAAGATCTACCCAAGAAGAAGTAAGCGAGATAGGGGCGCTCCTAGTCAGGAAAACCAGTAACAAATTCTCGACATTCATGTGTAGAATACGGCCACTTGTGGCTATGTTCCAGTTCTGAGCCTGCGTCCTGGCCAACTCCCTTGTTACGGCCATAGTGTTCTGTTTATCTACGTTGCTTACGATGAGGTGCATAAAGCTATGGTTCCCTCTACCAGCTTAACCTATCGTGCAAGCACGGCCGAACATGAGAAGATTTACGCAGTTCATCTCTTGCCCTAGTTAGTCTATCTCCCGACAGTTCTATAGTCATCTCACTCAAATAAATAATGAATCCTGACCAGCCTGATGTTTGTGCCGGATCCCATCTACATTTTTCTTCAGCGAAGAAGAATCCAGCCTCAGTGAGATCGGCCTTAGGCTGGGTTCATACTGATTCCCATGTTCCGGAACTGCTCCCGCACAGTTCTCGCACTGTGCTGGAACTGTTCCGGAACTGTTCAAAACGCATGCGCTGCAACCGCCCCGCATGCGTTTTGAACGGTGGGAGTTGGAGAATTTGACAGTTTTCAACGGTTTTCCTTCCAAATTCCTCTCATTTTGGCTATTCCTCTACGCTTCTCCTTGCGATGAGAAAAGCTGAGAACTTGAAGCGGGGTTGAGAAATGAACGTTGTTCTTATCTTCTTGTCCGGAACATGTATATGAAGAAGAACAGCGTTCTCTCTTCAACTCCGCTTCAAGTTCCCAGCTTTTCTCATCACTAGGAGAAGCGGGGTAGAAGAGAAAACGGAGAAGCGATACGATATGGAAGAAGGAAAGGGGCTGAGAATACCCAAAACGGAGTTCATCGGAAAACAAGAGCAAAGTTCCCATTTCCGCATTTCCAAAATGATCGCATGTCCTAATTCGAGATAGATGCCTGCGGAAACTATGCAGCGGCTTCCTGAAACAAATGAGTTAGGTTTGAGGAAAAAGAAAACGAAGCGAGGATGGACAGGCGCAATAACACACATTTTGTCGGATACGCAGGCAGAAAAGCGCTTAATCTTCAACTCCGCTTCAAGCTCGAATTTCTGCTAATCAAAAAGGGAAGCGGGTAGAGGAATAAGGCCTAAATGAGAGCAATTTTGAATAAGAACCGTTGAAAACGGCTAAAATTCTCCAACTCCCGCCGTTCAAAACGGTGCGGGGCGGCTGCAGCGCATGCAGCACAGTTCCGGAACAGTTCCAGCACAGCGCGAGAACTGTGCGGGAACTGTGCGGAAACAGTTCCGGAACATGGGAATCAGTATGAACCCAGCCTTAACGATGCGATCGGCCTTAACGACGTCGACTGCATGAGAGCAGAATGGGCTGGAAGATCCGAAAATTAATCCGATTAACCCGTTATCGAGATGTATAGCGACATTCATGCCAAGGGATCTCCACTCTCTGACAAATGGACGAAGAAGCTTGATGAAAATATGTGGCGCGGAGGAGAGGCCAAATGGGAGGCACAAAAATTGACAAGCCTTTCCTTGCCATTCAAAGCCAAGTTATTGTAGATGATCGTGACAAACTTTGACATGGTGGTACCCCGACTTGAGGTCAAAGGTTGCCATGTAACCCCGAAAGGGGTGAACATGTAACATTTTTCCCAAATCCTCAGACTTGCACTTGGGCACCATTATAAACTTACTGAGGTGGGACTCCAGCACCAATCGCAACTTCTTAACTGTCGCGACAGATAAAGGGTGAGTGTGCAGAGAGGGGCGCTGACTGGCGGAACTCGACGAATAGCTCTCTTCGAAAGTAGGTCCGAAATTCCAGCTCACAAAACCTGCATGCTCGAGAGCTGTTCAAATCATAGCTAGGCTTTGTAGGAACACTATGAAAAGGTATAGAGTACCCTGATATAATGTGGTCGTGACCAACTGATTAGGCTCGAGAGCTATCCAAGCACGAACTCTATTGTTAACAGAGCCAGCAAAGAACTCACTATTTTCTTTTTGTCTCTCACTAGTGGCCTTCTTGTGCACAGATCCTACACTCGCTTTTTCTTCTGTTCAGTTCTCGCTGAGATCTGTAATCCGAGCGATGCGGCGGGGAGTACTCCTGTCTGCGCATGCGACTTCTTTCGAAATATGGTTGGTATCCATAGTAGGTCTTGAAGCAAGTGACGCAGCCAGAGAAACACGAGGAGCCTTCGGCTTCGTATTGGTTAAAACGGGAAGCAGGTGGTCAAGTTGCTTCCCGTTTTCGAAAGGAAGGGGGAGGATCCGCTTTTTTCTTCCATGAGGTGGATTCCTCCTCGAGTTTTACGGATTCAAGAAATTCGCTCAACCTAGGGTCCGTAACTCTGAGAGACTCGGTGTGGCGACTGGGTGGGCTCATGGCACCTAGATCTAACCCGAGGCCTGATGCTCGCCCGATACTAAACGACGTACCTAGCCTACTGCGCACGAACGCGCGACAGTACAGAACATAAAATTAATTAAGTGGTTTATCCTTATGACACTAAACTACAGTTAAAATAAATGAAAAAGAAAACTACACTAAAGCAAAACAAATTACTACTACTACAGAGTTAAACACGGGGCGAGGGCCCGTCCCATGCTACCGATGCGCGTCCATAAATGATCTCGAAAATACATGTGGCTCGCGAGGGTTAACGCAACAAATCCACCGCGCAATGCCAAGGTCCTTAGACTACGGCACGTCCCCTCCAGCTCCTGTAGATGATTTCCGGTTGGTACTAGGCGCGTTGACTTGCGCTAACAAAAAGAAATCCGTTTTCCAATCCAAGAACTTCCGGCTCAACTGCTCTTACGAAAAAGGACAGGAGCATAGCGGCTGAAATGATATTTAGAAACGATATTCAAAATCAATCAATAAGACGAAGACGAACAAAGGCACCCAACTGAGGCGCCGCCGCCTTATATAGCCGTCTGGCTGGCAACGAGCCAATTAAGGAGAGGTCCGGAAGCGATCGCGGCAACACGCGTCGCGGCTGCCGAAATCGTCGCCGGATAGCGCGGTAACCGATGCCCCCGGCCTCCGTACTTCGAGGAGCGCCTTGCATCGCGAGACGCGACACTCGGATTTGTTTTTTCTTATCTGAAAAATGGAAAACACCAGCTCAGATAATCGCCGGGGGCAGGCGGCCATGCCATTTTTGGGCAAGCGGGCACCGGAAGAATAGTTCGCTGATTTCTTGCGGTCCGCTTGCAGATATTTGGAAGAAGTTTAGCGAAATTTTGAGCGAATGCTTGAAGAACAATTGCGGTTTCGTTGGAGATTACCTGCGGCGCAATGGCCGCATTCTCGCGGGCTTTCCGCGAGAAAATGCAAGATTTTCGAGGGCCGTACGGTCCTTTATGGAGGACCGCGCAGCCCCCAGGTACTTTCCGCTGAGAGAAAGTACCTCAAACTTGAGTAATTAAACCATCGATGACTCCTCCGCCATGTAGAGTCTCACCTTTGCTCGGCGTACACCCGAAACTGCTTAAAAACCGTCCGAGCGCCAGCTGAAAATTTGACCAGCGCTCGCTGAAAGAGATTATTTGACGAGCGCCTGCGGAAAATTCTGTGTTGCTGCCGCTGGCAGAACATTAGACAGTAAAGGAAGTGCCGCCCGCTGAAGGTTTGGCCACGCCCCAAAATTCTGCTGAGCGCCTGCAGAAAAACGCGAGTTTGCGGACCGCCTGCCCAAGCGATTGTCTGAGAGGGTGCTTATCGCGATTTTCAAGGTTTCATTTCTTACAGTTAAATTCTGGATGACTGAAGAGATCACGGCGCCGACTTCTTGGCAATTTTGCAGTGGAACAAGTTCTCTAATAATCGACAAGTCAAAATCGTATAGACGTGCATAGCCTTCACGTTTGAAGGTAGGTGCAGAAAAGGTTGAGGGAAATTGGTTCTCCGACCTGATAGCGTCTAGAATGCTCCGTAGATCGCGTCGATGCAAAGGAATTGATTCGGGTTGTGCCGGTGCCATTTCCTCCGCAAACACCTCTTCCTCGCGTAAATCCTCGTACGTGTCCTCTGGCTGTTGGTTTCCGTCATCGCCCATCGTTGAAGTCGAATGAATACGGATATGGAGAACAGACCAGCGCCCCGTGACCAAATGCCAGGATGACCCTCTATCCCTTCTTAGGCTCGGGGCCGCTTTGCTCCGTCTATCTGGCCCCGAGCCAATCGACTAGAGAGTCGACTGTGAAAGATCAACAATTCAAAGCAACACTAATTCCTCGCCCAGAAACCCGCAGCAGATAAGAAAGGTAGGTTTAGAATTGGCGTTCCATGCTCTTCAAGACAATGCACATCTCATTTTGAAAGACCTTTTCGACCAACTTTTGTTCCCTCGTCAGTGCTAAAATAGAATCGAATCTGGACGAGATTTTGAATAATGCAGTTCCGCATTAAGATACGAATTTATGAAAGGTCATTTGTTTTCGCGCTGAATAACTGCCAATGTTTGGTGGGATGGAGGACAATTTGAGCAAGTCAAAGTTGTGATTCTATACTTGTTTTGGTCGCAATTCAAGAGTACTTGAGAATCACATCCATTTTATAGAGGGAAAACAACTGAAGAATGCTTTTTCTTATGTGACTGATTGACAATATGGCTCTGTCTCTCTATGACATGGAAACCATTTTTCTATCTATGTAATAAGCAAATCTGGTAGTGTCAAGATCGCCGACGGTCTGTAATAAGTTCACTTTCGCTTGACAGAGAACAAAGCAGGAACGAGAAGAAATGGGCTGACAACGTCATAGTTCTGCCTTTATTTGATTCTCCGGCTCCAGTCGACGCGAGCTACTGGGGAGTTTTGGAAACGAATTGCCTCTTGTTTTCGCTATATCTGACGAAGACCCCTTGGATCTCTTTGGAGCCTCTCATTAATACTTGTTTTTTTTATTGTATCAAAGCCGTGGAAAATTGCAAAAAAGCAAAACCTTTATCACCATATACTCTATTTGTGTTAATGCACACAAGTTTGGAATCTCGGGGGAGGCGCAGGGGTTCCGCCGTACCGTACTTACATCAAATGCGCAGTAAGGCTAAAAAATGACGCCAAACTGCGTGTTTTCATTTTGACGCTTTTTTTTTGTTCTTAGCTGCACACACGGTCTAATTTTCGATGGTTTTCTCTAGACGTCGTGCACGCCGTTTTAGATCGAGTACTCAGAATTTATCACTTCTGACTTTCACGTAAGGAAGGCAGTTGAGCAACATTGCTGGATAAAGTTAGTGTGCTTTCTTCAGTATTGCCGTATGTAAAAACAGCAGAGTAACCTATAGGCAAACCTCGCTAGAAGCAATCCTATCCGAAAAAGATCCTTGATAGAGACTTGGCATAAAAAACCACAATTTCCGCTATTGGTGAGAAGGAAGTTGATACAAATACTGCCTAAGAGACACTGAACTCTTTCTACATGCGACAATACTGAAGAAAGCAGACACTTCAAAATCCAGCAAGACTGCCCATCTGCCTTCCTTGCCTGAAAGTAAAAGGTGATAAAATTTGAGCACTCGATCTAAAACGGCATGCACGACGTCTAAAGAGACAGATCATCAAAATGGGACCGTGCGTGCAGCTGAGGGCAAAAAAGGCGTGAAAATACGAAAAAAAGCAGTTTAGCGTCAAATTTTAGCCGTGTTGCGCACTTGGTGTAACTACGGCATGGCGCGACCCCAGCACCTCATCCGGGATTTCAAGTTTGTGTGCAATAACACACATAGCGGGGACGAGTGGCGTAGTAGTATGAGGCGCCGCTAAACCAGAGCGGACGCAGGTTCTATCCCCGTCCCCGAGAAAACCAAGCCTCTACCCTCCGGGGCGGGTAAATTGGTACCAGAGTAATCTGGGCGGATAAAAGCACTGACTTGGTAAGCGGCTGGCCCCCGCAAGTCACTGTAATAGGCTCTCACGCACACAATTGCCTCTTCGACTATGAAGCAGTGTGCGTTCGGCATGCCCGCAGACGGTGGTAGAAACATTGAAGAAGGTTTTGCGTCATTAAAGGCAGTGTACTGGCAAAAACTCGGTTTTTAAAAAATCCACTCACCGAGGGTTATCCGCAACACTTAATCCGAAAATCCACATTAAAAGGCGCGAAAACGGCGAAAGCATGCATTTTCCAAAGCCTTACAATTCGAAATTCGACGGTCCCCGCCATGGCACAGACGCAGTGTCACTGCGGGACCCTACAATTTTAGCTGTGACGGCATGCGTACGCTGCCACCTAGCAGGAGCTCGAGGTCGGACCACTCCGCCCCAAGACGTAAGTTTCCCCATTTCCCGATCGTTTTTCTTGCTTTAGATCGAACGTTATGACCTCGTATTTTCGCGGTGCTGTGTCTGAGGGGCCACTTTCGAATCGCAGTGAAATCCCAAAACCCCCATCTTGTCCGGGCGCTGCCGGCTTATCCGGACCTATTCGTCATGCTGAATCATGGTGGACTTAAAGGCAGCGTCCGGGCAGATTTGGACATTCTTAGATACTATCATAGTCGAATACTAGGGTCACGATCTAGAGCTATCGCGCAAACCCGACATCCTAACACCCCCTATAAAGGGAGCTCGACGACCACGTCCACTCGCCTCGGACCGGCCGCCTCCGTGAACGAATGCACCCTAGCCGCTGTTTTGCATGCGTCATGTGCGGCATTATCGGCCATAATATGTCATTTACATGGCGTCATCTTTGTATCTGTTCGTGAAATGTAATATCGTCTTCACTATTCGTTGTTATAGCTGTACATAGCTCGATATATTATAAGAGTGTCCAAAACTAGCATTCTGCACGTCAGTCTCCATATTTCTCTCAGTTTTTCAATTTTCAAGAATTTTCCCATAAATTTGTTTGCGCTATTCTGAAAGTCCCCCATTATTTTTGAGTAAAACATGTTGAAGTTTCTTTATTCATTTCCACAACGTCCAAATACGGCCAAACTTAAGCAGCTTCAGAACATTATTACTATGAATTGCTCTACGACTCGTATTGTTTGATTTATTTGAAATTTGGTGAATATTAGGGTGTAGTTTTAGATAAATTCTTTTCCGTAGACGAATCGATGCTATCGTTTGATGAGCTGAAACCCTTTAGCGAAGTTCTCCACGATGATATCCAGCTGTACAGACTGCATAAGCTTTGTAAGACATGTTATTGCCTTTTCCTTTTTTTAGGTATACCTTTTTGAGCTTTTTTTCGAGCGGTGTGGTTCTAATCAGTAAGCGATTATCTCATTGTCAACATTCTCATCATTCAGAATCTGGACAAGCACGACGATGATGCTCTCTTGCGACATATCCTAGTCGTTGTTTCTTGCATGGAAGATTGTCTTCATGCTGATCCGCCCTTGATGAAAATGCTTCAAAACTGCCTTGTCAAGTAAGTTAGAGACACCTTATATCTTGATATTTTGTCTCTCATCAATTTTTAGAATGACATCGATCATCGAAAAAACAAGAGAATCAGCTTCAAGGAATCTTCTTGCGATCGCGACCGGCGACCTTTTCAAATACAGCGCTGCGCTGTTGCGAATACAAGAAGATACTGATTTTGAGGTGAGCATCGAATTTCTGCCAGAATTTGTTGTCAAATAGGTATTCAGCGAACCCTTCAGCCATATTTACTATATTGATTAACTTATTCAGCTTGCTCTATTTCTCAATGCTGTTGCCTATCACCACCTCAGTTTACCTTCGATTTTATTGTGTTGTTACACTGTTACAGCCGTTGTGCTCATCTACAATAACTATTTGTTGTCTTTCTAAATTTGCCATCTCAAAAAAACGCTCGAAAACGATCTTGATGGAGTAAGTATGTTACTGTGAGACAATTCGGCAACATACTAATAATATGTTGTCTAGTTGAAATCTAGATCTCAAGTCATCCCAGTCATCACCTACTCAAACGTAGCAAAGAGTATGAGTTGTGGAATGGTCGTGCTCCTATATCATCCAGCTCTCTTATGCCTCAAACACCAGGTATGCTTTCTGTTGTTTCTTATAGCTTGGCTCATATGTATAGGGCACTGCGTGATCGCGAAAGTTGGTGAGACTGCGGCTATTACCCGCGCGTTGAGCTTTCTCATTTATCTTTCTCCTTTCAAACGGTTTCCTGCTACCAGATGTTAGCTTCCATTCACGTGAAACAATTTTGATGAGTACGAGATTATTTGAATTCGGCGTGCTTAATGCATGCGCAAACTTACCGACTCTCGCGATCACGCAGTGCCCTATAACAAAGATTACAGATCCAATTTGAACGCAGTTGAAGTATACTCATGGCTCTAACTATTCTCGGATCGGCGTGAACTTGTTCAGCAAAAAACTTCACTGTAACAATAGGTATGTTTTGATATGAATTAGTTGTTTTAGATAGAGCTGGTTAGCCATACGAGGTTAGATGTTGCTGTAGATGGTGATTCTCCTTTGACAGAGTATGGCGTCTGAGATCCTAATGGGATATATCATGCGAAAGCTGTAGACCGGTGGAGCTTGGGAGCACCGATGTATTATAGTAGAATGGAGGACCAAAATATTATAGTTGACTGGAGGACCACCATTTGCTGTCGAAAATAGGAAAGAAAAAACTTTGATAAGGGGATCCCTTCTACAAGGCGAATATAGCCTAGCGATTTAGTCAATGTTTCATGTATTTAGATGTACTATCGTGTATATAGCATCGTATTAGCTGCTCTCTACGAATTCATCATGTTTATTAGAGAACTAGGTTCTATGTTGTATTTGAATAAATTATCCGGTACCATTTATTGCAGTCATATCAAAAGACATTAATAAGATATTGTTAGTTCATCGTCATCAGTGAATTCAATACAGCTTATAATAAAGAAGAGTACAGTAGTCATAAAAATGCTCTCTACAAGGTTAAAGGCAGTGTCCGGGCAAAAACTCGATTTTGAGATTTTGTGCTCACCTGGGCCTATTCGCCATGCTGACTTCGAAAATCCACATCGGAAAGCGCGAAAACGGCAAAAAACGGCTCTAACGCAGGAGGGAAATCAGAAGTGGGCGGGGTCTTCCCCATTGTGAATTTTGCAGTCCCATCTTCTGAAGCGATTTTCTTAATCCGCTATCGCCCTGAGATCTCCACAGGCCAGGTGCAAATGCATGACTTGAAATCGGGACCGAGAAGATCGCTCCGGAAGCTTGGAGCGTGAATCCGCAGTGGGGAAGACCCCGCCCACTTGTGATTTCCCGCCTGCGTTAGAGCCCTTTTTCGCCGTTTTCGCGCCTTCTAATGTGGATTTTCGGATTCAGCATAGTAAATAGGCCCGGGTAAGCACAAAATCTCAAAATCGAGTTTTTGCCCGGACACTGCCTTTAAAGAGATTGCCTTTGATATGTAAACAAAGGAAGGACAGCATGCGAAACAACTGTAAACACTGACATCAGGATCAACTAATCTGATCTGATAATACTTGAACAAAGCACCAAAGCTCCAAAACGTAAACAGTCTGAATTTGGAAAGATAAAGAGACGAAAACAACTCAAAATTGTCATCTTTTCAGAGGACGCTGGAAACCTGTTTCAACAGATCAGCGACTTGGAATCATGACAGAGATCTCCAACATCCTGCAATAGTAACTCATAAAAGCAGTTCAAACAATAAACTATTTTCATGGATTACAATGCTAAATCTAGGGTCTAAGTCTAGGATAACGATAGCTCGAACTTGGAAACCTGCCGAACTGTCTATAGATTTGAACATGTTTCTTTCTAGTTATTCGACCTCTCACAACTAACGTTATAGACGCTAACCACCCTAAACCTCTCACAACTACCGCCATAGCTGCTAAGCACTTCACGTTATGAAACCCATGTGTTTCTTTCTGTCATTCGACAATGGAAGATATCATTATAGGTGCTAAGCATTTAGAAGTGCTCGTTCAGCTTTCTCTTTAGATCGTACTGGATCGGTTTTCAAACCAAAACGTGCTTATCACAGTAATCTACGATATATAAAAATCGCTTGATGATTGTTTCCGCGATCGAGTGACCCACCTATCGTTATTCTTGACCACCCGCTATATACTGCGATCTTATGATCTTATTTGCTTTACCATTTACAGTGATAGGAGCGAAAGACCTGTTTAGCTACAAATAGACTAAGATGGTGAACAAATCGACTTGTTACATCTGTGGAAAGAAGGTCGATAGAGACCGTACAACACCTGTCTCCAGAAGCATCAAGAACAACGCAATCTTCTTCGCAGCAATGAAGATTTACTCATCGGTGACATCTGATTATCTCCAGATGTACTTTGAAAACTGCAAGAAGAGCAAAAAAACCATCTGCGTTGCTCATTACCTAAGAAGCGTAAGTTCCAACAATTAAGACTGCTAAAAAAGCAACGTTTACATAGACACGAAGCCTTCTCGATGATATCATCATGGCTGGCGGAAAGTTATCGAAAACGAAGGAAGACGTGGCCTACATCAATGAGGGTGATATTCCCAGCCAACTCTTATTTGAGTTGAATACGACCATAACAAGCTTTGCAGTTAGTTTGCTCCAGAAATTTCAAAATTGAAGATGTATTCATTAGGTGGATATCACGGTCAACGCGAGGGATGTTTGTCATTACTTAAACGACTACTTGAAAAGATATAGCCGGGGAGATGAATGGAGTATTCGTCCAGCACAAGCAGATGTGGTCTCCCACGCTCAAGCAGAGGTGCTCTCCGCTGAACTAATCTGAGTTCATCCAAGCATATTTAGATGAAGAATCCACCAAGGCATGAGAATGACAGACAAGAAAGGAGCATCGAAGTGGAGGATGTCACCATGTCATCACCGCCTGTGATACGCGTTGATTCAGATTTGATGAGGACACCAACGCCTTCTGTTCAACATACTGACTCGGGAACTTCGAAAGCGACGGTTTGCAACTCAATATTACGAATATACTACTACTCAATATATCAATGTTACAATGTGTGTGGGTGTGGGTGTTGTGTGGGTGTGTGGGTGTGGGTGAGGGTGAGGGTGAGGGTGTGGGTGTGGGTGTGGGTGTGGGTGTGGGTGTGGGTGTGGGTGTGGGTGTGGGTGTGTGTGGGTGTGGGTGTGTGTGTGAGTGTGGGTGTGGGTGTGGGTGTGGGTGTGGGTGTTGTGTGTGTGGGTGTGGGTGTGCGGCTTTTGTCATATCTGCTAGCGTTTGACCTAAATCATTCAGGGCGTGAAATTAGTGTAGATGCCTTTCCTTACTAGATGCTAAATCAAGGCAGTGAACTGCTTTGAATTTCGATATCACAGGATACGGTCACTTCAACAAACGTACTGCTCGATATCAGTACGATAACAGCTCTGTACGGTAAGGCTTAGGGGAACGGAATTCGTTCATCAATATTTCACGAAATTGTAACGAAATCGAAATTGTCTTGTACTCGTGAAATTATAGTATAAATAACTATAATTCCACGAGTACAAGACCCACCTTTTTTCTTTTTTTTAAGTAAGCAACTCGGCAGAACCACTGTGCCTCGCTAAATGCTTGCTCTTCCACAGGTTTTAGGTATGGGACAGCACAGTAGAAGGGTCCCTTGGTCGCAAAATTTTTGGTACGTTCAAGCTGGTCGAGTTCAGAGAAAAGACAGATGCGTCATGTACTCGTGAAAATAGGTCATGGCTCTCAAGATCATGAATGGCTTTGACATACGTTTGAGATCAAATCTGAAAACTTTGTGAGCCAAAGTATTAGGTTGTAAAGAAAGTTCTGCCAATCCTTTTCTTAAATACCAAAAATAAATGCGAATGCAAGGGGGTGGTTTGAAATGTGTTTTTAGTGTGCGATAGCCCCAACTACCTAACAGCATTCAGCTCGAAAAAAATGATGATCTACTATTAAGAAATGCCCGAAAAAGGAGAAAAATTAGTTGCGCTCAGGTCTGCGAAATCACAAATTTTTCAGATTGTGGACGCCAGAACTTCCAGAAACTTGATTTGAAAACGTTTTATACCCTATGTATTAGCTAGGTGAAGCAGTATCCGACTATTACTTACCCGGGTATCTGGGTCTTTCTGTAAACAAGAAATAACTCATTGAATTCAGGGTTCAAGTTCAAGAAATCGAACTTTCCACATGTTTCGAAACGCAGCCAGGCGCTTATGGAAAAGAGCATCTACGACATACCTAATCAGTAGTCTAACAAGGGAAGGATACCAGCATCAGTTGGCAATTGAAGATGAGATGTATACTAAGTAGACGCGCCTTTGAACGCTGACAAATCTGCTTTCCTTTTTTGCGGAATAAGTCTGAGAAAGAAGTTATGAGCGTTTGAATGTCCAGATTTGCCAAGCATTGAGTGGCTTAAAATCAGCGAAAGGTTCTGAAACAACGCCTATGCGATTTCCACCGGCTCTGTTCCTTCCTTGCAAACAATATACTCGATACAAAAATAATTTTCCGCTTTCCGGTGCTTTTATACAGCTTTTCACCAATTTTAGGCCATCTAAACCTTGACAAATTTGGACATTCAAACGCCCACAACTTCTTTCGGAAACTTATTCAGCAAAAAAGGAAAGCAGATTTGGAATCAGCGTTCAAAGGCGCGTCTACTAGTATACATCTCATCTTCAATTGCCAACTAATGTTGGTATCCTTCCCTTGTAAGGATGTTAGTGCATATGACCGAAATATCGCTAATTGATAGCCACTCATGGTGAAGATATAAATAAAACAATTTAGCTCAGTGTCTATTGGCAGAACTTTCTTTACAACCTAATAGCTTTAGCAAAAAATGCATGGTAAAAAATTTACCATGTTATGACACAATTGATTGAATGCCAGTGCTTGTACAGAACCTAGAACAGAAAATTCTATTGCTTCTCAAACACTATGAATTTAATATCTAATATTTGAGGGCGTGATGTTTTTAGCATGCAGATGTGAAATCGCTTGGAAACGCGCCATCAATTTGTTTGATGCATGGCTGCAATCACAATCATATGGGGCAATTCCTAGATATCTGAATCTATGTCATTCTGTCCAAGGATATGTGACGTTTGATTGTTCTTATTTTCCTGGAATTCTTCGGCTTTGATATTGATCGGGAAAAAGTCACATATGTCTACAGAGAGATCAATCTTTGTAGCTGCTTTGATTCTTCCATGCTTTTTCTATTCCAGGAGTTTCACCTTGTCGCAGACATGACTAAACTTTACAACGTTATTTCATCACCAATGATTTCTCCGTATAGTACCAGGCGCTGTCCGCATCGTAGAAACTATGAAACTTTACAATTAACTTTTTGCAATTCACAGTTCGCATTTGAGCAATTTCCGTAGTTACTTGCTTGCTGGTAGAGCTGCGCAGTTTTAAGATAGCCATTATAAAGCTTAAATAAGTTTGTATCAGATGCTAGTTGATTCCTTGCAGTTTTTGATATATAATAATTCGAACTTGACCGAAAACCGAAGAGTTTTGGAACGACTTATTAGATTGGCTAAAAATAATTTCGTTTTGGCATGAAAATTTTCATAAAAACTTTCCTAGTTGTTCTTTATTTATGATATTTTGTGGATAAGTAGTTGAAGACTTCTTCAATCACTTATCGACCATTCAGAATTTTGAATCATCGGGAAGGGACAGTTATGCCCCAACATGTAAAATTCCGAAAGCTCAAATCTGCAACTTTCGAAGCTTCGTTTTTTATGCTCTAATGGATGTAGAGAACATATTTGGTACTCCGATACAGACAACGTTGCCCTACTTAGCGACTACCAATAAAAAATTGTGACCTGCAGTTTCAAAATTCTTTGACTAAAAAAACAAAATTTTCTCATATTTGCACCAATCAGAAAATTGGAATTTTTCACTTTTTTGTGGATTTATATCATTGCCATTGGAGTGCTCTTTCCAGCGGCAAATAGTAGACAAAAAATTGTCTGCAACATCTGTAGGAGCCGCAAAACCGCCAACCTAATAGTAGAAAATGCTTATTTCTACAGTCTTATTGAGAAGCTTGATAACAATTTTGAAACTTAGTTCTGCATTCTATACGTCTCTTTGCCGCTTTATTTACACAAGCACAGTATAACCAAATAAATATAAGCTTGACGAACAAAGTTTACATTGCAATCTCATCTCATGGAGCTGTCAAGAGACGTGGCTTGTCTTTATCAAGCTGAATGTCAAGTCGATTTCACGAGGCATTTTTTACAGGATCGTTTGTTGAGAGATTCGGAAGCTATGGAGCTTTGAATATGCCCAGATGTTTAGGTTTTTGTTAGGCAACTGCTCGTTTTTTTGTGCAATTGCGTCTGAAGGCATAAGGCTCGTTAAGAGTTTACGACTAGTACAGATGCAGGTGGAAGTGCGTCACTGAAACTTGTAATGTCCGGCGGTTTTATCAATCTTTCAATCTCTGTCGCCCATGGCCCGATCGGGCGCTCGTGTATGAGGGTGAAGCAGCGCCCAATCAGAAGGGAATAAATGAATTTTGCTCCTGGATATCGAATCCAGGTGATCGTCGCGAAACGCTATGTCCACGGATGAGTCAGAATCTGCGCCACAACGACGTCAGCCCATCACGGGGATGTCTCAGCACCACATTGTGCGCACGGTGTGCTCGCGCCGACGTGTGGACCCGCTGCGGGGGAGAAACCACATCAGCTGTTCGGGGCTGTTGCCCCCCGCCTCCACCTCCACAGTTCCAGCGATTCACACACTTGTTTCTGCTTTGCATTTGCTTTCAACACTTCCGTTCTTAGGCCCTTGTTGGGGGAAAAACACCGACTTGATTAGCATCCGTAAAGTTCATATTATATTTTATTAGGTCACCATATAAGTTCTTACCAGACTTTTAAAAATTTGTTCATCGCTTAGCGTCAGATTTTCATTATCGTGAATGTTGATTTCACATCTTAGAGGTTTACCTTCAATCAACAAAATGACAAAATGAATTGAAAAATAACCATTTCTAAGCACACCCGATCAGTATGAATTCTCAACTTCTAGGGAAAAGGTCATAACAACCAAAACTGAATAGATTTTATTTTACTTTTTTTTGATAATTTTATAAAAATAGGGAAATTTGATACAAGGCAATCTTGTGAGCTCATCAGAAACTTGCCAAATTCCTCGTTCAACTATTCTTTCTTCGGAGAAGTTTGCGTATGAAATGATACAGAGTTCAACAGAGCTGTTATCTATCTACCAAAGTATGACCGCCGGAGTCCTCCCACTTTTCCTTTTTGTCAACCGCACATTTTGAAATCATATTGCCGAAGCATGTTGAAATTTTGCAAAGCAACGTTCTGCAAAGTTAGGCGGTGAATAAGTACGTGAATAAATTCAGCTTTTACGCTTTTGTACTTTCAGTTCGATATTTCAACTTTCGGAAACTCTCCTTTCTTTGCTAGGGTGAATCCCACTTGTGAAATTTCTGTGTACATTTCGATTTCCTCTTTTTCCGTATTATTTGCATTCAACCAGGTCACTTCGAAGCTCTTCAGCACAAGAATTCCTCTTTGTATCTGTCAAAGAACATTCGAACTTTGTGCAAAAGACAAGTTTTTGTTTGTCTTCTCTCTCTTTTTTTGCTTAAAAACAAACAGTCGTTGAAAGATTTGCAACAAACTCGGCATGACGTTAGTCGAATCGTCACAATCGCCAACATTTCTCATACTCTCGCATCCTATTCTTGTTATCTTTTGAGTTTTCAAAACTTTTTCGTCATTCCAATTCCGACTTCAGAATTTTTGTCGAATAAAGCAATGATCTTTGACTAGCATTGTGTTCGTCATCTCGCTCCCAGTCCTTGCATTTCCCAGATTCCATCCTCAAATTCAGAAATGGGTGACGTCGCTGCTGCATTTGCTCAACATGAAATCACTCCAAAAATCATCGACAACCCCCCACAGCAAAAGCTTCACGTAAGTTTTTTTGCGACTTTTGTCACTGAAGCGCGACACCCGATCTTTCAGCTGGTCTGGGATGGCATCCAAGTGGAACCGGGAATGACAATGTCAACAAGAAACCTAAAAAATGCCCCCCGCTTCACCCTGCCCGGCGCTGACCCGGAGAGCACGTTCAGTTTGCTGATGATTGGTGAGTGTGGTCCGAGTGACCTATTGGCGCCGACAGCACGACATTGTAAACGAAACAGCTGCCGATGGGCATAAGTGTACAGTTTGTGTAAGACGGACCATGTCGTCGAATTACTCACACTCGATCTGAGAGAGATAAAAAGCAAGTCGCAAAGGGCAGGCATACGAGTGATTAGACGCCAACCCTAGAGAAGACCAGCTTTTTTTGGGGCAGCGTTTTCTGGCAATGAAATATGGTGCTCACCATGTATCTGGTAAAAAAACATAAGACTCACAAGTATAATTACTTAAAAATGAAGTGCAGAGCAGGCAAAATCCAAAGACGTAATAAAAAAATGTGTTATTGTGACCGTTGAGCTTTCAGTTTAGAGGACTTTTGGTAAGGTCATTTTGGAAGTTTAGCGAGTGTTTATTGCAGTTTAAAACTTTACAATTTTCTTTTAGTTGGCGCACATAATTAATACATAGGGTGTCCCAAAAGCAAGTATACACTTTTCATTTGCTTTCAAGTCTTATTCAGTAGAACACGCATCAACTTAGATTAAAGTATGGAGTGAATTACCGTGTTCTTTATAACTGTGGAATTACGGTGAGAACTTTCAGCATACGCCATTACGAAAGGCTTCAAAAAAATTTCAAAAAAATCTGGAAGAAAGTTATGTAGCAGTGATTTCAAACATGCTCATTCCATTAGACTTTTTTAACGAGTTTTCTAAGCGGGATGGTCACGTATCACAATGAAAAAACGTTGTTGCGGCTCACCCGGCATAATTTGAGAAAAAAAACTTGCGGTGAAGTGAAAATTTCATATTCACCAGCGACTCAGTTCAACCTAATGGTAAAGTTTTCGGCTTTATCCTGGGACAATGTGGGATTCTGAGACACGACACTGAAGACTCACTCAAAGTTCCTACCGTAGTCCTACAGTATAACTAAATGAGAGCCTGCTCTACCGAATGATACTTGAAGCAAAGCAAAATATTTTGTAGGAGAGGATTTATGAACGATAAAAAATGTGTACTTACTTTGGGACATTCTGCATAGATAAGATAATCAAACGAAAAGAGGGAGGAGAGGGGGCATATGAATAAACGCAGTTTTTGATGAGCACTATGTGCTAAACCCAAAAAAATCATAGTAGTCGTACTTGGCTCAGTAGCGCAGATGTAAGCGCTACTGAACCAGATACAACTACTTCTCAAAAAGGTAAGTTTTAGGAAGTTTTTAACGAAGCCAAAAGCCTTTAGTCTTTGCTTGGCTTTTCACTGAGAACGCGTATTTTCCACATATCACTTTGCATTTGCAGCTGCTTATTATAATCTGTTGTTCGTGCGTCGTTTGACATTTGGACACCCGTCAAAAGAGGGAAAGAGGCAAAGAAAAATTCACATGAGATTTTCAGATACTGCTCTGTATCACCAATGATGATAGGATGATCAGCAATGCGCATACCAATTTTGCAATCATTTTCAGAACATCTTAATTTTGTGATCGTCACTACCTTCTAACCAAAAGTGTAATCCTAACAAACAAATTTGTCAACCTCCAGTTGCGCGTCGCAAGTCGCGCACGGTTCTTCACGAATGGGCAGAATTTTTCACGGTTCTTCATGAATAGGTAGAATTTTCCACGGTTTTTCATGAATAGGCCTGATTATGCAGAAATCAAAAATGAAGTCGTATCGGGGAGGTGGAGAAAACGCACTCATAAATAATAGGTTAGCCCAAAATTTTGTCCTTCTTTTCGAACGACTATAAAATCTGCGTAATAAATGCGTTAAAACATGCATTCGAAGCAGCATTTTCTTCCCTTTGTAACCAATACATTTATGTATTACAATCTACTGTAAGCTTTGTGATTACCAAAATTTTACACCCGTCATTTCTATATGCACAAAGTTTGGCTAATTTCGAGAACTTTTTTCTACACATTTGGAGAAGAGCATAATGGTACAAATAAATCGTCACGGATTACATGATACTGCTTTTAGATGCAATCTGCTGTTGGAACTTTAAGAATCATTTTTTTAGAAGTCTCAATTTTTGATAAAGTGATGCATTACACAACAACAGCAAAAACCTGAATTTTTTTAATTTTTTTTTTGGATTCAAGACTGTTTTTGATCACGCACCATTTGTAGAGGATTAGTTTTGATTTGCTCTGATGAATCAGCTTATTGATGTTTTTGGTATGCGTACGCGTTAAATGTGCTCCAAAACTGAAGGTTTCTCTCACGTAAGCAGTTATTGTTCAGAAACTTGGTTTAGTTAATCGAAAAGGAACAAAATTTGGACAAAAATTACCCCACATCCAGTGGCGGGACGAGGGGCGATGGCTCGCCCTCCCTGGGAATGGCTCGCGAAATTTTTGAAAGTGACTTACATGAGTTATAAGAATGTGCAAGTTCATTTAGAACTACAGGGTGGGGCAAAAGTCTGGGAGCCTAGTACCTTTTCAGATAAAATCAGAAGGAAAGTGCCTAGGAACAAAAAATTTGGTGCACACATAAATCGAACCTTTACTAATACAGCGCTGCTTTCAAATATTGAGATTGCCTCTTCTGGCTTCAAAGCAGCCCTTTGAAATCTTGGCGAATCCGACTGTCGTGGCACGCAGACAGTGGTGATGAAATTCGTCCCACGCCTTTACGATAACTGTTTATTTCACCAGGCAAATATCTGTATCTTAGTATCTGACAAATGCGGTGTGATAGAGCAAGCTTTTGGCTACAATGCACTGCGAAGAAATTATATTTCGCAGTGTTTAGGAAAAAAATTTTAGAATTTTAATTAAAGGCAAGTGTACTCGTATACTGGAATCTGGATGCGATTGCGCGAACGGGAGCGAAGAATCGTAATCTGAAAAGTATTGAAATTGCTTGATCGATCGAACACCAGTATACGCTTGCATAGAAGACTCATGGAAAGAATATAGCCTAGAATTCAGTGCCTGCTGTGCCCCTATAGCTTTAAAATTTATTCTAAAGAAAAATGGCCGCTGGCACGCAGCTGGTATTCGCAAATTTTTATTTTGCGTTTTTAAAAGAATAGTATCTGACAAATGCAACGGCTAAGAATTGATAGCGCGAAGTCTCCTCTACATTATACGCATCGAAGTGCTTTAGAATATCCACTGTATCGTTAGTTACGAAATAAGTTGTGAAGACCAAAAATTTCGATTTTTTAGTTTTGTAGAGCACTTGTTTGATAAATCCAACTCCTACAAAAAAATATAGCAAGCATTTTCAGTCAGCCAAAGTGTGTTTTGTAGAGGATGATCGCAGCAATATGACAAATTTGGAGTCAAAATCATCAGTACTTTCTTTACAGCACTGCAAAGTAAGCTCCCAGACTTTTGCCCCACCCTGTATAATGATTATTGTGAAAAACATTTTCGGTGCGTGACTACCGCCACGCCTCCCTTCCTGAAATCTTGAGAGTAGGGCCGCAAGAATTTCAGGAAGCATCCCAGTAGATTTTCGAAGTGCGTTTTGTCCCCCCCCCCCCCTGACGGAACTCCTGCGACCGCTGTCTACATTACAGTGGTAGCGCATTTCAAGATGCTATAACAAAACTTTAAGAATCTGGAAAAATTTGGTCACTGTAAGAGTTCCAAGAGCCATGACGATGATATCGCAAAGGTTAAATAGATCAAAGAGAAGGTGTAGCTATTAGAAATAGGATTTAGTTTAAATCAAAGGGTTTCAAAGTCATTTGTCGGTCTAGTTCTATAGTTTTGTTTTTGATGACCGATAAAAAGAAGGGAAAAACTTTTGGGACAACCTGATACAACTGGCTTGTGCTTGAAAAATGTATAACACACAAATGCATCACTACGCAGCGCAGCATATCGATGCATCAATCACAAATTACAAACTTTGAGTCATTTCAGCGTAATTCAAGCTCGAAGTATCCGATAGAAAAGTGTAAAATCTTGAATTAAAGAAAGTATCAAAATGCCAAATCAGTATTTGGTCTCTTAGACAGACGCTGGGAAGTGCGAAATATGTGGAGACATTGTCAGATATGAAAATAGAACATTCAAGGCTGGCGTTCGGATAAAACATGAGGAGGTTTGCAAAATGACTTCTTGAAGAAGAAGGCTAATGTAGAACTGCCTACTGTAATATGCACTTACAACGAGTTCATTTTGTGTTTCGAAATACTGAAAAAATGATATGCGTTTGGAAAATGATATGTTTGGAAGTTCTTTTCAATTTTCTCATAAGCAAAAAGAATTCAATACCACTTCTTCCCGGTCTCTAAGATACGCTATCTTCATAACCATGTGAAGTGAAATAAGTCAAAACTTTTCAGATCCCGATAACTTATCAAGAAAAAACCCATCCGTAGCAGAATGGCTGCATTGGCTAGTAGTCAATATCCCTGCTAGCAACGTTATCGAAGGCATTAATGGGGGTAAATTTGCTAAGCGAGGAATGGTCAGAACTTAATCCAGTCATTCTAAAGAAGCTGTATATCTTCGGATTCTTCTTAAAACGCTGATTTCAAACATATGTTTATAATCTGCCAAGCGACTATCTGTGAGGAGTTACGAGCGTTTTGTGTGATTTGTCAAGTGTTCTGTGGCGCATGTTCCACAAAATAGATTTCAAAAATACTTTTTTGGTTTTTTGGCGAATGTGCTTCTTCCTTGTAAGTAAAATAACCATAGCCACTGTAAATCCGCACCATCAGGCTGCCTTTCAAGGAAATATCTTCAAAACTCGAAGAATTTCTCATGTTTGAGCGCCCATAACTCCTCCCGCATAGTCGCTTACATTTGAAAAAAACATAATTGAAATCAGCGTTTTAAGACGAGTCCGACGCTATACCGCTTGTTCAGAATGGCTTGGTAAATTCTGACCATTTCCTCAGATTAGTTGATAGCCTTGATAAAATGTTTCGCACTGTTCAGGTCAGCATCAAATGCCGTACGGATCACCGGCACCTCAACCAAGAACTGATCTTCATCGATATGTTATTCTTATGTGGGAACATCAAGGAAGGTATGGTGTATTTCATTTTTCTGCAAATCTTTCCGACAGCAAAAAATGGGCGGCGTTGCAGGATCCTCCAAAGGCCTGCCGCTTCCTCTCCAGGCGCGCCCTTGGGAGGCAATAATCTCTTCGCGCTTACCTCGCGCTTACTTCGCACTTGTCTCTCGCATTCTTGCGATAGTTCCCCTCCGGACAATCGTCTTGCTTCTCCTAGCATTAATTAGAAGGTTCACCTCGTGAACAGTGATTCTTCAATGATAACAAGAAAGGAAAAAACTGTGGGAACTAATAATCAATAAGTAGACTGACAATGAAAGTGCCTCTTGCCAGGAGTTACCTGGCTGAAGTGGCAAGTTGGAAGTTGATGCATACCAATATATAGAGTTCGAAACGCTGACTTTTAAATCTGCGAAGCGTTTCCCCAAAGGAAGTTATGAGCTTTTCGCATTTATTAATGAAAGGTACAGGTACATACGAATGACATCAGAGTACGTACATACTTAACAGGATTTTATCTGAGTCTGCATCGTTTTGGTAGGAATTATTTTGCAGCTCGGGATGTATTCAATTTGGCAATAAAAAAGCTTAATTTCCCAGAAGGAAGCTTCGCAGAAACATGGCATCTAAGAGAGAAATCAATCAAAAAAGTGAAGTGAGGAAAATTCTGTTTTTTTCTCGAAGATTTGCCAAATTCGAAATTCAAGGGTCCGAAAACCAAAAATACAGCCGTTCTCAGTCCAAATCAAATGCATAAACCGAAACTTATCGAGATTCTGAGGAGTCTCTGATGATCTAGTTTCGGCTTGATGCGTCTGATTCGTACTGTGAACGACTTTATTTTTGGATTTCCGACCCTCAAAATTTTGTCAGCTTTCGCAAAATGCCCCTTTCACCCCGCTTCGCTATCAAAAATCAAGCTGTTTGAGCAATTTCTATACTACCTAATCTACATTATATCCAAAGATGAATGCTCACAACCAAAAAGAGAGGTAACGAATATACTCGCAAAACTTCTGCCAACCGAATATTTGTCTATCAGTCTGCTTGATTTTCGTTTTTTTTTGTTTCTTACTGATAAATCGTTGCTGCGGTGACCTCTCAGACTACGAAAACAACAACCTTTCTAATTACTTCGACTGTCGACTGAGGTTATCTAGTGTTTCACCCCCGTTTGTTGAATACTGAGAGTTTCACATCTTCATATCTTGTTATCATTGAAAAATCCTCGTTCAATCAATGACCTTTTCTGATTAAAGCCAGGAGGAACAAGACGCTTGTCTGTAGGCGAACTATCGCAGGTATGTGCGAGACAAGTGCGACATAAGCGCGAGGTAGGCGCGAAGGGATTATTGCCTCCTAAAGGCGCACCTAGAGAAGAAGCGGCGGGTCTTTGGAGGATCCTGCACGCCCTCCCAAAAAATGCAGTACAACTTGTTGATTACTGTAGTTTATAGCATCGTAAAAAAAACCATTAATCTTCGTTGACTAATTGTACAGCACAGCTGCTAGCGAATGATAAACTTCTAGGCGCATCAATGTCCCAAAACCTTCATCCCGAGCCAAGTTCAATACAAAACAATTCATAGAGAAAAACAAGCTGGGTAAGTTTTTATATTTCTTCTCCTCTCAATGACCACATCGGATGGTCTAATCTCTTTACAATCTCAAACAGCACATGTCGCAAACATACTCGATACCGAAAGCTGTTCCACTCAACACTTATTCAAGTAGATGTAAGGATTAAGGTAGTGCTCTCGCGTTTCCCAAGACTTGCCCGTGAAAAATAGTTATGGGGGGCGCTACATGAAACTGCGTTCGATGACCATTTTTTCCGCAAATGTTGCGGGCACTGCAGGGGCAGTGTATTAGTGATAATATTGCCAGACCATATGGCAGCCTTTAGATTGAAATGACTAAGCTAAGCATTCCCGTGATCTTAGGTATGAATGTTTCATGCTCCTGCAGGCGCAAACACGGTCAACCCGTCGTCACAATTCTACGAATGCCCTATAGATGAAATGGTGTGCTTTCCAGGTGACCCCATCGCCGGCAACTTTTTCCTGGCTCAACATGAAGGATAATTTCGCCGGCATCAATGAAAGTGTCCATAGTCGAGTAGCTAATTTATGAGTGCTGCAATTGCCCAAAGATCTTGTGTGCCATTAAATCTGTTGCTGTAAATGAGACTGCCTTATCTCTTGAATAAACTATGAGATTTATGCAGCTGTGTGAGCAAACAAGTAGAGCATCATGCTTAAACTCTGTTTTTGCGTTTTAAAGGCTTAGATGAGAATTGAGAGAATATCACCATGAAGGAACTTCAAAAATCCATCATCACCATGTACAGGGGCTCATCAAGCACATCCCACGAGGCGTTTGGAAAGTACCTGGCTTAAAGTACCTTTAATTTAAATTTTAAGGCGCTTTTAATTTCATGCTCATCAACCCTAGAAAAAATCACCTAGTAAAAAACAGGTTCCTTTGCGGTTTTTGAATTTTTTTAGGTTGAAATGCAATCGATATGGCTTTCTACGATTCTTCCCTTTATTTGCTTGTTGCAAGGAAAAAACTCTCAAAAAAACTTGTACACCATTGAAAAGCTCATTCTTTCTTTATTTAGTCCTTTTTGATATACCTCCCCTCGAAATACTAGAGATCGCATTTCAAAATTTTCTCGTCGAAAAATTCCAGCTCCAAATTTTTTGTATTTTATTAGGTTGGCTAAGAAATAATTTCGGTCATATTCAACGGCTTGTAGAAATGTCACAGATAGATATATGTATAAGTTTATGATATCTTCGGCAGATTAAATTAAGGAGAATCGGAAGGTTAACTTTGTTTGCTTAAAGAATGTTAATTTGGTAGCGAAATAATGCAAGAAAGCAAAAAAGCCAGATTTCGTCAAGTTCCCGAAAAGTTATGCTCCAAAAGACAAACTGAAATTGGGTGCAAAGTGCACAACGGTACGCACACTTACGAATTTGGATATACTCAACCATGCATGGCAATAAATGGTCAAATTTAAGCGATTTAAAATGTCTCAAAACTGACTTCCACACGCAGATACCTGGAAATTCTCACACTTCTGGCTGCAAGAACGCACAAACAAGAGGCAGCTTCCATTGTGGTTTGTCATGTAGCCGAGGGTTGTATGTATTCAGCTACCAAATTTCCTCTTTACAGCAAGCTAAATACGAAACATGGAAAGTCAAAAAGTGATTTTTTGCAAGGCTAGTCATATAAGGTCGTCATTGTCTTTGGTCATGTTCAGAAAGTCTATATAACGAGTATGTGATACTATAAGCTTGAGACTACCCGCTCACGATAAACCACAGCTAAAGACCTGCGGCTAGCGACGGCTACGGGCTGCTGGCCGCGGCTACAGACTGCTAGCGGCGGCTGCCGAAGCGGTATGAAAGCATCTTAAAGCTGGCCCAAGAAGTAGCATATACTGCAAACAACAAACTTTTGACTATAGAACGCATGCTATTGTTGGATCGCATCCACTTTGAAAAGATTTTATAGCCTAAAAAATTCCCGAACATTTTTTTTTGAAACCTACACTTTGAGAGAGCTTAACTTTCGCCCAAATGTACTAGGATCGCGCAGACTTTCCTCATTATATAGCCAATGGTCGGTTGTGCAATGAAGAGAAGTTCGAATTTTACCGCATATTTCTGTGAGAAAATTTTGCAAGAAAACTGGAAATACCCATTATTTTCAGTATTTTGGAAAATTCAAAAAAACTGCCTTTTTGGGATTTTTCAAATTTTTTCTCTTCAAAAAGACGATAAAATGCTGCCGTTTTCCTCGTATTAGTTGTACTAGGTCTACTCTACACATAGCGAAATTCATACAGTCGCTTCTCACTTGAGATTTTTATGCGGCTTTGATGGGCCTCAGCTACTAGCCAAGTTTGAGACAAGATTTTTCGGCTTGGAATTTTTCAAAAATCTCAAACTGACAAGCGTTCCGTAGCACAAAGCTTCGCAATCATTATGCATATTTTTTGAAGAAAATCCGTCTACTTTTCAAGGTCAGAGCAAGGAGAGTGAGAAATAATTTCATACTTTGATCATTTGTTTTTGAAGGCATAAAACTTCGGTTTCAACAAAGATTTGCGAATTCGAAAGCATATGTAGGTTGGAAACAAGAGGAATCGGGCTTTCCGACTCTATAAGATTTTGAAGAAAAAATGTTTTTTCTTTGAGAATCAGCTCTCTCAAAAAGAGTTTAGAAAAACGTGCATTAATTATGAGACAACCTAATATGACCCTCTATGGCTCAAAACCCTTTCAAAGTTCCTACCGGCATTCTACAGTAATGGAGAGAGATGTGTGATTCGCTTTATGCTGTAATTTAAGTTGGAGTCAGCTCTACAAAATGGTGCCTAAAGCTTTTCTTGAGAAAACATGACAAGCAAGTTATTAACAAACAAACAATGGGCACATGTTTTTGGGACACCTTATATGTTTCTTGAAAAGCCATCTGCAGTTAGTATCCATCCCTTTTCAGAAGTACCTCCAAGCAGAAAAAGAGAAATATAGCAGTCGGAGGAGAGGAGCTAATAATGTCCTCAGAGCACATTTTGCTCGTAGTTTTAGCAAGCATGATAGGAGTATCGTGGTGCAGTTTTTATTTTTTCAAAAAAGTTTGGTATGATTTTGGTCCAGGATGTCAGAGCTGATCACGATATACGATATTCATCTTTGATTGTACTAATCTTTCAGACAATCGATGCCGTAGCTCCGGACGACAGTCGAAAGGGCGAGGGGGGTCCCTTTCTGTGACGTCGCGTTGACGTCACAAGAAGGCAGATGGGACCCCACCCGCGGGCTTGCAAATTTCTGCTATGGAGGTACGCCAGATTTGGACGAGCCCCGCAGCAGAGATTTGCGCTCCGGAGGTGCGCCACATTTGGGAAACCCCCGGAGCACAAAATGGGAGGGCTCCGGAGCACAAAACGGGAGGTTTCCGCAGCACAAAATGGGAGGTCCTCGGAGCACAAAATGGGAGGGCTACGGAGCACAAAATGGGAGGGCTTCGGAGCACAAAATGGGAGGGCTCCGGAGAACGAGTGCAAACCTCCACTGGGCAGACCCCGCGGCCATGTCATTTCTGCTCCGGAGTTACGCCACATTTGGGACACCCCCGGAGCACAAAATGGGAGGGCTCCGGAGCACAAAACGGGAGGTCCTCGGAGCACAATGGGAGGGCTACGGAGCACAAAATGGGAGGGCTTCGGAGCACAAAATGGGAGGGCTCCGGGACACAAAATGGGAGGTCTCCGGAGAACGAATGGCAAACCTCCGCTGAGCAGGCCCGCGGCCCTGCCATTTCTGCTCCGGAGGTATGCCGTCGACTGTCTGAGCAAGAAGTGACGTACATTTCAGACCAGACTAAGATATTGGAAATCACATCTTCATCAAAGCACAAATATGCGCTAACGACATAGATTTTTATGTATTTCTGATTCTAGCGATTTCTTTGAGGTCCAGTTTGCCCTTAAAAACTCTATCAGAAAATTTTGAGCCAAATTGGGATATTCCTCTTAACCTCGACAGATGTCCTTTCATGCACGCAAGCTACAATCGATAGTGAATCTAGATGCGAGCACACTGATAGAAGATATGTGAACTTTCATCTAACCTACCCTCTTCTTGACACATACATATATTATACAGTAAGACAACATTTATTTTACTGCATGTCACATTTTTTTTCTGAATATAATTCACAAACTTTCAATTTCAGAACTTTTGTGTAGAACATATATTTGTCTCATCTTGAATACTGCCCGTAAGTTTGGCGAAAATGGTCACAAAAATCACTGCCTCATAATCTACAAGCAAGGAATATGTTGTTCCAAGGAAAATTATCTCAACAGATTTGGATAGAATTCCGCAGAATGAATGCTTTCCTGCTTTTTACTAGCTTACTGCCCGGCGTGGCTGCAAGCAAATGTCCAGGTATAAGCGACTGTCTCCCGCTTCTTTTAACCCCCCCCCCTTTCCCTTATACTTACTAATCTCTGCGTTGTGATACATTTACTTGTCCGGTCCTACTGTCATTTTGTGAATAAACAGAACAAGAAACATAAACATTTGCAATCAGGTGTAATTAATATGTGTTCATTTGACGAATCCACAGCGGAATGGAATTTTATTCCCTGACAAATTTGCAGCACTTATGCTGTCAAAGCACAACAATTGAAACAAAACTCAACGAGTTCATCACTACGCCCAGCGATTGAGACCGCTATCACAGCCCAAGTACCCGAATGTATGATGCACAGGTTAATTAAAACAATGAAGATTATTAGTAGACAGAGATTGTAAGGTTAGATAGAAATCTTGTATCAATTATAACAATGAAAGATTATCAGCAGACAGAGTGGGTTGAATAGAAATCTTGTGATTGAGTGACTATAATCAACTATCGCGCGTAGTATATCGATATGACGCAAGAAGGTAACACCTGAGAAGCAACTCGTTCCAAGACTAGGTAGTTGAGTTAAGAAAAGTAATGTCCAGCATCAACAACAGAGTAAACGCAAAACTCATCAGGATGAATGCCTCGTTTGTGGTTAAAGAATCCAAATTGTGAAGATCGTCCATGTCAGCTCAGATAATTCTCAACTTCTTACTGTTTCTTGGGCGATACCCGAACCAGACTGTATCCTCTCCGATTCTTCGCCGCGCAAGCCATTATCAGCGCAGTCGACACCGCATTTTTCTGCTGAGTTGATGTAGAACTGAAATGGCGAGTCACCAAGAGACGCGCAATTCACACAAATGTTCAGTTTGAGTGTATATGACTGGTACCAGGCCTTTGAATCTAAGCACAGATACCATAAAACTTTCATCTATACCTGCAATGTGCTTTCTGTATGACGCGCCACGTATCTGACGAAAGGCCGTAAATCCCCAAGATTAGCGGTGTGAAGAGTTGCATAGTATTCAGCTCGCGATTCAACCGGCAGTATGACGGGTGGGAAGCCAGCTCTCATCAGAATTAAGTTGAGAAGAAGACGCGCAGTACGTCCATTTCCGTCAACGAAAGGATGGACAACAACCTAAATTACAACCTTTGACAGTGCATTGGCACTCAGTCATGGCACCAATATGCTCATAGGCGCGTTTAAAAGGAATACAAATAGCTGTAAGTTCGTGGCAACGATATGCTCCCTATTCGATCAGCACGAGCGCAACGCTAGAGTCATGTCTCACGTGCGCGGGCTACCGCTCTAGCGTTCCGATTTGCCGCATCGAACGGAGACCGCTGCGCAGTGCCAACGCGCTGCGGATGCGTAGTTGCTACGGAAAAGGGAGCACTTGGTTAAACAGTGTATACACTCACAAGTTTATAATGTGCAATAGCAGCTCTCTCGACTGGATCCAGTTCCATCGTTGAAGGATCTCTCAGCCAGTCAACGAGCTCATTGAGTTGTTCCCTGACATATTCAGGGCCCACTGGAGTGAAATGCCCGACAAATACCTAAGCTACTCCACATATTATTCTGTTAAATTTTCAATGATATTTTTGTACCTGAGTTGTTCGAATGCGCCCTGCATCGATGGGATTTGCGTTCCCCAACACTCTTCTGTGCATTTCCAGAATATCCTAAATAAGGATTTTCAGCACGAATCAAAGATCACGAGTTTAAAACTTACGTCGAGAGTAATTTCGCTCATGTGGAGAAGAGAATGATTAAGATATCTAAGCGCAGCATCCATTCCTATTACTTCATTGTGTTCATGAATACTCTTCCCAGCGACGGCCACGCCAGTTTCCAATATCGAACTGAAACTCCCGAAGTGATATACGATTTATAGTTGATATTTAACACGCTGACGACCGAGCCATTTTGGACCATATCAAAATGAACTGGATATTCAAATCTGCGGTCTAGACCCCTGAACAGCTACCGATGCCCTGTGTTCTATATGACAATCAGGATACAGTATTATTACTGCACAGAAGCTACCTTAAAACTATTCGCATACATACGAAAAACTGATGCACGAAAGTGCTAAACATACGGTCGTCAACGTATTGAGTACGTATGAGCGTGAGGTTTCCAGTTTGATATGTGAATGCTGTGAGGAAGCAATGAAAAAGAAATTTACCGCGTTTGCCCAAGCGTCAGCGTGTTTCCTTCGATGGCTACAGTATGATAGATATGCATGAAGTAGCTCTCACGCATAGCTCTTTTCAATGACGAAGTATGTGGCAGGCGTGCAAATTCGTCGCGTTTCTTCTGTATTCTGCGTAAAAGTTTAGCGTCCATTGCACTAACCAGAGGCAATGTTTTCTTTCTTCGTCTGTAAAAGCAGGGAGTGAACAGATAGATATGTCAACAACTAAGCACACTCTTTAACTTCTTCCTTGAAAGCAGTGCTCATGACCAGATAAGTCACAAAATGCACACAAACAGAAAAAAACGTACACAAGCGCTTCGGAATGAGTAGGATCAAAAGCCAGAGCTTTTGCATAGCAGAGATCGGCCTCGAGGAAATTCTTTTCAAGCACCTAAATAAACTGAATACGCATGCGTTAGATGCTCAGGAGGTTCAAACCTCATGATAAAGCCCGTATTCTGTCAAAACGTCCGGATGATTTGGCGCAAGTGCAAGTGCATGCTCAATGATGGCTCGAGCCTGGAAGTTTTTTATATATCGAGTTTGAGTAAAAAATCATAGTATTATCGAGAACAATAAATATGAGAAACATCGACCCCTTTGATGAAGCTAGAGGTGGTGGTAGGGACTGGAGCACTTAACCCAAAATCTTCTTTGTAAAAAGACAAGGAGTAAAACGCACTGCTATCAGATGTCTCCTGATCAAGTGATTTTAAAAAAATTAAGTCAATGGATAATTTTCGCTAACCTTTCGAGCATTTCCTTGTAGCCTGCTGTCCTTAGCCGCAGCAAGAGCTGCTAAAGCCTCTTGTTCACGTGTACGGTCGGAAAGCTCATTATCAATACGACGAGAAACGAGAGAAGCTGGTGGAACACCCTATCGAAGTAAACTGATAACTAGTAAATCACAGCGAAACAGAAAAGAATTTAACGTACCACCCATGGTTCCACCGGAAAAATCTCGGGAAAGTGTGTAGGCCCATTTCCAACTGATAGCGATAATTCGCTTGTACTATTTCCAGCACCGCAGTGAAGCCGTAACAAACATTTCGTGTAGTGATGCGTAAGTGAGAGAATCCATATGGCATGTTCAGCAAGAAGTGGGATGAGTAGCTGAAGGGATGAAAGAGTGTAATATGTAAATGCCTAATGTGATATATAAGACAGATGCATATCCGCACTTTCCTAGTCAAAGATCAAGAATCGTAATATGATGGAAGTTTCCTGATAAAGGATAGAAGTTATTTGACATACTGGTCATGAAAATCGCATTCCGCCTCATAGAGCGTGGTGTTAAGCGATACATGGTAAACAGATAAAGAAACTGTTTTTTTTTCTTCTTCCGGAAAGTTCGTCTAGTAGGATCTGCGTACAATGCACGATAACAACGCAATTGGCCAGCAAGCTTTTTATCTCAAGCCACGATGGGAAAATGCTATGAATCAGGATAATCCCAAAAAAGGTTTTGGCACAGTCGTGAAAGGTTGAAATAGCAGTGCGCAACAGCCGTAAGGCTCCCTTTTAGATAATGCGTTCTGACAGGATCGCGCTGGCTAAACTACGTGCGCGAGAAACTTTACAAAAATCAGCATCTTGGTGAACTCGGTGAGTGTTTGCAATCAAAATTGCGTTCTGCCAACATCGAAGGCAAAAAGATGTGGACAAAGAATAATCAGTGCTTATAAATCAAAGAATACAGATCTGTAAGACTAGAGTACAGTTGATCTGAAAACTGTCATGATGCTTACTGAAGATCGAAGTCTTCGCGATTTTCTCGAGCATTTTAATTAAGTAGCCATGCTACAAAAATTAACACCCTTCTTGCCCTGCTACATGAACTTTTTTATGGAATTCCTAAAGCGTCACAGGCTAGGGTGCCAGTCAAATTCATGAAGTATGGCCGGACCCTTCCCTTTCAAGTGAAAACATCGCATAGGACTCCCTGGGAACCACTACCACTGATCCTATTTATAAGTTAACTCCTCTGGCGCGGATACGAATTTACATCAAAATGTCTGGATTAATTGATTATTCTTTCAACAAAAAAAAATGAAAATCTTACGAACCTGTACAGCAGAAGATACAAGAAGACATAGTAAGATGGTCCTCAATGTTCCATTATTGGAACCAAAGATTGTTCCTACAATCTTCGAAGGGGTTGATATAGACATTAAACCCACTGAAAGGTGATCTTTAGAGCATATTCAAAAGTATGAAGACTCACAATTATATTCATGTAAACGTTCAGCTGAGTAGCATTCCAGCACCACCGACTGTGTTACAAAAACTTCTTCCGCTCTGAGATCTGAAGAGTATAATACAAAATGAAAGTCAGTAATGTACAGCAATACAAGCTGCAGCAAAATCCTCGACACAAAAGGTAAAAGGTTAAACCGAGGTTTTCAAACTCCGAGTGCACTCCGAGTTAGAGGCATCCACTCAGATCGACTGGGAAAAATTTTGATACCGTATGATGATGAGACTTCTGACTAAGTAAATGCCCTCCCTCTAAGAAAAAGAAGCGAAAGAACTGCTTCGAAAGGTGGATACTGCTGAAATCACCAACCTCAAGACAAAGCTAGGTGCCAGACTTATCCGCTTCAGTCAGTTCGTCCGGTTCACGCCATTCAGTATTGGTCAGATCACCAAAGTGGCCAATAACGATTAGTGAACATGAACCAGATAAGTCTGGCGCCTACCAAAGAGAAACATGTCCTTCTTCATGACGTTGCAAATGAGATGTGCGTTTACAGAAAAAATTGTGCAGGCAGTTGTTTGCACTCTACGTTGGCTTTACTCGATACTCATGACTTTTTAACGAAATCTTTCGCATTGGAAGAAAATTAAATCCTCTGATGAGAGATGAGAAGAATATGACAAGATCCTGGACCTTTGACAAGAAGACGACAACGTTTTGCGTTTGCTGCTTTCAAAGCTCTCAGTGCGCAACAATAACAGAAAACACGAAAATAATTCAAAGGGAGCCGGCAAAGACAAGATGCAGAGAAAATCTCAACAAGGATCAACCTTGTTCACTTGCTCTCGAAAGGATACAGAACAGCAGACGACATACGGAAAAGAAAAGGGTAAATAGGCTCGGATAACATCGCAGATCAAACACAAGCTCAATTGTTCAGTGGCTGCAACAACACAATTGCACCATCGCGGAAATGACATCACGAACAACCAATTAAAATTGGCAAACATGTGATTTGCTGGTCCGAGCTGGAAAACTCGCCTTCTGTACATCGATAATCACATGTTTTGCACAGGATGTCCTGACAGAGAACTCGTCAGATCGCCGCGCCGAACATCGCACGATTCCGCTTACTTTGGTAAGCAGAGGTGGAAGAATTGTAGCTGCCGACAGTTTGGACAACCTGAGTGCGTCAGATCTTGCAAAATCAACTACCTTTATGACTTTTGAACAACTGGGGAACGATGCACCTACCCGGAAGTGAAGTGTTTGATCCTGGGAATGTTTAAAAAAGCTGGGACCATCTAAACTTCGATCTAGCTGTTTTTTTTCTAATAGAAAGTGTCGAGTAGACTTCGCACATCTTTGCTTGCAGCATTCGACGCACATCAGCTGGTCTTCGCGCGAGTCCCGTCGCCTGGCCGGCCGTACGAGTTCGCCCGCCCGCCTCAAAACAACGATTGCTGAGAAGAAGCTGGCGTAGTCCTGTAATTGTACGGGTCTCCCACTGGCGACCATTGTACTTTCTTAGTCAACCGAAATTTTGCTGTCCGAGAAGGATTGAGGATGTCCCTGTCAACTGGTTCAATCCCTTCATTCAAGGAGCGACGTCCATTCCGTAAGTTGCCACTCATTTACTGTTCGTATCACTCGGGCACTTCCGTATTGATTTTGTAGACAAATGTGTCTGCTGTAATTGAGTTAGCTAAAATATTAACATTGGAAAAGGTCTTAAAGTATTCTTGTTTCATTCGTCAAGCTTTCGTCTTTGATTACCAGTTTTCACTTACTAGTATAGTCCACTGTAAAGTTTCTGGCTATGCGAGCTCGATCCAGCAGAGTAGCAAAGATGTTTTACTTGTTTTCTTGCATCTGCCAGTGGTGGGAAGTCTTTTTGAATTCGCAGTGATGTATATGTCCAGAATGATGGCAATCAACAAGCATAAAGGCAAAGTTGATATCAGTGCACAAATATAACGATTTGTTACGCTACAATATGTAAAAGATTGCTAGACTGTCCGATATACCTTAGTCATATATACATTTAACCGTGCTTATTTTTTGAGAATTTTGTTCATAGCATACAACAAAATATCCACAATCACCAAACTTTCAACTTTAGACGCTCGCCAAAAGGATGTGGCTGAGATCAGGCGTCAACAACCTAACAAGGTCCCCGTAATAATCGAAAGATATGATGGCGAGCGGAGCTTACCCTTGATGGATCGTTGCAAGTTTTTGGTGCCCGATCATATCACTGTGGCCGAACTCATGCACATCGTCCGACGCAGGTTTCCTATCTAATTCATCTTTTAACTAATTCTTGTGCTTTGTGTTCATCTGGCCAGCGTTCCATTTTGGGATAACTCTTTCGCTGAAATTTCGGCGTTCGCTTATCAGCTGCTTCTGCTGCTGTCATAATCCTCGTTTATCGGTGTTTTGCAGACTTTGAGTAATTATAAGCAGGGGTCGTAATCAAGAACTATCTTTCAGTGGTTTGGAACCCTTACTAACTTCCACGTATTTTTGGTGCAAATATATTTACTAAGCGGGGGGAGCTGGGAGAGTACTGATCGAAATTTTCCAACCGGGGTTATACATGATCTCTACATGTTGCTAACATTATGAATTTGAAGCGAAACGTTCTTCTTGGGGATTAAGTTTAAGACAGTCAAGTATATATGACTTTTCGCGCAGCGGGAGGGTGAAGATTGGCGAAACGACTGCTTAACATGTTCACGACGAAGCTGTTCTTTTTGAGGACTTCACCAGAGCACATTTCGCAATATTGAGTTTCGTAATATTTTCTGGCCACTGATGGGGCTTATGGTCTAGAGTGTTAAGAAGAGAAGTATTTCAAGAGATGTTTACAGAGCCTTATTCAGTTGCCCAGAAAGTTTCATCGTAAACTGACAAAATAAAAAACCCCAGAAAGCATACGATCCACCGGTGGGTTCGTATTGTCCAAAATGGTAGGCACTGATTCGCCGGGGGCGTATTGTCGTGAACGTGTTGAAGGTGTCCGGGCAAGATTGGGTTTTGGGATTCAGTGCCATGCGAAAGGGACATTCGGAAAAGTTGGAAAACTTATGAACTGATGGACAGCTTCGCCCATGTGTGGTTTTCTTGCTATGCTGCAGAGTGCGCAGGCCACCACGGTTAAAATCGTAAGGTACCGCAGCGACTCTGCAGGCAATGCCCGTTGCCGTGCAAGCGGCCGACAGTGACATTTATCTTCTCCTCACAATTGCCACACGTTGTGAGCGTAAACGGGACCTGCGTGAGATACAACGCAGTTTTAAGGCTGCCCTTAGCTTGTTACGGCGTACTATCAACAATTTTGCTTGACCGCCGAGGATCGAATGAGGAATAATTAGGAGTAATGGTGTGAAATTCCTTGAAAATGGGGACAATGCTGCAGGAATTGACCCACGTCCTAGGATGTGAGCGTGACTCAAAGAAAATGTTTAGCTATCCATACAAAATAACTCTAACAGCAAGCGAGCGGGCGACCTCCCCTGCGCAAGCGGCAAGCAGAGTGACCGTGCGTGCGCCCCAGGTTACCCGTATGATCGGCCCATGACGACCGTATAATCGCACACATCAACGAGCGTTTGTGAAGAGTTGCTGGCCGCCCGCAGGCGCGGGTCCTTGAGTAGTCGTCCATAATTTGTAAGGCCTTAGGCTGCGTTCGTACTGATCCGAAACTCCGGGAACAGTTCAAGCAGCTCTTAAACTGAGCACGGTGCTGGAACTGTTGCCGGACTTCGGAAAAAGCAAAAAATCGCCCAAGAGGTGTTTCGCTTGTCTGGGTCCTTCTGCCCGCCCACTCACGAGCCACTGCAAATTGGTTGTGAACGGAACCAGCTAGCACCTCTGCAATCTTCACACTGCCTAATTCGATACCGTTTCTCTTATCTCGATCACTCCCGTCTCGGTATTCTGTTAGGGAGTGCGAAAAGTTCTTGTCTTCGACCGCTTCAAGAAATCATGAGTCTGCATTCTTGTTAGCGCTAATTTAGAACAATAAGAGGATAAAGGATTAGGCGTCTTCACCTATGCGGGCATGCACCGAACTCATTCTACTTTATAGTCGAAGAGGCTGCAGAATGCGTGGAAGGCCTTTTACAGTGACTTGCGGAGGCAGCCGGTTACCAAGTCTTCATGCAGGGACGAGTGGATAAAAACTGGGACGATAAAAGCACTGACTTCGTAATACCCAGTTCAGGCAGAAATTCATAGGTCGCCGACTTGTTCGGAAGTGTTGTCTTTGAAATCACTTCGATTGTAATAAGGCAGTTTTTTCAAAGACGCTCGCTTCTTATAGCATTAAACCCGGTGTTCGTTCAATATCGACGTTACGAAAGCGGAGAATAATGCGCAGATACCCATGTGGAATTTTCGCAAAACTCATTTTCTAATCATATATACTAACTCGGAGTTTTGAAGTAACCATAGAAATCTTTCAGACTGCAGCTTCATCCTGAACAAGCTTTCTTCCTACTAGTCAATGAGAAATCTGTGGTATCGAACTCCATGACAATGTCTCAGCTGTATCAAACGGATAGGGATTTGGACGGATTTCTCTACGTGGTTTATACTAGCCAGCCTGCTTTTGGTTTTTCCGCGGCCTTGTCTACAGATATTACCATAAAAGACAGCCATTTACTCTGAAAGTTGCCTTTCACATTCATACTAAGGATTCAATCATTTTTTGCAGTTACGCAAATCCCCAAAAGTGCTGTTTTCGATGTATTTAGTTGTACATACACTTCTATCAGTAGTGTCATCGACGTCTGATTGTACATAGTTGATCTTTTCAGTATCCACTGTATGCTATTTTGAATCTGTCTTCTTGAAGCCAATTTGAATCTATCACCTATTTCCTTAACTTCCGTGTATTCTGCTTGCTCTCAACGCATTTGTTGCAGATGTCGTCACCAAAAGTTTCATGATTTTTTTTGTACTGCTAGACAATACATATTTAGAACCACATGTTTTGCCTTGAGCTTAGTAAAACACTTTTACGAAAACCATAGATAAAGCGTTTGCATGAGTTTACGATCTGATTGACACGAGTGAAGGACAGCTGATAATGTTGTGTTGGATCTTTCGAACTGTTTTGGTGGTAACTGTCTACTTGTCTTCGCCCGAATTGTCGAACGGTGTTGATCCGATTCTGCTGTCTTCGTGTTAAGCAGTCGAAGAAAAGAAAGCAAGATACCTTGAACAAGAAGTAGTAGTAATCTTTCTTCGGGACACAAACAGAAGATGAAAATCAGTTCATTCATTACTCACGCTAAGAAATTAGTGATCAACAAGTCAGCGAGCAAACGAAAATGAAGTAAAAAGATTGGAGGACACGCTACAACAACTGCTATATCCCGGAGATGCACAACTCGTCATACTGGAGAGATACAATAACAAAACTTAAGGAAAATTTTGACGTCATCAATGGACCGAACCTTGGTCGGTCGGCCTTGGTCGTAAACCTAAAATCACGCCTGTTAGATGACTTTTGGTGGGCGTGGCTGGGACCACGTCCCCTCTTTCTGGAATTTCCAAAAAAATTCATACGCCACTGGTACAGCGACAGTGTAGCGCATGCATATTGCAACAACACTCCGTTAGATGTAAAACCCATATGACAATGATGCTAATGATTCTACTGCGCAAATAAGCAAGCGCTCTAAGCGTCCATAGTTCCGGTGACGACCGGAGTGCACGAGAACAGTGTTGTCCAGGCACTTACGGCCCATCGTGCGCGGTCTATCTGCACGATCACGCACGCGCAATCTGTTCAATCCTTCTGGACTGGAACCCACTGCTTTTTATTGGAACAACTCAAGTCAACAGCAACGATCGAATCCCCACCCTAATCCAAATCACGGATGACTACGCGAGCATTCCGCCATTTATACGCTGCATTTTTACCGTCAACATTGGAGGTTTCGATTGCACTCAAAAGTTTCACTGCATCTGGGTTCGTTCACAGGTATATACCCACATCCAGAACGTTCAAAATGTCAAAAAATTGCAAAACGAGCCACTGCCTTTCTCCAATAATTTAAGCCTTAACAGAATTAGAAGAAGTCCGACTGCTCTTTGCGCGCACCCGGACGTCACAGTAAAACTCTCAAACAAGGCATCACTCTAGAGCTCACAAGGAAAACCTTCTTAGTCGAAGGGGTCTTTCCACATGACACTTATATCACTGAACGCGCCTTTGAACGCTGATTCCACTGCTTTCATTTTCTGCGGAACAACAAAGAAGTTATGAGTGTTTGAAAGTCCAAATTTGCCATGCTATAAGTAGCACAAAATTAGCGAAAAGCTAGCACATTGAGTAGACAATCAAACTTGTATCAATTCTATTGACCACAAGAAAGGAACACATCCTATGGAAATTTGCATAGGACAGCTTTCCGCTAACTTTATGCCATTTGAGGCTTGACAAATTTGGAATTTCAAACATTTATATTCTTACGAAGAGTTGTTCTGCAAAAAGGAAGACAGTTTCAAAATCTTCGCTGAATGCTCTACAAAGTGATATAGATGTCATTTGGAAAGGCCACTTCGACTAGAAAGGCTTCCTCTGTCAGCTCAACGACTTCCAGCATATAACTTGCATGTAAAAAGGTTTCACGTAGAGATACCCAAATGCGAACATGCGTACCTACAAGGCAAACGCAGTTGCCGCTATTGCCACGAATTTTTGACTGACCTAAGCTACATTCAGCGTGCAGTATGAGGAAATAACAGCCTTATGTGATTCTACAGGAAACGAGTCGTACACACCCATACCTTTCATGAAAATGAATCACCTTCATTCGTCTTGTTGCGCAAACGGATTTTCTATCTGTTCCATACCGTCGGAGGGGGCAACGACTGTTATTGCAGTTCCACGCGCCACAATCAGTCCTAATGACCTGAAAGGAAGTACTGATAAAGCATCACAGTTCGCACCTATCTTCAACTTCACAGTGTCATATGGTTATTAGTACAGATGTACGGTTCCTGTTATGTGGTTTCCAATGACCTTTTAAAATGAGGGAGATTCTGAGGAAAAAGTTGGTAATAGTAAGGATGAATGGCATATTTCAAGGAAGGTTTTTTATAAGTTATTAGCATATGTTATTTTTGTTGTTAATAATGCTGTTTTTATTACTTTATGCTGGTAGACATATGCGTTGATTCGTTTACCTCACGGACTGCTCGATCGCAACGAACCACGTGCGGCGCGGCTGAATTGTCACGAGAGCATGCTTATACAATGGCGGATTCGCATTGGGCAAGCGTTTTACCTCGCGGTGCGTGTTCCGCAGATGTCCAGTCCGTGCGGTCAACGAATCCTATACACTGCATGCGAGCAGCATCAACCAAGTTCAAAATCTTTTCCCATACTCATGTCTTTCTTCTTGAGCTGACCTGGTATCGTCGCCAACTGTTCCCGGATTTTCAGGATCTCGTAGATATTCCACGGTATTATCCAAAACAAGGTTCAATAGAGCGTCGTATCCTTTCAGGATACCAGCAGCTGCAAAGCAAAAGGAATACAAGAAGTCTCAGTGGCCATTTTACTAACAATAAGATAGGTATCGCACGCAGCTTGAAGCATGGTCCCAAACCCTGCCTTCGATAGCTGCACAAATCTGAGTGGGAGTTAACGGCCAAGCATACATCACGCGATTTCATCGTCTCGCAATTCTCAACAAGACAACTTTAAAGGCATCGTCCATCCAAAATGGAGTCGATGAGATTTTGATGCCTAGCATTAGTGCCCCCCCCCCACTGTATAAACATCCAACTCGCGCTGGCAAAAGTTGCTTCCAAAGCGAGAAAATTGCTTCTAAACTCGCTTGGATGACAGATTCGCCACGTTGGCTCCTCCCCTTTCAGTGGGTGTGACGTTCATCCGCGCGAGTTGGATCCGTGCGCGCCCAACCAACCGTTCCCAAGAAATCGCTCTGCAGGTTCTGAAAACGAGTTTTTCGTGGTTTTCGCCGATTTCCCACTTCATATCCAGAATCAGGGGTATGAGAAGGCCCTGGAACGGCAAAAACATGGAGGTTGAAATTTTGGGTGGAAGGTGCCTGCAAAGGCAGTGGATCGACAGAACGAGTCCCATGGCAGAACAAGGCCACAAGGTAGGAGCCCCATAATGGAAGCTATCGGCCAAAGTCCGATCTTTCTCTGCCACTTCTAACCCCCGAAATTTCAACGCGAAAGCAGCGCTCATCTCCTCACCTCTCCGACCCCGCCCACCCCAGGGTGGAGGACTATATGTCGCCGAATTTGGAAGAGTCCCGTGCGGATTCCCTGCAGGAACGCATGTCCGCGCATGTACAAGGGTGCGTATTTGTCGCAAATGACTGCGGGGACCGCCCTTTTTCGGCGACATATAGTCCTCTACCCCCCAACCCACGGTCAGAGCGCGCATGCGCGATGCTATAAGCATAAGGGTCCCGCAACGACTGCGTCTTCGCCATGGCGGGCTTCGCGTTCACTCGTTCAAAATCCGTCAGACTTAGCAAGCGGCGACCACAAACAGCTAATTAGCCAGATCACTTTGCTCGGTATTTTTTGAAGGCTCGAATAACACTGAACTGAGCTTTGACTTGATGACCACATAGAAATCGCGCCTGTTGTCCGTCTCCCACGCAAGCTTGGGATATGCATTTCAATATTCAAACTGATACCTTCTCGTCCTCCTTGGAACTTCACGCGGATTTTTTTGTCAATAAATCGCGAGAGATCAACTATAGACTCCTTTTTCTTCCTTGTTCCTTCGTCTTTCCCCTGAATTCGAATTATATACAGTGAAAGTGCATAGTACTGGACAATCTAACCTGATGTGTACCTCCTGACATAGTGTTACGGAATTCTATATAGCAAACTTCAAAATGTGGAGATAAAGAACGGGCTCAGTCACTGAAACTGTTGAGAATGACAATGATGATGAAAGGTAGTGCAAAGAGAGATAATGGCAGGCAACAACTCATGAAGCACGCTCAATATTCAGCTTTGAAGATCATACCTCACAAACTGTCTCTCTAACACCGCTGAAAAGGTGGGAGTTTCTTTTTCCCTTTTGAGACAGTGGGATAAACAAGGACAAATACACAATTTCACTCTCCTGTGTTTGAAATACACCCCCGCCATCTGTACCACTATAGGGCAACCATAACCCTGGGAGCTAACAACACGTCGCGTTCAGCGTTTATTGTGACACTGAAGAAGCTTACAACAGAAGAGCCCTGTTGACCCCCGAACCCGCCCGTTTTACTGCGGTATGATTAATGTATAGGTCGGTTCGGCCACAATACGTAGGAAATGGCCGAACACCATCAGCAAAAAATACATGGTCGTAGCAACAGTTACTATCGTCGATTCAAAACGCACAAAGACTGGGCGCCATTGCGTACGACCAAAATAGCTGGTGCGTGGGAGAGACAGCAGGTGGTAAGAGGAACGAAAGAGCGCTTGATCACAGAGGCGCCGATAAGTCCGCAGTCTTTGTGCGCAACGAATCGAAGGTATGTCTTTTAATTTGTAGAGGAGCCTGTGCTTACAGAATGGCCATGGGGCACAAACCTGGGATGCGTTCCAGGACCTCTCCTTAAACGTAAGCGCTGGGTAAATTTTCCAAGTAAAGGCTGCTGCATGACGAAGGCGCAGAAGTGCTATTGGTTAACGGTCTCGAACGCTGCGCGCGCGTATCTTCATCGTTGTAAATCCTGCGCCTCGTGCGCTCTGGCCAATGAAACCGCGTGTCAAGACACTGCGCCTTCGATAGGCGCCACACTAAGGTAGGGCCAGAGTAAGCGAATATATTGTTTTCAGGTTGGGGTCCCGCGCAGAATTGACGTCACTTGACTTGACGCCAGCATGGTGAGCTAGGTGCCAGAGTTGGCTAATATTTTGTTCAGGTTGGGGCGTATTTGTCGCAAATGACCGCGGGGACCGCCCTTTTTCGGCGACAAGTCCTCTACCCATGTTCGCTTACTCTGGCACTTACCTGAGAGACGTCAATTCTGCGCGGGACCCAACCTAAACGAAATATTCGCTTACTCTGGCACCTACCTACTCAGACAATCACAGGCTCTCAGCGGGCCCCACCAAAAGCGTCGTTGCCTTATCGCAGCCACTGTCGCTTCCCGCTGAGAGCTTTGTCGGAGCTTTGTCGGAGCTTGTCGAAGCGGGCTCGCTGCCCGCTGAGCCCGCTCCGACAAGCTCCGACAAAACTCCGACAAAGCTCTCAGCGGGAAGCGACAGTGAGGCGATGAGGCCACCGCGCTTTTGGTGGGTCTAGGCGGTGGCTTTGTGGCTGCCGGCTGAGAGCATTTGATTGTCTGAGTAAGGGAACGGCCATAGGTTCGCAGCGTTCGCGGTGTTCGCGGTTGTCGGTGTTGTCGGTGTTGCGTAATGCACGTTTTGTAGTTGAACTTCCACTTTATGAATTAATTTTGCATTGATTGTAAACACATTACCACCTTCGAGCAGCTTACAACACCAAGCAGCAACACCGCGAACACCACGAACACCGCGCACACTGCGAACACCGCGAACGCGAACCTATGGCCGTTCCCTAAGGTACAGTCGAGTAGATTTAGCGGTAAATATAGTGTGCCTGCACAGAAGGTGAAATGCGGTAAAATTGGCGCGTGAAGAAATAGTTTCGACTGTGACGCCGGCCAATTGCGCGCGCAAGATACCCGCGCTACTACGTGGCTACTTGTTCACGCGCAAATTTCACCGCATTTCACCTTCTGTGCAAGCACACTATATTTACCGCTAAATCTACTCGACTGTAGGTGCCAGAGTAAGCGAATATTTTGTTCAGGTTGGGGTTCCGCGCAGAATTGACGTCTCTCACCATGCTGGCGTCAATCCTGCGCCGGACCCCAACCTGAACAAAATATTCGCTTACTCTGGCACCTACCTAAGCGAATATTTTGTTCAGCTGCAAAAGGCACCCGCCATACTTGATCCGCTTAATCCGCTTCGTCATTGGTCGATTCAGTGAATTGAGCAATAGCGAAACGGTAGTCCGCTTGATCTGCTTGATCCACTTCATCCACTTCACTATTGGTCAGTTCAGTGAATTGACCAATGATGAAGCGGATCAAGCGGATCAAGTGGATTAAGCGGATCAAGTATGGCGGGTACCAAAGGCGCACAGAACTGACGTCAATTCTGCGCGGGACCTGCAGCTGAAGCAGGCCTTAGCAGCAGCAGACATTATTCAGAGACATTACCTAATTCTGCGCGCCTAGCTGAACAAAATAGTCGCTTAGTCTGGCGCTTACCTTCGTCATGCACCAGCCTATAAATACCATTGCACATCGTGCATTCATAATTGACTCACTTGTGAGCCTGAATCTGAATGATGGGAAGGTCTCTATCCATACTTCTACTTTCACGCTCCAAAAGCAGTATTTCGCACTAGAGGTCGGCTATAGCTTGCATGGGGAAGCTTCAGTAATGCGTTGAAACTAGGTAATTACAAGCGAGGACACTGCCTTCAAAAACACTGTCCAGCGAAACGGAGTATGGTGAGATTTCAAGTTGTGCACACGATTCAGACACGTAAAGACTGGGCGCCGTTGCGTCTAGCCAAGATAGTTCGGCATGGAAGAGACAGCCGATGGTAAGAGAAACGAAAGAGCGCTCGATCAGAGAGACGCCTATAGTCAGCTCTCCTTTCATAGCACGCGGAGAGCTGACTATAGCTGACTATGTGATAGCGATTGATTAATCACAAAAGTTATGCTGCAAAACATGACTTCCGACGTGAAGTACGCTACAGAAAGTAGAACGGCTTTCTCATGCGCTTGATTTAAGAACATGTTTCAGATCTCCACCACTAATATCCACTTTTACTTTAGGCGTAGCGGTGGAACCGCTACGCCTAAAGTAAAAGGGAATACCTTCACGACTTGGCGCATGGTCTAGGAAGTGGGAGAGGCCACGCCATGGGGTATGCTATCTGCCACACCAAATGTGAAAATGGTCCATTTTGCCTGCATTGCTTTCGAGGTTCGAGATCTGAGAAGTGAAGTGGATGGTTGTTTACGGATAAAAGTAAACGAAACATTGAAAGATTGCCCTGCAGCCACTTCGCTTGAATCGGAACTACCTGCCGCACCGTTCCGTGCAATCTTTCGGAGTGCTGCAGAGGATAATTGGGACAAAACTATCTCGCTCGAGTCTATTTCTGGTGGATGTTTTTTTCTTGGAGCAATCATAAAGAACGCAAGAGAATAAAGAATCGTAAACGCAATTAAAAAATGTGCAAATAGCGGGAAACCGCGTGGCGGTCCCGAAGCGAACGCTCTTTCAAATAGCACCTTTAGATTACTGGTTCGCTAGTAATAGTCATAAACAACACAAAAGATTCCGAGTACCTACCACCGCAAACTCCTTTTTAGATTAAAAAAATGGCGGAATGTGGTGAACACTTCACTTTACACTTGAAAAAAAATCAGCCGACCTACTGCATTGGAAACCTGCAACGCAGTGACACAATGGTTACAAAGAGTGAAGAAGAACCGATACGAAAGTCAAAAGAACAAAATCCATTTTGACCCATCATATTTTCAGCTGTTTCCAAGAAACCTTACACTTCCACATAATGAATAGGAACTTATCCTAGTGAAAGAGTATCAAGCTCTGTACGAAAAAAAGGGATGCTTTTGAATGCAAATTTGCATTATCTTCTCTTAAGATTGTTCTTTCTGTATCATCTTCATGGTGTGAGCGCGTACCTTGCACCCTACCTTGCGGCAGAATCGCGCACATGCCGAAGCGCTGTGTTCGTGCACTGGGCGATTTTTCGTGAGGAACATCGATGTGTTTCAAGTCCGCTGTGTGGGGTTCTGTGCACCCATTTTTCATAAATTATTAAACGAACGAATACGCGATTATATCGTTTGTTCAGTCGTTCCGATTATGCGCGTCGATCTTTTCAACTAAATCAGTCGGGATCCTTCATTCATGAGTTCTTTTCCAGATGAAGCTGTATAACTGACGTTGGATTCTGTATATTTATCTCCCTCTTAATTATGGAGAATTTCGAGAGATTTTATCGCTACTTTGAAAGACCTCCATTTGCTCCAATCTATTACCCAACCCCAGAAGAATTCCTTGATCCTATCGCTTATGTTGCCAAAATCCGGCCTGAGGCTGAAGAGTATGGCGTTGTCAAAATAGTCCCTCCAGAGGTGAGCTTCCAAGTGCTGTACCTTGTTCAAAACTGCAAGGATTTATCTGTCTTTTTCAGAATTTCAAACCACCGTTTGCAATCAACAATGAGACTTTCGAGTTCACTCCTCGAATCCAGAAACTCAACGAAGTAGAGGCTCTTGTCAGAGAAAGGCTGGTGAGTTTGTAGTGTCTTTTGTTACAGAACATTCGTATGTTTGGTCCGGCAATATATGGATCGTGTTGTAGGTTTTCATGGAGAAACTGAACACGTTTTGGAATTTGCAAGGTTTCGATCTGAAGCCACTAGTCGTTGACGGAAAGGCTGTTGATCTTTTCAAGTTGTATAAGGTTGGTCAAGGTTCATGTTTCACACGCTTTCGATATTATTTTTGCTACTGGTTGGCTGCCCACATTGCACTCTTTACATCATCCATGCCGATTGACTGCGCCATGACGCAACTCCTGAAGTGTTTTAAAATGACGTTTGAATTTACCTCTATGCCATTCCTTCACTGATGTGATACCAATGGATATCGAAGTTCATGACTACCAATGATTATCGAAGTTCAAGAGAGCTTATGTGAGAAACGTAGTTTAGAACTAATTGCTTGAATCATTGTACTGAGAAATTGGTACGATTTGACATTCGGCTTCTATCTTAAGAAGAATGAAACTGCTAAATGAAACTTTGGAAGTAATGCATAGGTTACCGTAATGATCCCAAAACTACCTCCTCCTACGTCTAGTGAACAGCCTTATAGCTAAAATGGTAATCACTTGTTATCCTCAATTATTCTTCCCTTGGGTGGCGTCAATTCATGGCTGGAGAACTGGTTCGCGATTATTGCTTTAGCTGTTTTTAAAACTACTTCATCGAAAAGTCGGCGAGGGAAGATTCAAAGCTACACGCTTCTGTTCGCCATGTTCCAAATTCTTAAATAAGTTTCCGTTTTAAACGGAGGTCCGCAACCTTACTCGATGATCTTCTGGCATTCAATTGTAATCATTGTTTCAGAATTTGTCATAGATCCACGTCTTGTCAGAAAAAACAGCACAAGTTCTTTGTGGCCGTACGTGCGTTCTCTGACCTTGAGTGTTTTTCGTTTGACCCTTGCTTCCTTCGAATTTGCTTTCTTTTAAAATTACTTTGCTCGTTCAACCACTACGTGTAGGTGCTTTCAAGCTCTAGTGGTGCAGTTGATGCAAGTCCCTTCAAAGTTTCTTTTTCCAGATGCTTCAAACACTAGAATTAAGACCTTCTAAAAGGTTGCGTTCTGTAAGAACACATCATCGTGACTGCTTTCGTTCAGCAAGTCACCTTCGAAACTTTTTTTATACAGAATATCATATCGTATAAAACATGAAGGAACGACTGATAGACGTGTAACTTTGCTGAAGATGAACACGGTTTACTTTCACTACTTTCATGGAACACATTTCCAAATCATACTTTCACTACTTTCATGGAACACATTTCCAAACCACTTACTAACCACCCCTCATACTTCAGCAGCGCTATTGTTTTGCTGGAAGCACCGTTAACAAATTTTGCTGACGGATCCTACTCTTTTTATTCCTCTACATTTCTTAAACTAATTGGTTTACAATACCTGGTATACATTCTAGGTTGTGTATTCCATGGGTGGATCAGACGTAGTCACGCACAAAAAATTATGGACTCAAGTATCTCGCAAAGTCAACGTTCGTAGCAGTCACGGTCCCTCCGCGGTCAAATTATTTTACACCAAATTTATGCATCCTTTTGAAGTTTTGTACGAGGTAGGCTTATTATCGCCATTCATCTATTGTTATCGCTATGCCCTAACCGAGCTTATTGTTTTCTAGAAAGACGAGTGTTTTGGTGGAGAGCCGTCATGCTCTGACGAAAAGGATTCCGAGAAAGATTGCTTGCCCACAATGCAAGGAAGGAGACGCGCGCATCGACCTCGAGGAAGAATGATGGCTGGACTTCCCGAGCCGAAAAGGATGAAGATGTCTCCTCACAAAAGTGCGTGTGTACTAGTTCAGTATTTGGCTCTTTTCGAATCGACGTTTTGTTTCCAGAAAAGGCAGATCCAATGGAAAGCGTTTACTGTGTTGTATGTCGTCGGGGAGATGATGAAGATAGATTGCTTTTATGCGAGGATTGCGACAAAAGCATGCATACACATTGTTGCAGCCCTCCACTTGATGGTGTCCCAAAGGTATTAACCGTGTGTAGATTTGGAAATTGCTTTGTCATCTTTGCGCTAAACTTACCTTTTACTAGGGTGAATGGCGATGTCCCGATTGCGTTGTCAAAGAAGTTGCCAAAATTGGAGTCAATTTCGGTTTCTATGATGCGCATACTACATATAATCTTTTTACTTTCGCGGATTATGCGAATAAGTTCAAGACCGAGTACTTCAATGTAAAAGAACCTGAGGTATGCTTCAAGTTGTTGAATTACTGAGAATTTAGCCAGTTCTACCGATTTTTTTTGCAAATTCTTTATTTCCTTTGGCATTATTTCGGCATTATTGTTTTCGTAAAGTTAAAACATTTTAGGACGTTTCTGACGACGTTGTAGAGCGCGAATTCTGGCGCATAGTCAACGATCTAGATGAGACAATCTCCGTGAAGTATGGAGCCGATCTAATCACGAGCAAGGCATGTATGATTTTTGTAATCAAGTGGTCAAATAATTGATATTGCATTGCAGGTGGGTAGCGGTTTTCCGCGTAAAGGGGATGATCATCGCGGAGTTGATGCCAAGCAAAAGCAATATTATGCCAATCATGCGTGGAACCTCAATAATCTACCTGTCTTGAGAGAATCTGTGTTATCGCACATTGAAACTGGGATCTCAGGTAATACCAACGTTGTTCGGTTTTGTAATGGTATTTCAAACTTCTATATTATGTTGCTTCTACAATATTAATCCACGAAAATCTGCATTTCATTCGATTTCAGGTATGATGGTACCTTGGGTATATGTTGGAATGTGTTTTAGTACGTTTTGTTGGCATACTGAAGATCACTGGACCTATAGCATAAATTATAACCATTGGTGAGGACATTGCAATCCGATCCAATATTTGTCGAATTGAGATCAATTTCAGGGGTGAGCGGAAAATTTGGTATGGAATTGGCGGCAACTATGCTTCGGATTTTGAAAAGGTATCACATTTTATGTTTCGCTTTTATTTTCGACGTAAGAATTTTTGGTGGCGTTAAATGGCGTCTTTGTAAAAATCTTATCTATTGTACACACATATTGGCTATGTAATTGTCGACTTAGGTCGTCCGAGAGTTAGCTCCAGGTGTAACAAAGCAAAAAGACATATTCCACCATATGACTACAGCTGTAAATCCTGCTATCCTTCTTGCGAAGGGAGTCAAAATTTGGACGGTTTGTTGTAAAAATCTTTTTTCTTCTTTCTGCATTGTAAAATGAAACTTCAACAGGTGCATCAAAATGCGGGTGAATTTGTGATAACTTTCCCACGGGCCTATCATGCTGGTTACAATGAGGGATTGAATTTCGCGGAGGCAGTAAATTTTGCTCCTATCGATTGGGTATGTTTCAATTCCTGCTTCCGGTGACGAAGCGTGTTGTATTCTCAACATTGTTTGATTAGCTGAGCAAGGGACGTCAATGTGTTCGCGAGTATGCAGACGTCGGTCGATTCTGTGTTTTTTCTCATGATGAACTAGTTTTGAAAATGGCCTCATCATGCGACAAACTTGGAATTGCCATGAGTTTAGCAGCTTTGGATGAACTGCTGGAAGTGAGTAATCAATTCTTTTTGAATCGTTACAATGTTGTGGAATAGACGTAGTGTAATGGTATTAAGAAAGTAGTAAAAATAACGGCGCCTAGTCAGCACAGTGCATATGTACACTTTATCTCTTCCCTGTTTTCCTACGCTCGCTCAAAATGCGATGAGTGGGAATAGCTATGCTATCGCAACCTTGGACTGTTTACCTAGAATGGGTCGCGAAATTTGTGAAAGTTACATGTATTGTAAAAATATGCAAGTGACTTGTTTTTACTTGTAAATATTTGAGATTATCATCAAAAATTTTTGAAAATTAAAAATAGCTTGTAAAACTCTTTTTTGAAGACCTGGCTGCCGTCACGCCCCCTTCTTCTAAAATTTTGGAGCTATGGGCCCAGAAAAATTTTGGAAAGTACTCCAAGAAAATTTTCGGAGTGCGTGGCTGATGCCACGAACCTTACCGGAAATTTTTTTGCCCCCCTCCCCTCTCCACATCCCCCTCCCATCTACCCGAACGGAAATCCCGGATACGCCACTGCTAGCAAGGGATGTACTGCAGTTCCTCTTGTAGCGCTGCCTTATTGCCTTTACAAACTGTTTCCATAATGTCTCTTGCAGATATCGAAGCGCGAAAGTCAGGATCGATCTCGAATAACAAAGAGTGGAGTATCTTTATCTAGGAGGGAAAATTTTGAGGCAATTGCTGATGATGCCCGAACATGCAGGTAGGAGATATCATCTTCGAATTTTCGAAATCCGTGATCGTATCTGACTGTCAAATAACCTATGCTTCTTACAGGTACTGTAATACAACTGTATTCCTTTCTGGTCTCTCATGTGCGCATGGGAACACAGTATGTTTGCAACATAGCCACCATTTATGCTCCAAGTGTCCGATCTCAGAGTATGTATTGAGGTAAAAGTCTTCCTTAATTTTCGTGGAAACATTCTGTAATCGGTTGTGCTCAGGTATCGTTATACCAATGATGAGTTGAGCGACATAGTACACAAACTTGAGGAAAGAACGACATTGTATTTTGATTGGAAGGAAGAAGTTGATAGGACTCTCAACGATCCAAAAAAGCCATGTTGGTCTAAGTCATCATCACTAACACTAATGGATCAAGTTCATTTACAATGCTTGCTACTGTTGCAGCATTGGATGCAGTGGAGAATCTGCTCGAAATCGCTCGGCAGAAACGATTTCCCCACACCAGTCCTCTCATACGGTTACTTGATATTTCAAAGAAGTGTCACACAGCCTGTGATAGGGCTCGCACCCTTCTCAACGGGAAAGTCAGGACAAGGTTTGTGTGCAATCAATATTTAAACAGCCTCAGGGTGATATGCACTTATAAAGTTTTTCGCTGGTGCTTTAGCGTTGTCCAGCCACTTAAAGGCAGTGTCCGGGCAAAAACTCGATTTCTAGATAATCCATTTACCGGGAGTTATCCGCAACGCTGAATCCGAAAGTCCACATTAGAAGGCGCGAAAACGGCGAGAACAAACGTTTTCCAAGCCGCACAATTTGGAACTCGACGGTGCCCACCAAGACAGAGACGCGGAGTCGATGCGGGACCCTGTATTTCAACTGTGGCGGCGTGCGTACTGCCGTATAGCAGGAATTCGGACAGCTCGGAGGGTCCCGCCCCAAGGCGTGAGGGCCCGGCCAGACTTTGCTCAAAAGCGCCCAAAAGCACCTAAAATCGCTCAAAAGGGCCCAAATATCTCTGGTGTCTCTTCACTTTCTCGTGTGAGGAGAGAAGAGCGATGTTGTGTCTGAACGGGGCCCTCTCACATGGCACTGAGACCCCAAAACCCCCATCTTGCCCGGACACTGCCTTTAAGGAAGAAACCAGCTTCTAAGTTTTCATTCCTTGAGAGGAGCAGCGTCGGCTCCACATATCGTTGCAGTAGACTAGTTTCCATCTATCGTTCAAAGTTGAGGCAAAGACACGCCGTAAAAACTCAAAGTCTATAGTTTTCATTTCATTCTTTCCAGAGTAAAGACGCGGATTCAACGTGCAGATACTCGCTTTGACATCAACGGAATCCGATCTCTTATAGACGAACTGTTGGGTTTGCCGTGTGACCAACAACCGCTCATCGATGAACTCAAAGTAAGGAGATTGTTGTTTAGCATTGATTGTCATGTAAAGCAAACGATTCCCATCGACCGATTTCGCTGAATGAGCTGAACTACTCAAAATTTCGCAGACTGATTTGAACCTCGTCACTTACTTTGTTTGATCAATTCTCAAACGCTTCTTACTTTGCTGAATTATTTTCAAAGCAGAATTCTGCAATACTCTGCCATTTGTTTTTTGTTAGCAAAATTTCTTGTTTATGTCTTGATTTAATCATTTTCTTTTGTAGTCGCTTATCGAAAGAATTGAAAAGTGGCAAGAAGAAGCGCAACGAGCAATTGAAAAGTGTAGTTTGGAAGATTCCGAGACGATATCTTCGCATGATCTACGAAATTTGGTGGAACAGGGAGAAGAATTTGACGTACGACTGGATGAAATAGAAAAACTTTGGCGGGTGAGACTTTAACTTCTCAAACAGTATACCTACAATACAACATTCCATTATGCTGTTTGAGACCGTTGAAATGCGAGAATGGATAGCGCAGGCTAAGCACGTGTTGGACTGGACTGCAACTGAAGGGATGGAAAATGACGACGAGTTTCTTGCACATGAAAGATGGAGCTCCGACGACATACTGCGGTAACTTATCTCTCGTTGATTAACGTGAATTACTTATCATATGTTTCAGTTTGATCTCGGATGGTTCTCGTTTATTTTCTTCTGCCTCTCCCATGTCATCTGTGAATAGCCTTCACAACCGTCTGAAAAGTGCTTTGTTAGCTGAATCTAAAGTGAGACTCCATATTTAAAAAAGAGATCTGTGAGCCAGTCGAGATATTGTAGGTGGAGCGTCTCTTTGCCGATCCATCTGCCACAGAAGCAGACATAGAAAAGCTGTGGCTCGAAGTACGTGAATCTGATTGGATGTCTTCAAAAGGTACCTTTATCTTGGTTACGTTGAAAAATAACTGTTTGATGATGCGTTTTTTAGCAATGGACAAAATTAGGGAAGAACTGCTACGCATGCGCGCTGTGCGAGAGAGGACGGGTGACAAGGAGACGTCATTGAATGAATGCATAGATCTCATTAGGGAGTGCGAGGAGTCCAAGTATGCTAACAAATCCGAGTACCTTTAGCAGATTAATTGTCTTTGTAGGTTCCTTGCCGACTCCGAATTACACAAACAACTGAAGTCTGCTCGTGATAGCTTGCTGAAATTTACTCACAGACTTATGAGCCTGTTTCAGAAACCATCATCTTACTACAACTTGGTTGAGGTAATACTTTTGAAAAACTGACGCTTTGGAGTTCTAAGGGACCTTGGTGATTACAGATAATCCGGGATCGTGAGGATATTGCACCTCTTGTGGAAGGTCAAATCATTCCCCGATTTTTGGTAGATTCGCCTGCACCAGAGGATCAGTGGTAGGTATTAGTGGCATCTTGTATTTTTTCAGTGTTATCCTCTTATCAGGTCATCAAAATGGGAGCACTCTGTGTTTCTTTTGGCCCCACACTGCAAAACATCTCTGTTTTCTAATTTATCACTGAAATGCTCTTACTCTCGATATCGCTGTTCTCAAAACGCTCGTACTCTGAGCTCTCTGCGAAAAGTCGCGGCCTGGTGTCTGTCCTTTTACATTCAGCTTTCGGCGACAGACACTAAAGCGTTTGTGTCGGATAGACTGCGTCATTGCACTTTTTCAACACCTCCATAGTTGTTGAAGCTGAGAATCAAAGTGTCCGATTATAGTACAGAAATCACGCTGCGCCTGTCAAAGTTCACATCGCATCATCAGCAATATTGAAACATAGTAAAATGGCTGAGTTTTCGCTAACATTCCTTCAAATGCATTCACCGAATGTAGCTCTCACAATGGGAGTACGATAAAGCTTATAGTGAGGTGGTGGAGTTTCGTGAAGAAGTATCTTGAATGTATTTTTAGGGTGCAATTACGGGAGTTTTCCACATGCGAAGAAATGAAACAACATATTCATGCACTTCGCGACCAACAACGTGCTCTCATAGGTGTGTAACATACTGTCTTCTCATTCCAACAGTCGCTTTGTGTGATATTACTTTGCTATCTGAAACACGCCGATGCGGTAGCATCACCATTAGGATTGAGAAAACAGGGTCAATCTGCAAAGAAGTAACACATAAGATGATTGCGTGGAGGAAAAAAAGGGCTTCGCACGTTTTGGATTTGCAAGTCTGAATGCAGTTAGGAAAAGTGTCGCATGAATTGACTATTGAAATGTACACTGCACGTATATATCATTCATTCTAGGACTAGGAGACGCGAGCCCCCTTTGCACACATTATCTAAACAAGCTTGATCGTGTACTTAGCAGGTTTATACTTGCCATTTATCTCGCCTACGTTCATGCATGCAAGGCGTTCGTTCACGCCTTCGTTCTTTGGAAACAGGGAATAACAAACTTAAACATGTTAAGACAATGTCCGCAATGCGGTCACGCGTCTCCTAGTCGTAGAACACATGATACATACATCGGGAAGCGTATTTAGTCGAAGTGGCGTTTGTAAATGAGACTCATACCACTTTAAAGTGCATCACACGATGCCAGGTCTGCGTTCATTATCTGCCAAGCACCTCTGGACTAACGGTTATGATGATTTTTTGGAACGAAAATTGCACGCAGAATTTAGGTAAAAATAATTGTTAGAATCTTTCCAGCGCTCAGATAAAGTAATGTGAGTATTAGCATACTAGACAAAGTGTATCCATTGCATGAAGCTCTAATACTCAACACAGGACCATTTGAGCAAATTTGGGCGATTTCGCTCCAGTTTTGCGTTCAATTTTTTGACCCGAAAAACTCCCTTAAATAGTGAAGGCAGCTTTGGAATCATTGTGCAATATTGTCCCAAGCAGTATGGATCTCATCTGAAAAAGGCCACTTCGATTACACACACTTCCCTTGTAAGATATTGACTTCAGGCTCATTGCAAGACGCGAATTCCAAGCGCTCTACTATCGACACCTGTATATGCTTGAGCAGTACTTCGCAACAGCCTTCCGACATACTTGTTTGCATTTTATGTCGAGCGAAGTATCATGGTATCAAATAGGTTGAGTTCATCCGCAACGCTAAGACAATGCATGTTTTATAGTTTCTTGCTGCGACTGGGATCCATTCCTTGATCGGCTGCCAGAGGGGGCTTTTCTTTGTGTCAGATGTCTGCGTGGAAGAAGACCTTGCATCGAAGACGTACAAGCTGCTTGTAATTTAGCCCCATCAAACTCGTTGGAGGTAGCTCTCCTTCTTTTCAAGATCTCTTCTTTCTGAGTCATTCCAGGTAATTCTTGTTCGCGAACTTGTCAATCGTGGACGAGAATTGGCATGCGAGGCTAAAGCAGTCCTCGCTGATATTGCAGTAGTTGGCGATGAGCTAAGTGGGGAACTGAAAGACAGGTTTCTTTCGCGAACGTGGGCATTTGCTTCTCATCACTTTGAGCCACAAATGCGTGAATAATCGTATCATTTGTAGAGCGCAGTCGGTAGTAGAATCAGTGTTGGCGTGCGAAATTCTCGACATGGATGTTCTACCCAAAGTCGCTTCACTCATCCAGAAGACCTGCTCGTCCATTCTAGATGATCAGAAGAAGTATAGTCTAAATTTGTCTGCGTATTTTCATGTTTTTTTATAAGTTTAGAGCTTGGTCTTTGCTACGAGAACGTCCTGCTCGGTCTTCTCCCATGAAATCTATCTTCATCCGAGCCAAACGAGGGAAGCGCAATTCCAACGGCAAGCATGTATCCAGGAAGGAACGTAAGAGATCTCGAGTTGTCTACCATCAAGATGATGAGACGTGTTCGGCCGACACATGCTTGAAGCCTTATGGTGAGATCCTTCTATAAATTAGCTATCTTAAGCCTGTTAAGCGCTTATGCAAACCGCCGTGTCAATCACGGCATAGAATGTTGGACAAAAGCTTTTCTTGAGAGACAAGATGTTTAGCACAAAAAACTTAATCCACCTTATGTCTTTTCTTATCTTCGTTCGTCCATATTGTAGGCAAAGATATCATTTCCACATAGACATGGACATGCCCTTTGTGCTTTCGCTCCCTTTGACACTTATTGTATTTTCGATTCGTAAGTTTGCGTCTTTCAAAACTTATGTTATAGTGGAAGCGATGATCTTGTCATCGAATTTCAATTCTCTCTTTTTTTAAATTCTGTTTCAACGTCTAACTTTCTAACAGTTGACATTCATAGTTTTCACTTGGTATTATTACGCATTGCAGTATACAGTCATATTTTGAGGTGAAACAGTGGGATGGATTTTGTGTGAAGCTGGGTGCGCTCGATGGTACCACTACGTATGCATAGGCATGACCGCCGAAAGCGCCAAATCTCTTCCATCATATATATGCTATCGATGCAGCAGCTCAACACAACAGGTTGCGCAACATCCCGTTGCAGTGTGATTTGCCAGATTCACTCAGTTTACTACACTTCAAACTGTTGAATTATTGATATGTATGTTCGGTTTTTACCAAAATCCCTTAGCCACGCTTATACGTAGGTTTTACGTCTTTATGTGCACAAGACAGTTTAAGTGTGTTTTGAGTCTTTATATTACCCTCATCTCATGCAGCTATAGTTCCTCCTTGTTTGATTGTTTTTACTTTTCTTAACTCGATTTTGCGGTCATGATGCGTAGCTTTCTGAAGCGCCGCTCTATCTCCCTCTCTCTCTCTCTCTCTCTCTCTCTCTCTCTCTCTCTTTCTCTTTGATCCTCGCTTGATGCTTTTCGAACTGTTATATAGCTTCAGTTCTTGTTCTTTTTTGCAGTACGTAGAACGTATGTATGCCTGGTCTTAGAGAGCTGATATCTTTACCGCTGCTATCGTTTTCGTTCAACAGACGCATAATGTGCAGCCTGCTGACAGTCTCCTGAAGAGCTTTGCGTACGGCCGACTGCGACACTCTGCACAAGTATCTTCTATAGGTTTTGATTGCGCCTGACAACTGGGCTCTAAAGACTTTGCAATATGAACGCTTTCCTTTTGTATTTGACTATTGTCTAGGACAACTGGTCACCTTTCTCTGTTTCATTGCTGGTACCAGTCCTTTCAAGTTTTGTAGATTTAATCTCATTTCCGCAGATTTTCTGTGACTTTACGCTGGTTTCATCCACTTATGATATCATGTTCTCATCAGTTTTACTAACACTTAGATTTCTATCATTTGTCATGCTATCTAGTTGCGTTTCAAACGATGTCCCTTGACCAATAATTTTCGTACCCTGTCACATACAGTATCATGATTTGAGTTGTGTGATGAAAAGCAAAAGATGTTCGTTTGTTCAAAAGTTTGTTCTTCTCAGCCAGAAGCAATGTTGAGTGGAAGCATCGTCCACTATTGAAATATTCAAAGATCAAATGCAGCTCATATGCGCTTCGCTGCGGGCTGTCCTTACTACAGGCCGTTCGCCCTGCGCACGGAGAGCAACGCTGTTGCGTACTTGAAGGTAGTTCATGACTGGAAGAAGCGCAGGGGAGACAGGCGGCGAGAGTGCACAAGGAAAGAGGAGTGACGCGCAATACACATCTTGCGCACTCTCCGCGCCCTGCGCGGACGGCCTATACACGGTGTATCCGTGGGAGGATCAGTATTCGGTGAGGGCGGCGCTTGTGGCCTGCATTTGTTCCTCCATACACACTGTGTATCAGCTATATTGCGGTAGTAGTAATAAGTTGCACTTCCGCTGCACTTATGTCAACTTCACTTGCCCTTATCAAATAGCTATGGATTGTTCGCGAACTAGGAATAAAGCATTGCCGAGGTGAAGCGGGGTGAGGTTTTGAACCTTTCTTAGGTAAAACCTCAAAAATGAGGTTTTACTTAAGAAATTGCTCACGCACAGTTGCAAGGCTATTGTTTGTGCTTGTTGATAAACATCTGAAGTTGATGTGGTACTTCGCAAAGAAAGTGATCGGCCACACAAATAAGATATGCGAACACATCAGTGTCAGTGTCTTAAAGGCAGTGTCCGGGCAAAAACTCGATTTTGAGATTTTGTGCTTATACGGGCCTGTTCGCCATGCTGAATCCAAAAATCCACATTAGAAAGCGCGAAAACGGCGAAAAAGTGCTCTAATATAAAAGGGAAATCAGCAGGTGGGCGGGGCTTTCCCCAGTGCGATTTCACGCTCCCAGCTCCCGGAGCGATTTTCTCAACTCCGCTAGCCGTTCTAACATCGCTACCGGCTAAGTGCGAATGATTGACTTGAAACCGGAAGCGAGAAGGTCGCTCCGGAAGCCGGGAACGTGAGTTCGCAGTGGGGAGGACCCCGCCCACCTGCTCATTTCCCTCCTGTGTTAGAGCCGTTTTTCGCCATTTTCGCGCTCTACAATGTGCATTTTCGGATTCAGCGTGGCGAATAGGCCCGGGTTAGCACAAAATTCTCAAAATCGAGTTTTTGCCCGGACACTGCCTTTAAAGGCAGTGTCCCGGCAGGTTTTGCACCTCCACCTTTTTGCATGTTTTAGGCCTTTTCGCCACGTAGAATCCGAATTTGAGCTTTGAACGGGCTGAAAAGGCCGATTTTGGGGCGTTTTCCCAATTCCAGAAAAGCAGCTTGGACGAGATTTTTAATGGAAAGTTGGGGGAGGTCCTCAGACGAAGATCCTGCCGCCTGTAATTCTTGCTTTGGATAGCATGCATCATGGTGGAGAGCGCTCGTGGGGTCCCGCGCCGAACAGGCGGGGAAGGCCGTCCAAGCGCGCGCCAGTTGGGGATGCGCGCGCCGGTTCAAGGGCCATTTTCTCGGCCCAGGGGGAACATCACCCAGCCGGAGTGCGCCTGGAGGTCGATGGGGTGACCAGGAACCCCACCACACGTATATCCCCCAGGACCCGAATCTGCCGGGACACTGCCTTTAAAGGCAGTGGCTCGGCATGTTCTTTCTTGTGGCATGTTCACGAAGTTTTAATTTGATCCGACGTACGCGGAGCGTGCTGATGTTCTCTTAGTCAGGGGATAAATTATACCCTCAATACATAGAGCCATTGCTCTGATAACCTTCACGAGCAACGTAAAAGAACACAACCTCCATCTGAATGAAAAATGAAAGTGGTTCGGGGCGAAGTCGTGAATGTTAAAGTCATAGCTATATCGGAATGAAAGTGAATGGAGCAGGTATAGTGTAATATCCCAAAATATCAAAGCAAAACGATATATTGCGTTTTTATTGCCTTTCAAAGAAGGATTTAGTGAGAATTTTGTCAGAATTAAGGACCATGTTTCCCACTTAATCTCTTTTTAGATACGAACGAGTTTCGGAAGTACAAGGAAGCTGCTGAATGCTGAAGCTGCTGAAGGGACCGTATTCGCTGGCCAGAAGTATGCTTGAAAATTCAAAAAAAAACTTGCAGAAACCCAAACATTATTGAAGGTGTGTATGCGTGCCAAAGATGTTGCACGTACTCCTTGGCTCAGCAATTCTGCTTTCGAAGCCCCGTTGAAGTCTCTCTCACACACTCGACATCCCATATCTTTACCAATGGTGACCGTCAATAATTCGTAAATCTCAAAGTAAAGCTTGATTATCATTCAGATCAGAATCGATGTTCTGCTTTGTCAGATGATGTCCTTTCCAAACATATTTTCCCGACCACAATAAGCATAGCCAGGTGGTGAGGAGGGGGTACTACTTTCACGCTGATAGCGTCCCAAAACCATATTTTTTGATTTCAACGAGAAATCTGGCAGGAAACATGTTTTCGAAAATCTCCTGTTTTTTCTTCAGTTTGACTCTTTTCATGCGGTTTCGTGCACCAGATAGATATTGTTTCAGTTCATAATGGAAACAAGTCGCTGGGCTAACTTTCGTCCATTATAGCGGATTTTCATATCAAAAAGCGTAAAAAATGCGTCTTTCTTTACATTGTTCTCATTCAGTGCTTTCATAGCGATTCTTTTCCAAATTGGCCAAATATAGCTCAAAGTAATAAGCGCTACAATCCATACAACGTCCCAGAGAACATGAACGTCAATGCGGTGTTGAAAAGTCAAACTGAAAATTAAAAACTAATTTGGCTTCGACGTGCACTTCGACTTAGTGTATCCTAAAATCCTACAGATTAGTCCATTTCTTTTGACGAGAAAAACCGATGGATATGCACCGTCGCACCGCCAAGAAGTTTGCAGATAAATCCTCCCATCAGATAAGTCCGCCTACAGATAAGACCGGACTTATCTGACAATTTCATGGTAGTTATAACGGAAGGAAAGCGGACTTATCTGAAGGGCTTTTTCTAAGTCAAAAAAGCGGACTTATCTGAGGAAGGACTTATCTGATAGGGGAACTTGTCTGGGTAATAGAAACCTTGCGTTTCTATGAGTAATTCTTACTTAGAAGAAAGGGAAACTATTAACCTAATAAAAGAATTTCTTGATATAATGTCGTCAAAAGGAAACATTTATTCGCTTTCCGGTTTCGGGGCTAAGAACTATACCGGTCATGCGACTTCCTTGGTGCCCCTCATCAGTAGTTCCCAAGGAAGTGTAAAAGATAAATAAAATAGAATATGTTGAAATATATGCGAACCCAATAGATCTTAGTGGCATGAGAAGCAAGTGATATGTTCGAGGACCCTGGTAACTACCAAGTTTTGGCGCCAACAAATGCCGCGCTATCACTAGTCCAACTACTCCATGTTATCAGTCCATGTTTTTCGCACCTCATGCATAAGTGGAAGATGCACACTAGTAATAAAACCGTATTTACGTAAAATACAAGGGCGATCATACATAGTATTGAATATGACTTTATATAAAATACTGAGACTCCAACCATTGTACATAGAGGTTCTAACCAATTCTAAGACTCTACGTCTAAAGTCTATATAAACTATTTCTGTATATTCTTAAGATCTCTGAAGTAAGCGTATTGAATAATATGTAGCGAGGTATATTGGACCTCCAGTTTGGATATCTAGTTACTCTAAAGTTATAATCATCTGTCTTATTGTATAGACTAAAACTGACATTTTTGTTATCAGTAGTTATTGTAAGATCCAAAAAATTAGTCACTCCAACACTAATGGATGTAGTTTCTATATCTAAAGTGGGGTGGTATATATCTTTAAGGCTATCTATAAAATGGGATGCATAGTTGAAATATGCAGTATGTCATCTATATATCTGTAGGTATGTTGGTACAAAAATACATTATACTTCTTCTCCACAATCTGTTTTCTAATGAAAGTATAATCCATGTAAGCTAGCGTAAGATCTGCCATTTGTGGACTACAAGACGCTCCCTGTGGAATTCCTTTAATCTGTTTATATATTCTTCCACCAAAGTATAAATAACTGGCACATTCAAAACTGAGTCTATCATGTAAACTATGTCCTCTATCTGGTAGTACCTGCCTTTTGCTCTATCTTCATTTGTATATGACACTCTAGATTGATACAACCTCAAGTATTTGAATCCCCTCATGCAAATAGTAATTGGTTTTTTAAGACTATTCCTAACTACATTATGTGGCAGACTATTAAACAGGCTAGAGAAGTCTGCAGAATATACCTGCAGATTCCCATTAAGACTTCCCACTTCTTCCACTACCTGTTTACTGTTTTCTATCGCCCAAAAATGTTTGATATTATTTCTAAGCCCAATAACCTTACAATAGTTTTGAAAGTGTCTACGAAAATGTGACAATATTAGCTGGATAATGTTTGTCAAAGGTTTCAGTGTACTTCTTTTTGCACCCGTAATATATCTGAACTTTATGGGATTCTTATGCATTTTAGGTATACCATAAATTCTAGGTATTTCCAAACTATCATTGTCACTTTTTATGTTAAGTCCATTCAGAATTCTGTAATGGGTTCTAATAACATCCTCTTCTTGTAAGTCCGTGCACACATATGTGTAACCGTCTGCGCCTGATTGCTCCATTTCTTTTTTCATCATTGTTACATATAGTTTTTGCAGGTGAAACTAAAGTTGGAGCTAGCCTTATCTATAGGTGTAATCACAAAGTATTTCTGTAAGCTCCTCAGGCAATCTCGATTATAATCCTCACTTTCGACCAAGCCCTTGTCGTATAAGTCAAATAGTTTAGATTTAACTCGTTCTCTGAAATAGTTTTGTAACTGTGCTGTAACATTTTGTTCAATTTCAGCATTTGTTCTAGTTTTCTTGCATATTTTCGAGACCAAGTCTTGGACCAAAGTGTGTAGGACTTGCAGTACATCCTGTTTCGTGATAATTCCATGTGTGCGGTACTTTGTACCTTTTTCTAGTAGCTTTCTAAGTCTAATATCATGTATTATTTCCATGTTACCAGTGCATATGTGATGGAGGTTGCTATCAATATATTTCGTATATTTACTACATATACATGGTTGTTTTTCTATATCTTTGATGCCCTGCTCATTTAGTCTCTTCAAAAAACTATTGTAATTACTAATTTGTAACCCTAAAGGGTTACTAAGTTTGTATCTAATAACAATCTCCATATTTTCCAACATGTTAGATTGTTCTATGTGTTGCATCAAAATTCTTTTTACATTGATACCGTTGCATAGATTTTTTAATTTGAGTTTATCCATAATTTCTCCCATATATGGTACGGTTACCGTAAGTTGTTCCTTTGCTGTTTTGGCTCTAGTTACCTTTCTCCAGAACGGTGTTGCTATCAAAGCTAATTTATATTTATGTTCAAAGCTAAGATTACAAAATCGCTGGGATAACTTCGTCCATTACAGCGGATTTTTTTATGAAAAAGCGTAAAAAATGCTTCTTTCTTTACATTGTTCTCATTCAGTGCTTTCACAGCGATTCTTTTCCAAATTGGCCAAATATAGCTCAAAGTAATAAGCGCTACAATCCATACAACGTTCCAGAGAACATGAACGTCAATGCGGCGTTGAAAAGTCAAACTGAAAATTAAAAACTAATTTGGCTTCGACGTGCACTTCGACTTAGTGTATCCTAAAATCTTACAGATTAGTCCATTTCTTTTGACGAGAAAAACCGATGGATATGCACCGTCGCACCGCCAAGAAGTTTGCAGATAAATCCTCCCGTCAGATAAGTCCGCCTACAGATAAGACCGGACTTATCTGACAATTTCATGGTAGTTATAACGGAAGGAAAGCGGACTTATCTGAAGGGCTTTTTCTAAGTCAAAAAAGCGGACTTATCTGAGGAAGGACTTATCTGATGGGGGACTTGTCTGGGTAATAGAAACCTTGCGTTTCTATGAGTAATTCTTACTTGCTTATCTTTTTTGGTAATCATTACTTTCCAAAAGTTGTTATTTTTGAACGATCCTACTTTCTTAGATATAAGGGCGTGCATGATCGCGAGAGTCGGAAGTGCGTACGGCCATTGCGCCGCGCACGTCCGATGTCACTGAGGCAGGTGCCACACTTATCCTGTTCAAGTGGCTCGTCTGGTTCAGTCGTTCGCTATTGGTCAAATCAGCGCATTGACCAATAGCAGAGGGGGTGAACCGAATGAACCTGTTGGAACAGATAAGTCTTGCAAGTACCTGAGTCGTGAGGTGGACATCGGACGTGCGCGGCGCAATTGCGTCGCACGACCGGCTCTCGCGATCATGCAGGCCCCTATACTTAGAAGGCCCGGCTTCACGTGACGTGCGTGAAATCAGCACAGAAGTTTCAATTTCTCCCTGTGCCTCGCTTCAGACATCCACGATCTTCTTGGTTGATGTCGGGGCTGCGTCCACGAGTTCTAGGTCAAAAATCGTATCCAGCTGATTTCTCAGTTGGCCCATTCGTTTAACGACTGCCCATCTCGTCGAAGCCCTTCCTAGGGGACGTTCTGCTTCGTGAGGAATCCACTCTGATGTTCTCAGTGTTCATCTGTTGTCCGTTTTTTTCATGATGTGACCGGCCATGGGTGCTTCGCTTTCGCAACGTATTCCGCTGGGTCACGAAGACGGGACATTCTTCTCATATTCGTACTACGAAGTCCAACAAGATGTTGTTTATGTCAGGTCATCTTCAGAAGACTGCGCTTTAGCGCCTTGTGGGTGTCCCTAAGAGCTTTCGACGTGGCTACGGTGTAAGCCCAAGTCTCAGCTGCGTGGCAGTGCGCTGGGAGAACGGTTACGTCGAACAGGTGGGCACAAGGCTAGGCCCGTATGCACGTACATCTCCGCTGGGGAGGAGAGGGGAGCTGGATCCCCAGGGGAACGATCCCCTTCACTGAACCCCGCTATGACAGAGGGGAGGGGAGCGATTCCCTCCCCTGCACTTATAGCGGGGATGATGTGATTGCGCTAGTCGCTTCTACCTCACGGCTACTACAATACCTCACAAAAAGTTGATTTTGGTCATTTCTTGTGCACCATATATAAGAATACTAATTTCGCGTGCTTTCATCCCTTTCATACTTCTCCATTCACCCCTCTTATTACATCTCTCTTTTTCGCTCTCTTGAGGTCCATATTACTGGTTCTAAGGCTACGTGCTGTCAGTAGTAATAATGATAATTTTTGAAGCGGAGTGAGTCTATATAGCAGTCCATGAAATGATTTCCCCGCAACATGTTATGGTTGCACCTTTCCTACAAAAGAATTCGTGAATGTGCATTTTGTAGTTTTTATGGTTTTTCCAAAGTTTACCAGTGCGATACTCTTACGCTGCCTCAGATTCTGTATTTGATTTCAGAGGTATTGATCGGACGACCTCGATGGGGATCCCTTCCCTTCCCCTTCCCGTATCCACGAATGTAGCGCGAAGACGCGGGGGAGGGAACGACATCCCTACAATGGAGCAGGGGTTCGATGGTGTAGGTCATGCCAGAAAGCGAATACTCTGGTTTCAATCGAATATTGCAAAACCTTTCGTTCCGTTTGATGAAAGGATTTGCTTCGAAAGCTGGGTTCCTCTCTCGGCGACCTGCAGCTTGCAATCTTTTCTCCCTCTTCCATATTCGCTTTTTGAAAAGAAACCCGAGCATATAATGGCTGCCTATTTCGAATATTTTAGTTCTTGACCATTCACGAAAGTTGCGGATTTTTTATATGACATGATAATTCTAAGCATATAGGCTAATCAAACATATTGTAAATTTCACATATCATGACATGTTGCCTTTATCTTGTTATTTTAGCATAAACTGCCTTGAAAAAATCTAAAAAGTAGCAGATTCGCCCATTTCTGAGTAGAGATCCCCAGGGGAGTGATCTCCTCCCCAGCGTTCCCCTCGTAATGATCCCCAGCGGCGATCCGTGCATAGCAGGGATCGCCGCTGGGGATCATTCCCTTGGGGTAACGGACGGTATTTCGCTAATAGCTACAGCCTCCAGAAGAGCTGGCACGGTTTGCAGCTTCTTTTATGTGTAGAAATGCTGGTTTGAATGTCCGCGGCACCCTTTCCCATCTTTTTTTTCGGCAGCATAACATCTTCTACCCATTCACTGCAGGGACATCATGGCTTCTAATACTGAACACTTTTACGCTGAGATGGGCAGATTAGCAAAAGTGAGCAACATCCAAAAAACAGCAGAAATATATTGTGCTTAGGAAATTTTTTTCCGGTGCGCCGAGCGCAATCATGGCAGACGGCATTCCGCAACGACTAAAGTATTGCCGATTACACGCTGGAGGCGAGTAGCTACCAAAAGATGAGAACAATGGAATGATTACCACAAAAAAGGGGAAGCGAAATGATTTCCCCGATCGATTCCCCCTTCTGCATAAGGGGGTTAGAGGCCCGAAGGCGGCCCAGGCTACTCTCTCCTTTTAAGTTCTTCTCTAAGTCGTTCTTCATGTTCATCGAACGTCCGAGAAACGCCTAAGAAGACGTAGGCGCTCCACTATAGAGGTGTGCCTTCCAATTCCATTTCTCATCTTCGCAAAGGACATTCTTCTTGAACTGAGTCTTCTTCTGATTTAGTCGCAATCGGATCTTCTTCCCTACAGTCGGTGCCATAGCTCCGGAGGACAAAAACACGCACCCGTACAAAACCCGCAACTCACAAAAAACCCTTCAGACCCCAACTTGGTCAACTCAGAGTATCATTCATTCCTTGACTAACAGACACGGGTACGTTTCGTCGTCTGATTAACAAGTTTATGAGTGCGTTTAAATCCGTTTAGTGAATTACTATTAAGAATTCATGAGAGAACATGTTCGAGCTCATTAAACAACGCGAGTTTGAACATGTTCTTTAGCAATTCTAATAGTGATTCACCAAAACACGTTGAAAAGCTCTTAACTTGTTAATCAGGCTTACGTAAAGCGTGCTCGTGTCTCTCAGTTAGATGAATGATATGTAAGTAGTGACTAGTCGGACAATTCATCATTGCTTTTGCAAGAGCATGCCAAATTTTGATTTCTCAACTTTTAACATGAAAAAATACGGCAAGTGTACATATGCATAGCTGCTCAGACAGTCGAAGGGATACCTCCGGAGCAGAAATGGCAGGGCCGCGGGGTCTGCCCAGCGGGGGTTTGCCACTCGTGCTCGGAGCCCTCCTATTTTGTGCTCCGGAGCCCTCCCATTTGTGCTCCGGAGCCCTCCCATTCTGTGTCCCGGAGCCCTCCCGTTTTGCTCCGGAGCCCTCCCATGTTGTGCCCCGGAGACCTCCCATTTGTGCTCCGGAGCCTTCCCATTTTGTGCTCCGGAGGTGTCCCAAATCTGGCGTACCTCCGGACACAAATCTGTGCTCCGGGGCTCTCCCAAATCTGGCGTACCTCCGGAGCAGAGATTTGCAAGCCCGCCGGTGGGGTTCCATCCGCCTTCTTGTGACGTCACCGTGACGTCACAGATAGGGACCGCCCCCTCGCCCCCGCTCTCAATGGTCAACTGGGCCCTGCGCAGCTCTGTCAGATTTCAACTGTCCTCCGAAGCTATGGCACCGATTGTCTGAGTGATGCTGCAAGTAATTTCGTGAGCAAGTCAGAGTTTTGTAGAATCCTTTGAACAGGAACAATTTCTGGGTACTAGGAAACTCCTAGATGTTTCCTCCTAACTCTGCGCATCAAACTTTCTAGGATTGCTTGAACACCATCTTGTAGAGCTTGCTTTGCCCTATCGAATTGTATATTTCACGCACTTTAAGGCCCTCTCTGTCGCTAAAAATGTATTTTGCGACATTATACAAGGCTAGTTCGAATCTTTGGAAATATCCAAGTACGAATAAGTCACTTACGCGTTTTTATAACTCATGTAATTAACTTTCAAAAATTTCACGACCTATTCGGAGGGAGGGAGAGTGAGCCGTGGTTGATAGGTCCCTTCGATATACGATAACGCTGCTCGCACCGCTGCGCAAACGATGAACCATCATCTTCATCCGGGACTAGACTGCAAATCCACTTTTCATTTTCTAGATCAAAAATGATTCCACATCAAAAAGTTCTAATGTTACAGCATCAAGAGCAATTTCACTAGCTAAACGACTAGAACGATGACGGTAGTGTTCCTAACAGGGATTGAATTTGTTCAAGCCACGAGGGGCTCTTAGATTATGGCTAGGCGGTGCTGCGCTCGCGTCTTTTGCCCTGTGGTTCCTGCGCAAGGCAAACTTGATCCATCGGACTTCACTGACCAAAAAAATTTGTCTTGCCACAAATGGAGAGTCCAAAGTACAATTATAATCTCTGCCACCAAGCAACTTCAAAACGAACGCTTTATGACCCATACTGAACGACAAATAAAACTAAAGCGGCTCGATAAACATCGCAGTAATACCAAGAAATCTACATAAGTGACTCTCAATAAAGTCTGATATTACAAAATCATCCCATTCAAAGGTTGAAGAATCTGTTCAGAAGGCATTTATTTACACTAAATGGATATGCAGATATGGTGCAATGAGAGTGGAAAAGGAGAAGAGGGCGTGGGAAGAAGCGGAACAGAGGCGAGTGCAACAGTTGATTGATTGTCAGCTTTGTGGAAATAATTAGTACGCATTCCAAATTGTGTAATCAGTAGACATATTCGTGTTTTAGAGCCCACTGCTTGTGACTTCTTGGCGACATATTGAGGCACGCAGAAATACAGTAATAATTCGAACAACCAACGATCTTTTACCACACCGAAGGAGGGGGGGGGTATCACTTTTCACAGTATTTTGTATTATACATGCCCAAAGTGGAAGTCAAGTAAATTTCAAAGTTTCGTGAGAAGAACGTGCAAAGCGGAGTCCGGAGCTGGTGGTGCGATGGGAGGATCTCTGTATTCGCCGCGATAATCGCAGTACCGTGTTCGGCAAACCTTCAAAAATGTTCTTGAATTAAACTAAAAAAATTTATAATCACAGCTCAACTCACCACATTTTTGAACGTTTTGGACATAAGCCGACTGGCTCGACTGCTGCTGCACAGAGCAAGAGCGCCATCGCAGTGGTCTTCTCGAGCAGAAGAAAGACTGTAACAATGTCAAGCTTTTATATTCTTTTATCTTCTTCCTTAACTTAGCGGTTGAAGGTCAGACAGATCTAGACATAGGCTATTGGGAAACTAACTGGCCTCACTGAGCCATTTCTCAAGCTCACATTCATCGCCTAGATTTATTTCTGCCCTCTTGCCCGGTACCGTACTTTTCGTAATGAACCAATCGCCGAATTCGAGCATGGCACCGGGAAAGAGTTGAAGTTAGATTTTGGGACCACGGATAAGTTATATAAGTCGGGTATTCTAGTTTAATAAGAGATAGATACCAATCATACCATAAAGTTTAAATACCCAAATCTGTCTATACTGTTTTTTTAGCATAAACTTACCATATCTCCAGTAATCCAGAGCCAATGCCTTTGTTCCAATGATCAGGATGTACCGCAATTATCGCTACAAATACCTGAAAATTTGTCTTTTATCTCATACCATCAAATACAAAATCTCTTCAAGTAAGTTCCTTACAGGCTTTGTGACTTGATTCTCTTCTAAATGATAAGTGACATCAGCACGATTGAACACGGATTTGAAGAATTCGATAGCGATGTGCAATTTTACATCGGAAAACTCATAACGAAACAGACGATCCATCTGAATAAAAAGAGTTTAGAGCCATCGTAAATGCTTTGGCTATAATAAAAGGTAGTGAATCAACAGAAAACAGCTATAGGAATTTTTGCGGTTTTCTTGGGAACTGCCGACGAGGGGGGGTGTAGGCCCTTTTGAACCCTTCGCGCGCGATGCTCGTTTCGCCGCGTGCGGCGCCGCTGGCAAAGCTAACAAGTCGCATTTACAGTCAACGGGGAAAATTCTTAGTTGAAGCATGTAATATGCCTGTGCCAAAACCTATATTCATGTTGGACACGAAAGATGTGCAAAATTGACCAAGTACTAACTCGTTATGGCAGCGGACATTTTGACCAATCAGAGGCGCGCGGTGATAGCGAGCGGTTCAAAAGGGCCGTTTCCCGACGAGGGGCACTAAGAAAGTTATTCCACCGGTCTAGTTCTGAGCCCCGAAACTGGTTGAGTGTAAAAAAGTGAAATCAATCTGAATAGCAGGTCAGGTTACAACCTCCTGATCAGTACATAGATTGATAGGCAACATCATGACGGAGATACATTCGCATTATTCAATGTCTATGTGTACGTGAATATTCTTCAAAATTCCACCTTGCATTTTCTATACTATTACCAGTCTCGGTACAGGTGACTTGTAAGCAAGCTGGATATTGTTTTTGGGACAAAAAGCAGAGGGAGTGTCGTTTTTGTGGCCGAAAAACACAACGTAGGTTATGTTTTTTAGTCGACTTTCGTTGTTTGAGGGTTTTTACGTTTATGGTTTGAGGTCAAAGGTGACTTCGCAAAATTTTTTCATTCGAGGAGGGCTTGTTTGCGTTTTCGGAAAGCCACCTCGTACCGAGCCCTGACTATTACAGTAGGCCCTTGCTTCCTCTCTAAAAGCTGACAGTCCGCACTACCTAAGTTATTTTGGTCAAATCCATATTTGTGTACGTCTAAGTATTAGGTTGGTGCAAAAGTTCTTTCGCACCAAATTCAAAAATTCATAACTTGTTGAATTCTCAACGAATTTACAAGATCCAAATTTTTTATAAGAGAGGAACTCATGCTCTTTGCACATGTAATACCTGTACTGTTCGTTAATGTGTACAAATGAAGGAGATAGAAGCTCAAAACCAAAATCACTCAAAATTTGGATTTTTCGTGTAGGGTCATAAAAAATCGGAAACTTGCAGCGAAAATCGGAACAGTCGGTATCGTAGGTTCTTTCACCAGCTCTTTCTAACAGTGCAAAGTTTGCGCCGATTGATGTCTCTGTGAAAAGTTATGATTTTCGAGCATGCAATACAAAAGGGCGAATTTGATTTATTCTGGCATTTTTTAGGAAAATCGTAAGTTTTCATAGAGACGCTCAATCGGCGCAAACTTTGCACTGTTAGATAAAGCTTATAAAAGAACCTACAATACCGAATGCTCCGATTTTTGCTGCAAGTTTCCGATTTCTTATGACCCTACACGAAAAATTCAAATTTTGAGTGATTTTGGTTTTGAGCTTCTATCTCCTTTATCTGTTCTCGATAGCGAACGGTTCAAAAACACTTGCAAAGTGCATAAGTTCTTCTCTTATACAAAATTTAGGTCTTGCAGATTCATTGAGAATACAACAAGTTAAGAATTTTTGAATTTGGTGCGAAAGAACTTTTGCACCAACCTGATAAATCGCTTCCTAAGCATGCATACCTTGCTGTACTGGAACAAGAAGCAGATCTCTGACAAAATTATCCAAATAAATGATCCACAGAAGCATACTGCAGCTTCTTACCCTACTTCATCTTTACATGGAACAAGGGATTCACTTCAATCATCTTTGCCAACCTTCTTGCTTTTACAGAAAACATTTTTATATCACCAGTTGGAAATAAATCAGGCTTGAATCACTGCGCTCATCAAGCCTTATTGAAAATTCTCAGACTCCAGTGTTAATCGCCCTTCTACTTCATGAATTGATCAGTACCTTAATGCTATAAAATATGGTTTGCTTTTCTGCTAATGAGGTTGTTTCTTAATCTCTCCACTCTTTTAAAGTACAGAGCAATCTTCTCAAAGAATTCGTTGCTATTCTGCAGTTCCACATGAAAATACAAGCTCCCTCCTTCTCTCATCCTTCCCTTTCCGTCCTCTCTTCTATTATTACTACGCCATCGCCGCCTCGACTTACTACGTGCTGTTAGAATTGTAAAGTTGGCCGGATAGAAGCGCGAAGAATACATCAAATGATCATCCATTCATTACATTGTCAAGCTCGAGTACGTTCGCAGCGAAATCAAGCAAATGAGCTCTTGATTATATATGTTCAAAAATCACTCACCTGCTTCTCAAAAAGAGCAGCTCGGCTGGCCAAGCACACCCCCAACACCGCTTGTGTTTTCGTATCTCGGAGTATCTTCGATGCTGGACATGATATACAGTCACGGACAATATCCGTGAGCAATGTGGTAAGCTCTTTCCTGGAATGTAAAAGGGTGAATTTGCATCTTAAGAAAAGCGTGATATCTAGCGGCGAAGGGTCGAATAAGTAATAGGGTTTCATTAGGAAATGGAAGAGCGGAAGCGCAAGAAGATTAGTTACTTACGTATTCGAAATGCGAAGGCTTGATAGGATGGGTTCATTTGCAATCAAATGTTCCCGCAGAAAATCGACCACCTGAAATGAGACCATAAAGGATCATAAAAGAGAACACAACCTTTCTTTTTTCTCAAAATGCGGTAGAGCTTACTTAACATCACACTTAGTTATTCATGACAAAAACTTTTTCTAAATGCGAATTGTGACTGACAGCTGCCCTAATACATATAATACGATTGCTAAGAAAGTTTAACAGCCATTAGATGCTCATCCATGATCGTTGTAAACATTGGAAAACCCGCCGTTCATTTGATTCTATTATGCTTGAATTCCGAATTGTGCAAATTCCAAGGTTATAACACACATTTACACTCTTTGTCACGATTTCAGTGCCTTAATCCTATGTTTCTCATCAATAATCTCTGCCACTCTTGAAGTAACGTTTATCCATGAAAAATTTAAAAAAAAATTGCGAAAGAAAGGATATTCTATAGTGCCACAAGCGATTGGAATTTCATATCCGAGTGCGACCGCCGGCTGATAATTGCCAGGTAAGCTGCAGCGTAGTAGTCTAGGATCAGTTTATGATAGCTCTTTCTGGCAAATGATCCCCAAAGCATTAAAAAAATGACGATTTTCGAAATGACGATGTGGGGCAATGGTGAAACCTTTAGAACTATGATCATTTGACATATTCGTAAAAGAACGTGCAATGGATTATCACTGATTTATTGGTAATGAGCCTGATAAGCCCTAGGGAAATCTAGAGATTGAGGCAATGATTACTCTTGGATTCGGAAGCTTTTCAAGGAGAAAGAAAATGAAAGGTAATATTTTTGGATTTTATTCTGGACTGCTTGATTATACAGAATTATGGATAGTCAACAGATTTGACTTCTGTGGTACTTCGACTTTCAGATTGCAATAGTAAAGAAAATTCTGGCATTTTTCATTCAATACGTGCATATATGGGTAATCAAAAGTGAAGAAACTCGCAAAAAATAATTTGCTCGGTCAAAAACTTCTATCATTCTCGCCGCAGCCTTATATCCATCAAACCAAAACCAACAAAATTCAGCACTTTTTCAAGAACATCTTCAGAAACTCAACCATTTGTCTCCACACAATTTACGATAGCAGTACTAGATCTAATTATCCTTACATGCGAGCCACTAAAAATAATTGGGAAGACATTTAGACTACTTCACGCGGAACGAAGATAGTACAGTAGCACTTTGAAGAAAAGATGTGCTAAAGAGATAAACCAATAAAAACCTAATTTGCTGATATTTCAGTACAGTACACTTATTTTTAGAGGAGGATGTTAGGCAGAACAACAGCTATTTGTACTAAGGATAGATTATTGAATAGGTTGGGCTGATATGTAAAATCCGCTCTTTTTGCTGTAACAAATTGTAAAAATGAAAGTCTAAATTTTTGGAATTTTCTGCATGCAATGCTGCGTGCGTCTGCCTACACGGCTTAAAGCTCTTGTAAAATGTATGACTCTGCAATTATAATGATGGCGTTAAGCATAAGCGCGCGCTCATGACACTTTGAAAAAACGTGGGCGGATATTATTGCAAATAGTTATGCAGTCCATAAATCTCTTTCTGCTGTCTCAATCACAATCAATTCTGCCGTCATCGAATACATGACTTGCGAAGCCAAGTCAAATGGGACATTGGGGACAACTTGCAGAACTTTATAGCCTACGATCATACTGCATCATCGAATAGCCTACTTTATGGCTCTAGCGCTCATATTTACGCTATGATAGACGTCTTTTGCAGTTCTTTCAAAGCGGAAATCGTTACAAAAGCAGTGCTTACTCATAGGCTTGGGCACTTGCGCGATTAGGGTGAGTTCAGTGTTTTCAAAGCCAACCGTCACATCAGCACCGTGCCATTCTCGTACCAACATTAATTGATCAAGAGGCGTGTGCTGAACGGCGCTGGCATGGCGCTGCCACAGGACAGCTTCAACACATAAGCAACTTCGAACGCAGCTTTACAGAAGCCTCGCGATTTGACAATGTTGCAGGTGTACATAAGTCAGCGTAAAGGCAGTTCAAATACGCAAAATAAAATATATGGAATGTCAGCAAGTTAGGGAACTTTTATTTATGCCTTTGGCTGCGCCAGAGTTGCCCTTGTGCCAGCGCCCACGTGGACGCGTACCGTACTGATCGATCGATGGGGATGACGTGGCGCTGGCACGGACAACTCTGGAAGCAGTTACGAAGTTTTTTGCAAGTAATGAATCCATATCTAGATGGTTGAATCGCCTCATGCCTGTCTATGCGCAACAAAAACATATTGCAGTGAACTGAATATTCAAGGAAATTAAATGTGGACACCTACCTCCTGCTCCGATGTGATACCGTCGACTCGGGTATTTTCTGGAAAATGTACGGCCATATGAGGCGTCTTCGCGGAGGGCGACGATGGGCTAGACTGCGAGGAGCCACTCCCTGTCGGCGTCGAAGCGGCGGCGGTCGGCGGAGCCGAGCCGGACGACGACGAGGCGACGAGGGTGGCCATGCTGCGATAAAGGTAGCCGAATATGCTTGCTGACTGTGGGCGAGCCTCTAGGCACGCCCTTCGAGAATACACAGCAACTGTCGACGCTTCGCTTCTTCCACTTCCTCCCCTTCGCTCCTAGTGACTCGATTTCCCGTACGGCGATCCTTGTTGTTGTTGCTGCTGCTGTGGAGCTGAGAGTACGGTACGTCGACGCCGATTTCGCAGGCTGACTGAAATTGCAGACATTAGATCATTCAAACAAAGCCTCATAATTCTCTTCACGTGTCTCACAAAACGATAGAGGCTATATAGAGGAGTCTATAATTTCAAATTTCTATTCTCGCCACTTCCCCAATGATGAATGTTAACGAGAGTTCTAGAAAAGTCAAAGAACGTGCAATTCATCTACATGTAAAATGCAGAAGCTAGTCATGCACCTCGTAGAAAAAGGCATTTCCAGTAAAACACGAACTGAAGTAAAAACTTGACTGGGGATATCAAATATAATTGGAATGATAACTTTATACTTATGAATTACTTGTAGTACTGGGCTCTTGAAAAATGTTATGCTAGTAGCTACGAGTCATAGTCCACCGCCTAGGGACCTTTGCTTAAGAATCCCGTCATGGTAGAAAGTGGGGAGGGGCAGCGGAGTTCGAACTGAAAGCATCTTGTCTCAGCAAAAAATTATACAAACTCTGAAAATCTCCGGTTATACGATAACTGTTCAAAGTTCAGAATAAAAAATAGTGGAGTCTCATAAGAAGTTCGCGAAAATAAACAAAATTCGTTCTTGGCTAAGTTTTTTCTCTCATGTGGTTTTTTCAAATGTAGACTACAAAGTAATTGTTCACACAAGCAATTGTTCATTGTTCAATTGTCCTGGAAACACATGACAAGTTCTTGTTGAGTGGTTGTTAGTTGCACAATTCAAAGGAAAGATAACGAAATTTGCATATAATAAAATGAAACATGGGACAGTGATACTAGTGGAAAAACGCTTCTTGAAAACGAGAATGGCATAAAAGTGACAGCGCAGAGGGGCTCCTCCACAACAAGATGAATAAGGATGTCTATAATTGGCAAGGTTGTTTTTATTGCGAGAATACATGGGTGGAAACCACCGAATTTGTAATTTTCTAGCAAGAATGCTTGATAAAATCTTAGCTTGCTTTAATACCAAAAATCTGGATCTAAGGTAATGAAATTGGTTTTATTTTCTTCCCAATCTTTCTTCCCAATAGAGTGTCATGACTCTGAATCATGTACCATCTCTTGTGGCAAAACGGAGAATAAATGAATTCGATATTTGGTAAACGTTCACACATCCTAAGATATTAGTGCACACCCGCCCAAAAATTTGAGGTGCTTGTTTTATCGTAAACAAGAATGGGAAATTTGCAAATATAAAGAGTTCATGCGAATCTTTGGAGAACCATGAAAATAAGTCTGACACATTATTTAAAAAGTACAGTCGTACTTGTAAAAGCGACCAGAAAGAACAAAATCGACTGACGGCATATTGCAATATGCGAGATGAAATCCATGGGAACAATAAAATTTAAGTAATTGTTATACTACAAAGAAGCACAAAGCAGGTAGTCACACTGACTGCTCGCAGATGTCTAGCTTTTCCAAGCAAAAAAGGAGTACATGAGACGAAGCGATAACCGAGCTTCTGGGAGAAAATGATGTTTGTTGGAGGGCTAATAAAATTTGGGGCCTATTAGAATGTCAGCGCGTGACATTTGCCTGGATAACTACGGTTGCGAGAAAACTGTTAACTTCAAAAAGCTCGTATATAGGCTGCAAAAGTAAGTGTAATAATTTTATCTGGTCCGAAAAACAACTTATAAAGTTGTGAAGACTACCAAGAAAGAAGTGATAAAATCAACTTCATTCCATTTTCTCTAGGATTTGTTATTTGCTCTCTCGTTTTTTTCCTATATACTGCCTTTTCGATAATCATAATAACCATCTAGCTATCGGCTTTGTAGCTTAAACTAAAATTGTTTTGGTTGCAAAGAAATTGAGCCAGCACTGTAATTAGGGAGACACTTAGTCACTTTACAAAGGCATCAACACACGCAGTTTGAAAAAACTTTGCTTCCGTTTCTATTCTTCTTATCACCTATTTCAAACATTTTCCTGAAGCGTTCACATTGATAGAAAAAAAGCATGGAAGTAATTTAGGCTAATCGCTATTTCTATATCTCATCTCTGATACCCGTACACAAAAAAAAAAGATGACAGAGTTTCAACAGAACTTCGCCACTTTGTCGCAAATGTTGCAGAAGTGAAGCATGGAGATCTTCATGCAAATAAAGCACGCTTTTTTCCTGAAAAAATAGAAAACTTCAATAGTTGTGTACTGAAATTCTCCTTACCAAGGACCATCGTAAGATCTATATAATACATTTTACATTGAAAACTGATAGAAAATCTACTCCCGAATTTATTTAGAACGACTTTCCTTGGCTGTCCAAATTCTGCAATGACAGATTAGATAAGCGCAACAAGATGGGCGGTTGTGGAAATGAAAGCTGAAATGGCTACCACTGACTAAATTGCCAACCACACCATTGTTTCGATCCACGCTTCCAACAAAAGGACATCAAGGTTCTTTGTTTAGCTTCGATAAATAAATAACAATTCACCAATGATGAAAAAATAATAGCGATGTGCAAAGAGTAGAGTTCATAATCTGGCAGATGTCATTAATGAAAATGGGAAATGTACTTTTGTGAAGCAAGCGTTTGTGTAGCCGGCTCATGAGAGATGTGGAGTTTCTAGAATCCCTTTCTATCAAATTTTCAAAGTGGTTCTTTGAAGAGATCTTATATAAGCAAAAGAGTTATCGTCGTATTTTTGACAATCTACTAATGGACTTCGTATTTTTGCCGTAAAATAAGGCTGTCTAGCAAAATTACTCGGTTGCTTCTTCACGTTATCACCTCTCCCCGCGCTCATAAACTTTTTATCACTTTTATTTCTAGCCCCGCTAGTGCATGATATAGGGCAGATTCATTTCGGGGAAATTCCAAGCCTATCAAGTTCAACGCGACCCAAAGATTGGCAATCTCGAGAGAAGACCAGCATGTTTAAACTATTTAAACTTTCTTGAACTCAGTACTTACCAAATGTTGACTAAAGTTTAACAGAGTCTCGTCTCATCAAGCCACATCGTTAAATTTTTCCTAGTAACGATCTTTGGCACAACAAATACAATGTCGCCCGTATTTTTTTTGAAAACAACGCACAGATGCCCGATTCATGTGACATCACCGTAAGTGGCCATATCTCTTCAGGGTGGATGAATTCTTAATCCAGGAGCACCATTCGACTCGGCTCGGCGTGGCGCCTCTTCCATATATCAGAAGTGCCCGCTTAGACACAGTAGGAGGATCACGAATCGTTTCAACTCTTTGTGTGCGGTGAGTTGCCCAGTGAGTGCAATGAACAAGCGCACTGAGTAACCTACTTTGCGAAAATTTGAAACGATGGCATCTGACCTCCTACTGGGTCCAAGTGGGCTCTTCTAAAAAGATGCGCCGCGCCAAGCTGAGTCGAATGGTGCCCTTGGGTAGAGAATTCGTCCACTCTGAAGCGAAATATGACCATGCTACGGTGATGCCACATGAATCAGGCGACTACGCGTCTTTAATTCAAAAAATACGAGAGGTATTGTAGATGACCTAGGCAGCAATACATATATTGTAGTAATAAAGAAATTCATATCGTATCAAAAAAATAATTTGTGATGTTTTCGCTAGAGCTTACATTTTAATCGCATCTCACTTAACCTATGAAAACTCTTGTAGAACAAACTTCCTTCAAAGTCACCATTCCTCTAAGCTAATCATCGAAAGTAAAACGCGAAGTCATCAAATTTGATGGGCATTGCGTGCGGTTTTGCTAGCAAAGCCGACATTTTGATCGATGTGATGAAAAATTAAGCTCACTTCCAAAAGTTATTGCGAAAATGGAAAGCGAGGGGTTGAAACAAGAAAACACACGCAAAGTTAGGGAATGTTGACAAACTGAGACAAATGGAAAAAAATCCGTTAAAGGCACGGTAAATGCATTTCCTACCTTTGCATATTTGCAAGTATATCAAAACTGCTTTGCAAAACCGAATAGATACTTGAAAATGCAGAATGCAATCAACTGCATAAATGGCTATCCATAACGACAAAAAGGAGTCTTTGGAACGGTTTTTCAATCCAGCTAGATAATACCTCCTTCCTTGTTCTTCTTTTCTAAATCGAATCATTTCGCTACAGCGACAGCATTCAATTTCACATTCAAAAGACAGTAGGATTTCATTACCATTTACTCATTTTTCGATGAAAAACGAAGGAACTCAAAGCTTCTTAATTGGGGCTTAACTAGTACGTAAAATGATACTCATAAAATCGAATCTCAGTAAGAAAAGCAGAGATGATTTTAACAGCGTGATGGTCACCTGATAGTACCATACTGATAAGAGAAAAACAAAAAATTCTACTTTCCAGACTATGGTCGGAGAGGACTTTGAACTAGGGCAACAAGCACTTATCCAGACATAAGCTCAGAGCATTTATGAAGCACGAGCTCAGTGTAAAGGAAGTACTCTCATTATTAGAGTAGGAGCACTTTGCGAGTTCAAGGATTATGTTTTCGTAAGGGTTTTATTGCTTGTGCACTTTAGAGAACATTTTCTTACTAGCAATAAAATAGACAGCAAGTTCCCCCCAGAACTTGGATCTGGCTGAATGCAAATGTTGTACAAAAAAGCTAGCAAGTAATAATTTGGGGAAAAAGTTATTCATCTTCGATAATGATCCCATAGCATCTGTGCTTGATTAGGCTTTTGTAGTAAAAAAAAGAAGCAATACGAATGTATGTTGATTCAGCTTATTAGGTAATACCATTGTAGTTTCTTTAAAATACTTTCTATTTGAGTTAAAGCGGTAAACACGAGAGTGAAGTTTCTTCCAAGGCAGTGGCCAGAAAGTGTGGAGCCGCCGACCGATTTGAATAGTATGCTAGGGGATCTTTGATCACTGAGCCCATTAGTGAACCTGATGGAGTGACCCACAAAACCCAAAAAATTATCGTTTTTGCATCCACTTGACCGGATTATTGTTGTCTCTAGACATTTGCGGATACCATTAGTAAAACGCGATAATGTGGGAGCATAAGCTTGCGAAGAGTTCGCCTATGATTTCGTCCAGTTACATTCCCAAAA